AGACTGATCTCCAGTTAAAAATAGCCTTTCATAAAAATGGCGGAACATTCATCATCATCAAGGAAATGCTCCCTATGGCCTCATCCAAATGGAAGCTTCCCACACAGTAGGTTGTAGGGAGCAACCAGGAAGACATGGACCATATTTATTTGTCTCTTGCAATTATTTATAACTCCTACCAAGGTGGCTTACATATTACATATTTTAAAAATAGCAACATATGAAAAACACATACTTTTTTGGGGGGGACAGGTATTTTAGGCCACCAATAGAGCAATCCTAACCATAACTACTTAAAAGTAATTGGCTTTTGAATTCAGTGGAGCTTACTCCCAGGTAGGTGTGATTAGGGTTGCTGTAACATTGTGAACAAGGGCAGCCAGTGATGCAGAACAAGATGGTTATGAGATCTGCAGACAAACATACGGAGTGCATTAGAAGGATGCTAAAATCAAGTCAAACCGCATTCTTGGGCCACAAAATAAGGGCAATCTAGGTAAAACTCAAGGGACGTGGGTGGCGCTGTGGGTTAAACCACAGAGCCTAGGACTTGCCGATCAGAAGGTTGGCAGTTCGAATCCCCGCGACGGGGTGAGCTCCCGTTTCTCGGTCCCTGCTCCTGCCAACCTAGCAGTTCAAAAGCACGTCAAAGTGCAAGTAGATAAATAGGTACCGCTTCGGTGGGAAGGTAAACGGCGTTTCCATGCGCTGCTCTGGTTCGCCAGAAGCGGCTTAGTCATGCTGGCCACATGACTCAGAAGCTGTACGCCGGCTCCCTCAGCCAATAAAGCGAGATTAGCGCCGCAACCCCAGAGTCGGTTACAACTGGACCTAATGGTCAGGGGCCCCTTTACCTTTACCTTAGGTAGAACTCAGGCAGGTTTTTGCAGGTATGGAAGTGGCTTCCAGTATATGATGAGGTGCTCCACAGTGCTATTTCTCTAGAAAGAGAGGTACCAGCACCATGAACATCTCTCTTGTTTTCTTATAATGGCAATGGTGCCCAGCTGAGAGGTGTCAGAACTGAGTTCTGGTGAGTTCTGGCTGGAAAAAAAAGCCCTGGTGCTCCATCACATTTACTTTTTGAAATCTAAAGAGATCTTTTGATAGCAGACAAGGATTGAGCATTGGGGCAAAAGGTGATGGAGTCCCAAATGTAAAAAGAAAAAAAGATGCAATACAGTTTCCCCGATGTTCACATTTCACTGAGAGGGACGACATGAAGGAGAGATGCCTATCTCTGTCCTCCCTGCACAAAAACTCCACATCCCACAAATTGACTTTCCTTTGGTAGTGAATATGTTTTGGGGTTCAATTTTAGAGGGACAACCCTTCAGTAGGAAAGTATGTGAACAATGCCTGATTGCAGGACTGAAGAAACAAAATTCACTCAAAGCTTTGCTCCTTAGGAATCATCACTCTTACAACCTTAGAGATCCTGGAAAACGGTAAGTGTGCATTTAAAAACTTCAAGAATGTTGAAGGAATCTCAAGGGGAAACATTGTTTTTGCATTTCAAGCTCATTTGTTCTCATTTAGCTGTGAGCATATTAAGCTTGTGGCTTTTACAGAATGCACATCACATATTTTTCTGCATACTTCCTTCTATACACATCATCCTTCATTTACTTTTGCTGTGTTCCTTATCTCAGTAATTAAATTATGCAACTCATTTGAGTGTCTTGGACAACAGACAGTGTGAAAGATGGCGTCTAAAGTAGGAGAATATTACTATACTATTGTGGGCACATACACCCCAGAGTAAATTGCTTCTTTGGAACTTTCTGTGTGGGGCTTAATGTCACCCATGTGTTGAGGCCAAGCCTAACTTTACGGGACTGATCCTAGAATTGGCCGTCCTACCATTCTGTGTATGTCACCATGAGGATATGGCGGTGCTATTATTGAAGGAACGGGTGCATTTAATGCGGATCCTCCAGACCAGTGAAGATTTTTGCAGGGGGGGGTTGCAAAAAGAGTGCATTCGTGGTGGATTTATACTGGACTGCCCCCTCATCATTCCATTCTATGAGTTGTTCTGTGATGCTAGATGTTATCACACTGTTGCCATCTTGACGGGCACTCCTGTACTGTAGAGCAGGGGTCAGCAAACTTTTTCAGCAGGGGGTCGGTCCACTGTCCCTCAGACCTTGTGGGGGGCCAGACTATAGTTTAGAGGGGGAATGAACCAATTCCTATGTCCCACAAATAACCCAGAGATGCATTGTAAACACAGTGGTACCTTGGGTTAAGTACTTAATTCGTTCCGGAGGTCCGTTCTTAACCTGAAACTGTTCTTAACCTGAAGCACCACTTTAGCTAATGGGGCCTCCCACTGCCGCCGTGCCGCCGGAGCAAAATTTCTGTTCTCATCCTGAAGCAAAGTTCTTAACCTGAGGTACTATTTCTGGGTTAGCGGAGTCTGTAACCTGAAGCGTATGTAACCTGAAGCATATGTAACCCGAGGTACCACTGTAAAAGAACACATATTACTCATGTAAAAACACGCTGATTCCTGGACCGTCTGCGGGCCGGATTTAGAAGGCAATTGGGCTAGATCCGGCCTCAAGGCCTTAGTTTGCCTACCCAAGCTGTAGAGCAACAAAAGTGGAGCAAACCATTAAACCTGAACAGCCATGCTATAAAGTTGCAAGATTTTGGCAGCAAGCTACATGCATACACTGATTGGAAAGAAACAGCATAGCCACCGCAAAACTTTTGCAGGCACAAACAGTATTGAAAGCAGCACAAGTCATCATGAATGCACAATTAAAGGGACATATTGAGGGGCCCTGGATGTAGCGAAGCTAAAGGAACACCATGATTTTTCCAAAACCATTAACCAGAATTATATTTTATTTATGCAACAGGAGACCTTTTCTGTCACATAAATGGTCTTAACACCACCAGCTTAACTCACAATTTGGGCAAACCTCAGGTTTGCTTAGTTTGCTTCAGCTTTATTTAATTTGCTCTGAAACCTTGAACCAAATTGAATCAGACACTCAGTTTCCACTTCTGTGACAGAGTCAACCAACCACAAGAAGAAAAAGCAAGTTGGGTATAAGTAACATCCCTGTAACATCTTATGAATCTGTGGAGAGAATTACCAATAACCAAGTTACAAGTCAGTCGTAATGGCCTCAGTAAGAGATGGTAAGGCATGATTAAATCTCTCTGGCATCCATCTGATAAGTGCATTAAGCTGTGATTTAAATCCCATTGATTTGGTGCTAAACCTTTTCCTGGATTGCACCAGGTGCTTTTGAAAGTTATGCGGTACTCGGCTTCAGGTCTGAAAGCTACCATTTCAAAAACGGGCGCTAAATTTGGTTAGGTTAGGTTATTGGTTTTCCAACAACAAAGTTGAGCTCAAAGCACGTCACGGCCATAACAAAGCAGTGGAAAATTACATCATGCCCCCATCAATATAACACTATAAATAAGATTTTTGAAATGCAAGGCATCCTAGTGCTGCAGCAATAAAACTGCTAGCACATTTGCAAAGCTAAAATGGGTCAGATATGGTTTCAGATTGGATGAGTGACGGTGTGTTGAAATTCCTGCATTGCAGGGGGCTGGACTAGATGACTCTCAGGGTCTCTTCCAGTTCTGCAAGTCTATGATTCTATAATAATAGTAAAACCTGAAATCATTTCAGATGTCCCCCTTACTCTGCTCCTGCAGCTCTCAGACACACCTCATGATGACAGTTGTGTTACAGCTCATCCACATTCACGAACAGAAAAGGTCACCTGAATCAAGTCCGTGCCTACAAAAGGATATTGTATTGGAGGGGAGGGGAAGAGTCCCTCCAACAACCTTGTTTGTAGGGCAGAAAAACTGGAAGCTACCTACCCAAGGTGTTCAGCAGTACTCTATTTCTGGCCTGGACTGCTAACCCCTCTCTTGGGCCCAGTGCATTGTCCATTATGCTGGCATTGCCTAACATTCTGCAGTCTAATATGGCTTTGAACATCAGTTACATTTACTGTTTAGCTTGTTTTCCCTTCTCTCAGCCAAGCAGCTGCAGCACTCCCCATCAAGCTGTGTTCAGGTTGCTGCATTGTCCCGTATTATTCCTTTGTTGTTGATGGCTCTTTGGTGCCAGTATTATATTTTCTACAATTTATATTTGTTTTTAACTTTTAATTAACTTCCAAACAGTACTTTGCTTAATTTTGCCTGTATTCATTTTCCTAAACCGCCATAGCTTTCAAAATATTTTCACTAAATCCATTCCATTTATAGTTTTGGGATATATTACCACGCAAATCTGCGCATTTCATGCTCAGCTCCCTCGATAAAACATAACTTGATTTTCTACTTCCCTGCTAATTTGTTTTCCTGTGCGGACACTATTAACTTTCACGGAGCACAGAAAAACAGTGGCTTTTCTTTCTTAATCTCATAAAACATTGACCTAATAAAAACCACATTTCCTATTATTGTCTGAGCATGTTATTCAGTGCTGTTTCTACGGGGCTGGCAGCTGACTTTATGTTCTTTTTTCAAGACTTGATGCCTGATTACATTTTTATAGCGTTCTGGAACCACTTCAGGAAGCTGGTGAGGAAAAGAAATTACATAAATGCAAACATGAGGTGTCCACCATGGTTGCCATGCACAACCTTGAAGAAAATGGCCGCCCAGATGTTGTTGCTCCAACTCCCATCAGCCCCAGGCAGAAGAGCCAATGGGCAGCAATGATGAGAGCCAGAATCCAATGAAAGTGCAAGAGTCACAGGTTCATCACCCCTGCTTTAAAGCATTTGGCATGGGGGGCAGGGAATCTCTGGGACTGAAGACAGTTATTGCCAGTTAAAGTACTGAGGTAAATAAATAGTCTGACCTAGTAAAAGGCAGCTTCTTGTGTCCCTAAACTCTGTTTAATTCCATTGTGCTCCTAATTTCACCTCATCAATTTGTCTCTTTTGCTTATTTGAAACTTGACAAGATATGCCCAAAATAGCTGACTTTAATATTATGAAACTCAACACAAATTAGAGTAAACTCTGCCAAAGCAAAAGGCAAAAGAGACAGGTACAAAGAAACAGATGAAGGGGAAATTATTCCAAGTACATAGGAAAATAATATTAAATTGAATGAATTGATAGCATTTAGGAATCTGCCACCGAAGTCATTCCTGGCTGCTCATTGATAGCCATGCCACAGTGGAACAGGCTGATAGTGCCATTTCATGCTGCTTACTCAGACGTAAGTGCCACTGTGATCAATGGTTCCGACTCCTAGATAAATGTGCTTTAGTTTGCAGACTAAGTGGCTAACAATGTTCTGAACTGCTGTGTAAAGATAGGTATGTAAATGTTATAAAGCTGTTTTTAAAAATCAGTGCAACACACCATATTTCAATTATGCTTACAGTTCTAATCACACTTTAATGCAAGAGGTTCTGTCTTTTCAGATACAGAAATGAGTTAATGTTTTAAAAATTGTCGCTGAATCACTGCAATTCTTTTTTTTTAAAGTGACAATCAACATGCACTCGACACAGACATTTACAGCACGTTGGAAGCTACCAGTGGTTTCTTTGTGATGGTAATCGCTGGTCTCAGGTACCATCACATTTTTCTTTTTTCTATTTTTGTTGCCATTGGCAGCCATTTTGTGCTGGGACCCACAGCTCTTTTATCAAGATATGAACCCTATTTGTAAAGCACCTTAATAGGGAACTGTTGCTTTTGCCATGTCTTCATGTCCTGAACCCCTGGCCTACCTGGCAGCAGGTCAGCACACCAATCCAAAGTTCAAGGTCTGCAGGTCAATCCACACAAACAAACTCCAAAGGTCAGTAAACACAGTCTAGGGTTGATCCAAGGAGCCACGTCCAAAGTCCAGCATTCAGAATACAGCCCAGAGTCAAACCATGGAGTTCAAGGAGCAGCCAAGCCAAGATTCATCAGCACAGACAATCAAGCAGACACAGCAATTCAGCTCTGCTTCCCTTTTGTACTTTGCATGCTGATTGCAGCATCTGGGCTTGATGAGCCATGTGAGACTCACCTGTCCTCAGCCTACTTCAGCTGAGGAATCACACACCTCCTCTCAGAGCTAGCGAGCCCCACCTGGCCAACTAGGAAGCTGGGCTGTGGGCCCTTTGCCTGCCTCGGCCTCCTAGAGTGTTCCTCATGCCTCAGAGTCTGTCGTGTTCGGGAAGACAGGGGCTCCTCTGGCTCTGGTGATGGGTCCTGCTGCTCTGGTTCCTGTGCAGTGGCCCCCATCCCTTCACTATCCTCCGTCGCCCCATATTTTCTACGCCTCTTGTTCTCCATCCTTAGCTTGCCCCAGTGTGTCCTAGTCCCAGCTACACCCCTCACTCGGATCCTCTTCCTCCTCCCTGTTGTCCTGCCAGTTCATGACACCCCACAATAAATAATGGCTTTGGCATGTCAGCCTAAACAGGGCCCAAATGGCACTCCCCTCCTCCACTAACTTCAACACTTTAAACAAGCCTTGCTGTCACCATTTATACACCAATTCCTGCTTTCACCTTTCCTGTTCCACCATCATGGTGTCCCTTGAAGTGGGTTGCTTCACCCTGCTGAACAACCTGACACAGTGTGAAGGCCAGTAAGGAAACTTGAGTTTTAAATATTCCTGGAGGTCAGGGCTATGGATCTAGTGAACATGAAGTGCAACCTCATTCTTAAAACAGCCATCGTGTTGGCATTTGGAAGGAGGGACGAAGAATGGCCGCTCCACAGTGCCTAAAGAGAATATCAAAAGAGGGCACAGATTTGCAAGTGCTAATTTATATGTATAAATGCATATTTAGAAATACATTTCTATATTTTTACCTCAGAAGACAATGACCACGAAGTGTGCTCACATAGCCCTCTGCCTGAGGGCTATCTGTTGATGGGCAACTTTAAGGCCTATTTGATCTCCCTTGTTTATCTTTAATCTGAACTTGAATGAGACACACCTTCAAACAGAGGATTGCCCCACTGTAAAGTAGGATATATGCCCATCCTAGGCTAATCCTAGAAAATCATCCAGGACCTAAACTGGTTCTTAACCTGAATGTCTGTTTAACTGGAGGCCCAAATCATCCTTCAGGGTCTAAGGACCTGATTCCCTTGGCTCACCTGTTCTCTTGTCTGCTGATTCCTTAGAAAAACAGCACTAGAGATGATAAATTTCCTTGTGATCTAGTATCTGGGATTGTCATAAGATTTGTAGTAGTAGTGGTAGTAGTACTTATTTAGACTTGTTAGAAGTCTGTTACCCAGTGCTATTTTCCTAGAAAAACAGGTGCTGGAACTCGCCATGAACAGCTCCCTTGTTTTCTTAGAATGGCAATGGTGCCCACCTGAGAAGTGCTGGAAGTGAGTTCCGGTTGGAAAAAAGTCCTGACTATACCCTTAAAAAAACATACAAAACACCTACCATTCATATAAAATTATAAATGCACACACACACACACAAAACAGCCACAGGAAGCTTTGGCAGAACACTAATTCCAGCAACATCACCTCAGTCCATCAAGAGCCTACAGGAAAAATGAAGTCTTTACCTGGTGCTGAAAAGATGTCATTGAAACCACCAGGTGGACAAAGAGCTTTATGGGTTAGTACATTGAACTGCAAAAAGTTCTATGCAAGAAAAGAAATGCACATATGACAGCTTCTACTACAATGACACTATGGGGGGGCGGTGACATTCATTATAAGGATATATCCTCTGCTATAAAACACATACCCAGCATCTTACGTTATTCCTTCAGTCATGAATGCTTCATCTTTCCAAATGTATCCATTACACTTTGTGATATTTGGAAGAATAATATATCCCTTGCTGAGACAGACGTACTTCTTGATGTTCGTTTGATCCCTATAAATATTGCTCAAGGGGAGCTTTCACGAACCTCCAACCATTTTATTTTGCTGTTGGAACTTGCCATTAAAACAGCATGATCTCTTTCTTTTTCTTTCTTGTATTATCTTATCTCATTTGTAAGGTATAAGCAAACAGCTTTTTTGTTCCGTCAAAGAAATCTTTCGTATTCTTAACATTTTCGGTTAAAATATGCACTCCTTGGGAGATGATTGGACTAAAGACAAGCATATACACTAGAATAAAAAGAAGTGGAGAGTGAAAAAAATGCCATTATTCTCAATACAAACAAATGCTGAATAGTTGCTTCAGACTAACCAGTAGATGTTGCCTAAATATACATGAATAGTCTACTCTTTCAGAATAGAAGCACACAAATGAATACTTGTTCTTATACTGGAAAAGTAATTTCCCTCCCATTTTTCAGGATTCAGATGCTCACAATCCATTAAAATGTTTCTATGAGGTTGAGTTCAGGGAGGCAGATATGCAAGTAGGGAGGAGTGGATCAAGGAATCTATTTCCCCAATCAAACTGGTCAGTAAATTGCAGGTTACATTCAGAAGTGATGCAAATCACACCCATTTCCTTTCAATTTGCATTTTAAGAAATCTGTTCATGCAACATATATTGTGGGAAGCATTGCTTTTAAAGATAAAACGATAGCTTGGAAAATGTGGCTCATGATCTGGTGGATTTTTATGAACTCTGCCCAGGTACCCAGCCCTACCCACCTTTCTTGGTTCAACTGACCAAATTGTGAAAAGATCTAGCATCCATCTGTGGCGCTTGTGTAAACCTCTCGTTTTTCAGTTTTGATTGCTCTGGTGGTTGTTAGGATACCTCTTCTTCCCCATGCAGCACACCTGGAACAAAGCAGTGGTATAACCAAGATATCATAGACGAGGTCAGTATTACACCTTAACAGGAAACTTCCTCAAGCGAAGGAGGTGTTGGGCTGTTCAGAGAGGTCCTGCCCCCAACATTCAACAGCCTTACCCAACAGGTCCCCACATTTCTTGTATTGAATGGGAAGGTCTGAAGGGAGCTTTTCCTTCAATATGTATGGAAACTTCTGCATGATCAAGGACCATACTTTATCAGGGTCCCCAATTATGTGGAAGGTTCTACTTGTATTTAAGCAAACATGAGTAAGCACCCTCTTTAGACCTTCTCCACACATCATGAGGAAGGTCAGGGCAATATGCACCAGGCAGGACTTATGTCTGTGCCCATGCTCCCATTCACTGTTTAAATAATCACATGTTATTGTCTTGTTTAAACAAGAACAGTAATAGGAAACCTCTGAATCTACCCAGGTACACCTAGGTCTCGGGCCACTTACTAACTCAGCTATATAATGACACTAAACTGTGTGTGGATATGCTTTCTGCAGACCCAACTCCTCTCAAAACGGTCAAGCAAGTCATGCCCAGATTTCACTGACTTTAATATTACTTGAACAGAACTTTTCTGGAATAAGTGGACTACAACCTCATATTCTGGATACAACCTTACTTTACGCATGAGAATTGAGTCTCTCCTGTATGGCTCTTTTCTTAAGATGAAATAATTATGGAAAGACAGTTGTAGCTCCTCAAACAACGGTGCCTCAACCAAACATGATATGTTTATTATATTCAGACTGAATATACACACTAAAATGTGTATTTCATTTTTAAGGCATAGTAAAACCACTGTCTGAACCAGTGGCTCACACTTGTCTTGTAGCTAAAAGCAACACATCACATACAAAGTTGAATTTCAGAAAAGGTGTATAGTCATGTTGAAATTATTTCCTATGTCAAATTTAGAGATCTGAGCAATAAAAAGCTAACCGGATTGAGATATCATGAGAAAAAGAAACCTAATTGAAACACATGAAAGAGAATTAGCATCCTTTAATAAAGCTGAGCATCGGAGAGTTTGCTGCAGCAGAATTTTTCAAAGTAATGGCAATATAAATATTGAATTAAACAGAAAAATCAGGACAGTTGGCTGTCTTAAAAGATACATACACCTAGCAGGATATGTTTGAAAAATGTGCAACCAAAACGATCCTTCAAGATAGATAAAACCAAATGTAAATAAATGAGACCTCCACAGAACTGAGGAATAAAAAATGCAGGTTTAACAAGAAATGCTAACGTTGTGACCCTCCAGATGTGATGCGACTCCAACTCCCATCAGCACCAGGCAGAATGACCAATTGCCAGAGATGATGGGAGTCAACATCCCACAACATCTGGAGGGCTGCAGGTTATCTACACCTTGCTTAATGGATGAAGTAGCTGTGCTGGAAGAATTGACTCAGTGGGCAATGAACAAACCTTTAGTAGCACTTAGAGATGTTGACATTTCTCACATGCTGTGGCAAATTTCATGCTTTTCCTCTTCAAAGCTTCTATAAAGTTCAGCCAAAAACAAAGCAAAAAGGGGAGGCATGTTCTCCTAGTCATATTGTCCCCTTCTCCTGATTTGGGTGCAGCTATATAAGGGGGCAAAGCAGAGAAAACCTTATTCCAAAGGATGCAACACACGCTTACCCCAAACGTTACGCTAAATAAGTAAGTTGCAGAGAAGTACCAATAATGTACACTTCTCCCAACAGCCTCTAGAGTCTTACCTTTGGGTCTACACAGAATGTGCTAGGAAAAGCCCTGTTAAGCTATATGGAGAAGGAAGATGATGTAGAGAAATGCACAACTCAGTCAGCCCAGTGCCAGATTCATAATTTGTGAAAACATCTTGGGCACTGGAGAAGGGGTACGATTTGTGGCATCTGCACTAAAGATAAATTCCTGGTGTCTGGCATGTTAATGGCTTGCTGCTGCTCAGCCAGGCCTCTTAGTTCACCACCGTTTCCTCCTGCCAATCATTCACTCCAAGCTGAAAGGCAAGGAGATGATTTACCTTCTCAGAATTGATTTACTTCCACTGAGCTCACGCAAGCTGCATGGGCCTATCAGATTCTGAGGTCAAAAGAGTCTATATAAGAGAAGACAAAACTGTCCAAACTCGCTTTGTCCCTTACCTTTGCGGAGAGTCAACTGGGCGATCATGTCACAGTGGGCCTAACAGGGGCATTTTGGTCAATAAGTCTTTGAAGAAACTCAAACTGCTGAAGGAAAACTCTCAATGGATTTATAACCAAATCCCACCAAAAAAGGAAAAGAGCACAAAACAAAGGGTTTTTATTCAAAAGTGTTCATCCGCACTGAGTTACGCTCAAAGGATGCAAGAAAAAGGTTTGCCATAATTTCAGTCAAATGGCAAAATGGTCAGAAGGTGGCAATTTTCTGCGTTCTGCCAAACCTAACAATGCAAAGCCCTGGAATGTTTTCCTTGGTTACCAAGGTAACAGAACCGCAGCATATGGAACAGAGGGCTCAAGAGCGACTTAGTGTAGCGGGCTAAAAAAAGATGTACTTGGCTGATCGATACAGCTTCACACAGTGGTTTCCAAGGGATGCTGGTTTTGGTTAGGTATGTTAAATAAAAATCGCACCTTTTATCGATGACATGTTGCACTTCCACACACTCCAGTGAGACAACTCCCTGTGTGTAGTACCGTATATTTTCTTGGTTCCAGGTGGGAGAAAGGAGTGTTTCGTTTTAATTGCATACTGCACTGAGACATGCAGACACATATACACCCTGCCTCCTGAGATCAGGCAAACGCCTTCACTGTACTCTCTTGGTTAAAAGCATTTAGACAATCCTACCCAGACATGTATAATGTTGATGTATGTTTCAATCTGCTTGTAGTTTATTGCTGATCTTATTGAGGGTTTGAAATGTTTTAAATAGCTGTTTTTACTGATAATTTTATTGTTTTATTCTCTTTGTAAACCACTTTTACCATCAAGTAGCGCATAGATTTTATGAAATAAATATACTATCCACTCCAAGAATAATATGGAGGATTTTGCTTAATTGCACAGATTTCTCAACCTCCAGTATCAGGTCTCCATTTCAGCCCATTACACAGCTATGTGCAAGCACAAGACTCCTCATCGGGCCTTAGAGCTGGAAATTAACAGAACCAATGTGAAATGGCAAGTGTCTAGCCATCACAGTTGAGAAGATGAAAACAGGTAAGTTCACAGCTTGAGTCATAACATAATTCAGGATGTTGCCAGTTGACACACACCCTCCTGTTCCAATGTTTGGTGTTACCATAATGGGAAGAAGGTAGCTTGGGATCTACTGATTGATCTCTAGGCGACTCAAAAATAGATTGGTGAGGATTTTGAGTCCCAGTTCTGGCTTTTCACTCCAGCTGCCAGCGGTGGTCCTTCTGCCCTCCAGCTGTCACCATGGGGGCTTCTACAGAATCATCTTGCCAAGAGAGAAGCAAGCTGTGTACACATTAATGCTTGAAATGCAGCTAGGTCTTTCTTTTTCTCAGATCAAAGAAGTATTTCCTAAGGAACAACATGGATGGTGGCTAACATTGTGTGTATCCCGCTTCAATGTTGGGAGCCTACTGGATGCAGAGTAAATGGGATTATGTACACAATTACAATTGTATTTTCTATGCTGTTATAACTCTCTCCCCCATCCCATCCCACAATGCCTATTGTTGCAGTAATCTTACGCAAACTGCTTTATGAGGCTTGCATGAAAAGCAATATATAGAAACTATAAATAAAAGAAAATAAATCATACTACTGAAATGGCAAAAACAAATCTTTTTTGGGGGTGGAGGGCAGAATAGCCAACTGATATTTGTGCAGGAAGACAGTGCGCTCGGTTCAGCTCTGAAACTGAAACCAAATGGCTGGGTTCAGAAGCCTTTCAATCTAAGGGCATGGTTTTTATACCTAGCTCCTTTGGTGAATTCTCAAGGTTCTAGTGGAAGAACAAAGTAGATTCCACAAGACTGAAATCTGTTCACCCCTTATATAAGCCTTATTCTACCTTTCAAGAGCTCCGAACTTTAAATGCATGCAAGGGTGCCAACTTGAATATGGGAGCAGGGCGGGTAAGCAATTGATCAAGCAAAAGGATTTAGGTGCTTAATAATATGCTTAGCTTCCACTGATCTCAATGGGATCTGGACTTGGAGAACACCTCCTGCATTTATTGTCTCTAGAGCTTAAAAATGCCACAATAATCAGACAGGAATTAAATTAGTTTCAGCAAAGTGTGCTCATAATGAATTCATTGTATTTGACTTTGGTCTACGGAAAAGTGCTATTCCTGTTGCAACAAAAAAAAAAAAAAGGGAACGCCACTGGGTTGATAGGTTTTTATCTACAAGACAGCTAATGCTATGAACTCAATCCAGTGTTCCCACTCCTTGGGAGAGGGGAGCTGCCCACAGAGGCAATAAGCAGAGTCTCCAATGTACAGAGCAGCATATGAGAAGGGCGAGAAGGATGAGATTATCCCTGAAATTCTGTTGTCAGTCAGTAGATAATTTTGGCACATACATGTGTTCAAAATTCTAATTCCAAAATGGCACCATTAAGGACAATTAGGTCATTGTGACACTTTTTTTTTTTGTCTTTGACTTGGAAGGTAAACCCATTCACAAAATAAAAACACAGACTAATAAAAACCAACCACTTTTTAATATTTCAGAAATACAGTCTATGAGAAAGGAAATAATAAATATTCAATACTAAATAATAATGGTAAGAAAGATCATTTTGCTAAGATGAAGTCAACCACACTTTGGGGGTCCTTCCCCCCAAGAAACTGTCCTTCAGTCCATCAAAAGACCTGGAGTGAAGAGCCATCGTTCAGATTTCATAAAATGCAGTACAGCCAGTTTGGTGCAGCTTAGGATCATTTTTTTTTTGGAATAGACACATTTTGCTTTCTTTAGTGGCAGAAGCAGCTAGCTAACAATTCACAGCGTGGTCAACCTAAGAGTAATCTTCAGGCATCAGCAAGACCAACAGCTGGCAATACACTGGGAACGGGCATCGCTGGGAAGCGCCACGGGAGTGCCTGTCAGTTGCATTTGGCACTGCTGACACTCCTCCTACAAAATCCCCTCCGCTTTCATCCAAGGAAAGTGAACCACTTAGGAGTGCTTCCTTTTCTTTATCGCTTCTGCTTTGACAGCCAAGCTCTTTGCACATATGGTGAGAACCACAATGAGGACCCCAACCAGGAACGTCACCACCGGCCAAAGGAAGCAGTGCAAAAGAACCGACTCGTCGTGTGTGCGTCGTAACAGTACGTCGTCCGGTCTGCAATAGGAAAGGCAGAATTACAGGGGGAAGGAAGCGAGGAAAGCAGGGCAGAAAAACCAAGACACCCAGAGTAGATTTTTAAAGGGGTGAGGCCTGTAGTGGAAATTGGTAAACATTATCTCCAGTGCTTCAACCCGCAGGACCATCCACCCTGTAAATAAAAGTCAAACAATAAAAAGAAGAGGAACTACAATAAGTTCTACAAATTACCACCATGGTGCATGGCAAATATTAACTGGAAAGAGAAATTCTAGAGTTTTCCACATTTGAAAATGACTCAGAGAAACATTACACAACAATTTCAGACTGCGTAACATTTTCAATAAGTGCATAGGTGTTGGGATATACAAAAATATTTTATTTTTCAAAAATATATTCAAACATCTTTAAATTAAGCCAATAATAGTTAACTATGAAAGTGGAAAAAACTGTGAGATACAGGATACATGGACAACAATTATTATCTCAAATCTTGAATTATGCCATCTGAGTTGATTTATGTGTCTAAGCGTCCGCCTCAAACAACTGGGGGATTGAAAAAAGACGAGCAACCAGCTTGCTGAGTGAACCAAATGTGGCAACACAAACCCACAGTGAGGCCAGCTCCTCATGCCCAGCCAATAGTGATGGTTAATGGGTTTCCCTAGGGTAGGACACCTTATTGATTTGTATCCCTAGGTTGTAAAAAAGTGCTTTGGAAAAGAACACAACAACGGAATCTGACTTGTGTTCCTGTGAACACTTAGGGCGCTTCCAGACAGAACGTTTTGCAAGCCTCCAGCAGACTGAGCCCACTAGCCTTCCAGGGGCAATGCCAATCCCCCAAAACACTGTGTATTTTGTCTCTTTCCCATAAATGCAATGAAGCAGGTGAGTTGGAGCTCCCATGGGGTAATATTTAGACGGCATCACCAATCGGTTTATATGACATATACTACATTTGCAGATATCTACATTAGCACATCCCCTTCATGGATCACTGCCTTGCCGTGGCGAAGGGGCTTGAATAACTCAGAGAAGCTATGAACTATGCCGTGCAGGGCACCCAAGATGGACAGGTCATAGTGGAGAGTTTTGACCAAACGTGATCCACCTGAAGGAGGAACCGGAAAGCCACTCCAGTATCCCTGCCAAGAAAACTCCATGGACAAAGACAACAGGCATATAAAAGTTATGACACTGGAAGATGAGCCCCTCAGGTCGGAAGGCGTCCAACATGCTACTGAGGAAGAGCGGAGGACAAGTACAAGTAGATTCAGAGCTGATGAAGCGGCTGGGCCAAAGCCGAAAGGACGCTCAGTTGCGGATATGCCTGGAAGCGAAAGGAAAGTCCAATGCTGTAAAGAAAAATATTGCACAGGAACCTGGAATGTAAGATAGTGTTCTCGAAGCCACCAGCATGAGTTTGACCAAACTGCGGGAGGCAGTGGAAGACAGGAGTGCCTGGCGTGCTCTGGTCCATGGGGTCACGAAGAGTCGGACACGACTAAACAACAACATTAGCACATAATTTCTTGGGAGTGTGGGTGCTCTGATGCGCAGGTGAAGCACCCACACCTGTAAAGGTTTATCCATTCACTTCCATGAAGGCAACTCTTCCATGAACACCTGGACCATTCAGGCAATGGGGCTGTTTCCTGTGAACGGGGAAACTGCTCCGAGAGGAACCTCAAGGGTAGTCTTGCACTCCTAGAATTCTGGGCCAGAGTGCCTTTCCGAGTCATCAACATCCTCATGCAGCTTTGCAGATCTCTGTTGATTGCAGCTCACTGGCCCTCTTCTTTTAGCCTGCCCCACCCCTGTAAGACTCCACTCGCTTCCTTAATTCTGTTACATAAATGAAATGCATTCAAAGACAGATTGTCTTGCACAGCATGATCTTTTCAGCATGGGGTCCCGGTTTCAATCTGGATTTGGTTGCCACTCCAAAGAAGAGAGATCAAACTATGAGGACAAAGCAAAGCCTAACAGATGCTCTAAAGCAGAACAGTCTCGTAACAGTAAGTCCTCTGCCAGCAAGTAATTATTCCAAGATGGATGACCCCCGGGGTGCAAACTAGTGATCCTCAGATAGTCATCGGTCTATTACATGCTTTCATTTACTGAACCCTAATCAAATATTTGTGTATAGCACTTTCTCCTGGCATAGGATAAAGGGTACAGCTGCCAAGTCACAATGGAAAATAAACAATAAACTTATTTCAGCACAATAGGTGAGGATATATGCACAGCCCCCAAACTGCCATGCTAATTGCTTGCAGTATTAAAAAGGGGGGGGGGAGAGATAGGCAAAGTCAACACCTGGCAAACAACTTTCCTTGAGCAAACATAATCTCACTCTTCAACCAAGATGCTTAGTAGGGAGTACAGTGAGACCCACACCGCTTCCCGGCCAATTACAGTAACACAGCAAAGTTACAGCAATTGGGGCTGTTTGGGTTTAGGAAAAAAGGTGAGTGTGGGATCAGAGAGGTATACAGAGCCATGTGTGGAGTGGAGAGACTCCTCCATCTCTTGTGATACTAGAAGGTAAGGTCATCCAAGAAAGCAGACTGTTGGAAGATTCGGGACAAAGTGAAGTACTTATTCACACAGCACATGGTTAAAATGATGAAATTTGCTCCAAGATGGTCAACAATTCAGGTGGCATTTAAAGAGGATTAGATGAATTTGTGGTGGTTAAGTCTACTAATGGCTACTAGGCATGATGTCTGTGTTTGAACTACCTTCAGCCTCAGAAGCTTTTTGCCTCTAACACCCATTGCTGAGGAGTTGCTGAGCAGAGCACTCTTTCCTCATGTCTTGCTTATGGGCTACCCATAGGTATCTGCTCCACAACAGTTAGGAAAGGTGGCCGCATTCACACCATACTTTCAAAGCTTTGAATATTCACAGCTTCTCCCAAAGAATTAAGGGAGCTGTAGTTTATTAAGGGGCCTGAGAGGTCCCTGTTCTCCTCACAGAGCTACAAGGCTTCAGAGTTCATGACTATTAAGCCACTCTGGGAACTGTAGTTCTGTGAGGAGAATAGGCAGTGCTATTTTTCTAGAGAAAGAGGTGGCAGAACTCATCATGAACACCTTCCTTGTTCTCTTAGAATGGCAATGGCGCCCACCTAAGAGATGCTGCTGGAACTGAGATCTGGTGAGTTCTGGCTGAAAAAAAGCCCCAGGAATAGGGATCTCCTAGCAACTCTCAGCACCTTAATAAACTACAGCTCCCACAATTCTTTAGGAGAAGCCATGATTGCATAAAGTAGTGTCACAGTGCTTTAAATGTATGGCGCAGATGTGGCGCGGGCAGGTCTTGGGTTTGATCCAGCGCATTAACTCTTGTGGTCTTAAGCTAGCCCACACAGTTGGCCTACTGCTCCAGGAGGCATCATCGCTCAATGCTTGTGCACCTGTGGCTTTTGACAGTGGTCCAAAAATTGTATTTTGCTGTGCAATCTGACATTATCAATGATGGTAAAGCTGAGAGTACAAGCCGGGACATCTAACACGGGTTTTGCACATGCAGGATGTTACATGTAAAATTTAAAACAGCGATGTAACATTACTGGTTTAAATATCTGCCTTGCAGCACTCTGTAAACAGATTTCCTTATTAGTGAAATTTTGGGACTCCCTCCTCCCCATAAAAAGGTTTAAAAAATGCTAGTAGCCAGGTAACCAGGGACAAGTTAAATGGCTTTGTAAACCCCACATCAAGGCGGGGTGTGTGTGAGCCTGTGACACCCTGACAGGTGTTGCTGGAGTCCATCAGCCCTGCCCAGTGGTCACAGATGATGGGTGCTGGTGTTCAGCAAAAGTTGGAGGACTACAAATTCTCTATCTGTACTCTATATTATAAAGTCTAACTCACGGGTGGGGAACCTCAGGACTGGGGGTGAATGTAACCCTCCAGGCCTCCGGCCATCAGGATTTTTCACACACCACCTCTGGCCCTCCTTCATGCCCTCCTTGGGTGTTTTTACCTAGCTGAAATGTATCCTTTAACTCTGCCCATGACTCTGGATTGGCTGGAAGAATGATGGAGAGGAATAGATGTCTGTACAGAGGTGAAATTAACATTCATTGCTCTGCCCACTTTTGCCTCTGGCCCCACCCACCAGTGGCAGACAGCCCTCAGGAGGGAATGCGGCAGCTAGACTGGTGACTAGGAGTGGCCGCCAAGATCACATAACACCGGTCTTGAAATATCTACATTGGCTCCCAGTACATTTCTGAGCACAATTAAAGTCTTGGTGCTGACCTTTAAAGCCCTAAACAGCCTCGGCCGAGTATACCTGAAGGAGCATCTCCACCCCCATCGTTCAACCCGGACACTGAGGTCCAGCTCCAAGGACCTTCTGGCAGTTCCCTCACTGCAAGAAGTGAGGTTACAGGGAGCCAGGCAGAGGGCCTTCTTGGTAGGGCACCCGCCCTGTGGAATGCCCTCCCATCAGATGACAAAGAAATAAACAACTATCTGAAGTTTAGAAGACATCTGAAAACTGTTTAGGTAAGTTTTTAATGACTGATGTTTTAATGTATTTTTAATCTTTTGTTGGAAGCCGCCCAGAGTGGCTGGGTTTCCCCAGCCAGATGGGTGAGGTGGTATTATTATTATTATTATTATTATTATTATTATTATTATTTGGCCCTCAGGCTGAGAGTCCTCAGCTCTCAGCAAAATAGAAAACACAACGATAAGCAAGGCTTTCTTCCATCAATCTTTGCAATGTTGTTTTCCATCTGTTAAACTGCATGCCTAGCCTGGCCCTGCCTACAAGTCAAACCTTCCAAACCCCATTTCTGTCTCTAGCAAGAAAGGACATCAGTTACACCGAATGGCTTTGCAGGGGTGTCCACTGGACTGCTGCTAATGCATTTTTAGTGATGAACTTCTTTCTCCCTTCTTTTTACAAGCTCCAGCATGATCACTAAAGGGAAACATGGCTGGAGGCAAAATGCTAAAACGCCCAAGCTTTGCCAATGCGTTTGCCAATAAAATTTAAGTTCATTAAAATAAAATACAAACATTTCGAGAGAAAACAAACCTGGAGTGCCATGCAATCAATTACAGCTTTGCTGATGGTGAAAGTAATTAAGGCTGGTGCAGTGAGTCAGCACAACCTAACAGGTGCTGCTTATTGTTGGCATTCTCTTTCAGCATTGTTCCCCTCTCTGCTCCTGGTCTTTAGAGATGAGCAACATCTGAAAGGGCTCTTGATGCTCATTTTTTGCCACCCTCTTGGGGAAGTGGACTGATAAACACTGCCAAAGAAGCAGTGTGCTGTACTGGGTATTGAAACGGAAACAGAATGAAACTGAAGCTAAATTACAAAGGCAGAAATCATGGTGTCCAGCAGTTCTTCTGACCTAGGAATGATGGTTTTCAAGGCTGTTTTGTCCGTGGAGTTTTCTTGGCAGGGATACTGGAGTGGCTTGCCAGTTCCTGCTCCAGGTGGATCACGTTTAGTCAAAACTCTCCACTATGACCTGTCCATCTTGGGTAGCCCTGCACGGCATAGCTCATAGCTTCTCTGAGTTATCCAAACCCCTTCGCCACAGCAAGGCAGTGATCCATGAAGGACTGCAAGAAGATCAAACCTATTCATTCTGAAGAAAAGCAGTGCTGAGTGCTCGCTGGAAGGACAGATCCTGAAGCTGAGGCTCCAATATTTGGCCACCTCATGAGAAGAGAAGACTCCCTGGAAAAGACCCTGATGTTGGGAAAGATTGAGGGCACAAGGAGAAGAGGACAACAGAAGATGAGAAGGCTGGACAGTGTTCTTGAAGCTACCAACATGAGTCTGACCAAACTGCAGGAGACAGTGGAAGACAGGAGTGCCTGGCATGCTCTGGTCCATGGGGTCACGAAGAGTTGGACACGACTGAATAACTAAACAACAACAACAAAGGGTGTTTAGTCTTCCCAATTAAGTTCTGGTTTAGAGGCTTCTGTTGCTGTTGAACCTAATGGATATGACTGTAGTTACTAAGCAGAATAACTTTCCACCAGCTGCTGATAAACTGACTCCCAACTTTTCAAGTCAGGCTCAAAATTCAGCTCCTATTTATTTATGTAATTGTGGCAATAGACTACTGCAATGAAGTGGGCATGGGGCTGCTTGATGAAGGTTTGGAAGCTTCAGCTGCCAAAGAAATTCAATTCAATTCAAGCTAGTTACTGCTGTTCTTCAGTGCCTGCACTGGCTTCAAGGAGCTGTTCATAAGATATAAAAGAGACCAGCTTTAACCCTCTGTCTCACTTCAGCCTCATTTGACTGGTTACCTAACTTGCTTCCTAACTAGGGAATGCCAGGTTAGAAACAGAAGGAGAGGAAGACAGCTCCAATATTAACAAAGAGCAGCCCTCAAGGTCACCATGTAATGTTACAAAGGAGCGTAGGACAGGAAAACGGCATGTAGGCTGGCTTTTAGTGATGGGATGAATGGCTGCAAAGCCAGCCTATCAAATCCAGCCTACAGAAAAAGGACAAAAATCCCTTCTCCCACACAAAATGGAATTTATAATATTTATCCGTTTATATCCCAACTGGGAGGGGATCCAACGGACAAAAAATACCAAGCAAATTAAAGCACCAATTGCAGAATATCACAATCTCAGTTTGTTTGGGGTCAAGATGAAATAGGAGGGGGTTTTTTAACCCCCAGCATGCATAAGATTTCCTTTTCTTATTGCAGTCTACATACAGTGGTACCTTGGGTTACATACACTTCAGGTTACAGACTCCGCTAACCCAGAAATAGTACCTTGGGTTAAGAACTTTGCTTCAGGATGAGAACAGAAATCGCGCGGCAGCAGCGCGGCGGGAGCAGGAGGCCCCATTAGCTAAAGTGGTGCTTCAGGTTAAGAACAGTTTCAGGTTAAGAACAGACCTCCAGAACGAATTAAGTTCTTAACCTGAGGTACCACTGTATATAGAACCCGTTTTACTCAGGACAGTGTTTGGACCGTATCCAACACAGCATCTCCTCTGGTGCAACAGACTTCTGTGCACACCAGGAAGCTGCTTCTTCCTCTCCTGGTCCTCCAGTCCCCTCACATGCTCTCAAAATCACCTCTGGGGGGTTGGGGGAACCCTCCAGAACAGAGTCTAGGGGGCACATGAGAGGAGAAAAAGTCCCATTGCACCAGCAAAACTCAACTGGTGCCACATTAGATAACAATCCCTAAAAAAACGATTTCCTGGGAATGCTTTGTAGGCGACAATCAGGAGCTGCATGCATCCTTAGGTCCTGGACTGACAACACGCATCCACACCAGTTGTTGGATTGTGCTGGACAGGAAAGACTATAGGAAGCCTTCTTGGAATGATATTTTTTAATAATAATAATAATAATAATTATATCCACCATAAGCAATGGATTCCATGTGCTCCCTCCAGGCTATGATTAGATGGGTCCCCCTACCTGTGGAACCTCAAGTGCCTGTCAAAGATCTTTCTTTTTCAGCAGCCATTTTAAGGAAGAATTCTGCTTTTACAGTTGATTTCCACTGATTTCATTCGCGTACGCCTTCTGTAATTTTTATGTTCGCTGCTTAGAAACTATTGGAATTGAGTGTTCTATAACTACCTTAAATAAAGTAAGACTTAAAAATTAAATGAAATACTGGAAGCCAGCTTGTAAATTTTTAGCTGAATAGTAGGGCCTGTACTACAAAGTAATAATAATAATTCTAACTTCAAATGTTTATTAATTAGTGATCAGCAAGACTGTGGCCCTACTTGGGCATTCTGTTTGCCCTTGTGTAAGCGAGTACACAAAAGGCTAGCAGAGACTTGCTGCAAAGCCCCACCCCCTTCAGCACATCACATTTTGAACCATTTAGAGCTCTCCTTGAGTATGAGAGGTTGAAAGTGGGAGCCACCTCTTGCCTCGTGAAGAACCTGATTTTTCCAGGGTTTTCTAAACCGCCGGAGGAACTCCATGAGCAGAAGAAGTTGCCACATCAGATCTCTGGCCTCAGACTTACAGAAGTCTATAAACGGGGAACTCAGCTACATTAGTAAAAAAACAAACAAACCAGTGATTTGAATGAATGCATTATAAACATGCAACACCAGAGACAAGCATGGCACCAGAGACCACAAAACCTTTCTTTAGCATTTAAAAAAAAACTTTTGTTATAATGATTTAATTTCGGACTTTGGTTATAAATAACAGTGGGTTTTTCCCCCCTGTGTGTAGATTCACCCTGGGTGAAAACGACATGCTCCTGTTCCTTAAAGGTAAAGGGACCCCTGACCATTAGGTCCAGTCGCGGACGACTCTGGGATTGTGGGGCTCATCTCGCTTTATTCGCCAAGGGAGCGGGTATACAGCTTCCGGTCCTTACGCACAAGTAAACTGAATGCCCAAACAGGGTGTCAAATTTGCTATACAGTGGTACCTCAGGTTAAGAACTTAATTCGTTCTGGAGGTCCATTCTTAACCTGAAACTGTTCTTAACCTGAGGTACCACTTTAGCTAATGGGGCCTCCCGCTGCCACTGCACGATTTCTGTTCTCATCCTGAAGCAAAGTTCTTAACCCGAGGTACTATTTCTGGGTTAGCGGAGTCTGTAACCTGAAGTGTCTGTAACCCGAGGTACCACTGTACAGTTATATCTTAGCTTGAATCCTGGAATTTCTTTTCCAGTCAGACCCGATGTATATAAACTAGCAGGTGTCTTGCGCAACCCAGCCGAAGAAAGCAAATGGCTGATAGTTAAATTCTTGGGGGGTGGGGGAAGCACACACATTTGGAGCAGCTCCTCAGGTGCACCGGATACACAGACTTCTGGAGTCTACGTAGCTGCCATTAACTTTTCCAGGTTTGTGCTTTGCCTGGCAGAGCAGTTGAAGCAACACTGGGACCATATCTCCCCCTTCCCCAGCTTATGTACCCTCGTCTGATGGGTTCGTGCGCACAACCTGAGACTTCTGCTGCATAGAAGGGTTCTAGGGTATTTGAACAGGTTCTAGGGTATTTGACCAGCCTGTCCCTCACCTGAACGCATAAACAGCACATATGCATTCTTCCTCTTCCCCCGCTTCCGACAGGTCCTGAGCCCCGATCTCCGTCTCTGACTGCTCAGACCCTGATTCCCTTCGCCTTGGTTCCTGCCTCGTGTGTGGCACACAACCCCTCTCCTTGGTCAACCTCCCACCCCACTGCCTCCGCCCCAAACTTGCCAGAGCCCTGCTGGGACTCTGCTACATGGGCAAAGAAAAAATGCTTTATACGCATTGTTTATGCATTCTAACACTTGTGACACCAGATGGCGCTGTGGAGTTCCGTTTTCGCTCACCCGATTTCTCCTACAAAGTTTGCAACGCATTTAACTGAAACGCTTCTTTGATGCGTCTAGATCCAACCCTGGGCCCTGACAGCAAATGAGCCAAGATACTCACCTGAGGTGTTGATTAAAGTAGCACGTGAAAGGCTGAGAGCCAACTTCATCTTCCCAGTAAACCTGCCAGAGCTTTACATTTTCAGTGTTCTTCTGGTTTTCTCTTTTGCAGGGAGGGATATATGAACACTGTTGAAATAAATGTCATTAAGATGGCATCATTTTTGCTTGCAACAAGTAAAGACTTCAATTCTCTTTGGACATCCCTCAACAGTTTTTATAATTAAAACGAAAGCATATGTTTCAGGACTGGGCAAAAAGACAAGCAGGAGGTTTAACTGAATACTGTTGCTGTTTAACAATTGTTACTGAATGCTCAATGGTCTAACTCAAAGTGGGTGGGTCTAACCTCTAATTTTAGACAAGTTACATAAAAGGAATGCATGCATAACAGAATAAATCTGTCATTCTGCATGTTTAAAAAAACAGAGGATTACTTGCTGTTTTATCTCTAATCAAAATCTATGACTTTGAAACTGGAAATAAAAGAAAATACAGATATATGCGTGTACAAAATCCTTATGCAGTGTTATAATTTAGTGAGCAATGTGATGAAGTCAGCCACTGGCACACAACAGGCATGGAGGTATTACTCGATTCAGAGACAAGCAAAGAAGATTAAGGTGCAATGAAGTGCAAGGAGATTAAAGCTCCCACCCAGCTTGGTTTATCATGAGGATGGTGTTTAGTTCATTGCTAACCATAAATATTAAGGATATCTTGGCTGCTGCTGCTGCCTCTTCCAGAGCACCAGAAATAATAACTAAGTGAATTATGGGTAGCACAGGCTACACTTCAAAAACAGAATTCAGAGATCTGTCCACGTAGAGGTGGATCCCAGGGAGAGTGAGACTGAAGTTTCTGAGCACAAACATAATAAACCAATCTCAATGTCATACTCTTTTCCAAGCAGGCAGCTGGTTAGAACTCCACCTGTTCTCCAGGCCTACTTCTTGGTGCTCTCCATCTTTATACGTAGAGTACCAACAAAGTGTTTCAAAGGAATGAATATTCATCAACATGGGCACAGATTCCCACCGCAGGCACTCAAGTTCACCTGAAGACCCTTAGACCAAATCCATCTAGCCTACCATATCTAGTTTGACATTCCATGGCCTCAGACAGATGCCTTTCCCAGCTAGAAACCACATATACTTATTAGCTGCAGGTGGTGGCAATTGAAATTGCAACCTCCTTCAAGCAGATCACAAGCTCTGATGATGATGATCTATGGCCCTCGTCCCTCACCCACATCCTTCCCTCGCCCCCGGGCTCTAACAAGCAACCTGCAGCTTGCCAGAGACACAGACAGATCCTGAACTGGGTCTTTGTTAATGAAATCAGTGGCAAGAAAGGCATAAGGTTCAAACACAGTTACTCTTCTCCCAAGTCTCTTAAACTGTCAGTCTTCGGCATGGATTAAAAATATAGACTGCTACTTAAGGAACCAGAGGAAAGCCACAATGATGTAATTTAATTAATTTCTCTTCAAAACAAGATCCACAAAGCAGATGGGCTGAGGTTGTTTTAAGCCAACAGAATATATATATAGTTATAACTACAGATAGATACAGTTATATTTTAGGCTTTACTCCACCTTACCTGGCCTAATCCTTTAAGAACCAAAACAAGTTGAGGGCTGCATCAAGGTATTCTGATTTCCTCCAAGATGACAACTGTTATGGATCCAGCAGTCACACTCTTGGGGGAGAGAGTTTTGTTCCTTTGCATTTGTGGCACTTGCTAGTGCAGGAATAGACTTACTGGGTATTATGAATCTAAATCAGACTGTGATACTATAGAAACTGGGAAAAAATATTTTTACAGCTCCAAGAAGTGTTTGGGGAAGATTTCAAATGGCAGCTAATTTGGTTTTGTTGTGTAGGAAGTACTCATGAGACTAAAGTACACATTCTGCCCCTCCCCTAAGCTATTGGTTTAGCAGATGGCAGTGGACCCTACTGAGAAGTAAAACAGGACGGGGGCAGGAGAGTCATCTTTTAACATGGGGGGGGGATGCACCAACAATTAACTTATTCACTGTACTGTAGTTTTTTTTCTTTGAATAATTACAACGTATCTGGTTGCACGACATAGAATACATCATCAATGGCACGTCCAGGGAAACACGATGCTAATTCACAGACACATGTTCATCACTTGACTTCCGTGTGCAAATGTGTTGCCACAGATCTAAGAGCACAGATTGAGCTTTCGTATCACCCAATCCCAGTGTCAGCCTCAAAGGAAACACTTTTCAATGGAGTCTGCAAGTCCTCAAGGGTCAAACAATGACAAATGAAGTGGTGAATGATCAAATAATGTGCATGTATGCCTAACAAGCTAGCTAGCTGATAGGAATGATCACCTTCCTTATATATCGGGAAAGTGATACCCCTTTTCCATCCAGAGGGCATTTGCCCCATGTTGTTTATAGTGGTAAATAAGCCAGCCAATATAGGCGAATCTTGTATTTTAATCTATATTTCATCAATTTTTCCATGGGTTCCTCTGATGAATTCTCACGAGAATCCTTAACTGCCTTAGCCAGAACTTTCTTAGCCACTTTGCCCTGACCCTCAAACCAGCCGAGGTGTGTTGATTATGTGTAATTAGTAGTTGTAGATGTTAGAGGACACAAGTTCTGCAACAATTCCCTGGAAGACATCAACAGGATTTGGATTTTTGTTTTAATGGAGAGATCTACTCAAGCTGGCCCGAAATTGGCATATCAGATATACAGCAGAAGCACTGATCAAGCAGAATCACATCATTCCAAAACAAAAGTGTGCACCTTATCCTGATTGTTCACTTTTATAAGCCATCCTGGATTTTATTTTACTAGAAGGAGGATATAAATGATTTAAATAGATCTCTTGTAGACAAGTGATTAAACAACAGGAAGTGCAGAGACATTGAACTGTCAGTTTTCACAACAGAGAAAAGTAAGCACTGAGATCCCCAAGGATATGTATTAGAACTGGCACTATTTAACTTGACATACAGTATCTGGGGTGAGAATGACCTCAGAAATCATTGGTGAGGGATTTGGCAAGACACTTTTGTGGCAATCACACTGGGTCCCTGGATGTTTAACGGTCTATTGATCCTTGTGCCACCACTGTGCTCGCTTCTCCGCTGCCACCAACCCGTTACTCTCAGGTACACTCTGAGTCCAGTTGTTAAAATTGAACCAAATAAACAAGTTTATTTTATTAGTATTAACAAGTTTATGGTTTCTCAGATAATATTCTTGTCAGTTTCTTAACTTTACTTTCTTTACAGGCCTATACCTTCCTAATACCTTCTGACTGATTATCTCAACTGTTTGACTGACTCCTCTTAAAAGATTCTCTCCCTCTCTCACATCAGACTAGCCCAACCCACAGTCTTATCCTCTCTGTCTCTCTTCTCTAACTCCAGACTGACTTCTTAACAACTCTAACTCCCCCCTTTGGGTTCCTATTGGTTAGTCATTTTACAATTAGTTAACCCTTTCCTTATGAGCCCAGTATGATGTCACACACCTACGAGGGCAAACGCCACAACTATGTCAAAAGCTTTTTTTGAAATCCAAAGAAATAGTGTTTACCAAATCACCTCAACCCTCATACAAAAGGTGTGGAGTGCAGGGCTGAACCGACCAAAGATTGGTCTTATTTTGTTGCAAATCAATATGGTTTGATTCTTGCAGCCACTAGCTGGTATACACTCTTGTTCAGGAAATGCATGATTTACATGGATTCATCCTGATACCTTTTAGAATCATAGAATCATAGAATCATAGAATCATAGAATCATAGAGTTGGAAGAGACCACAAGGGCCATCGAGTCCAACCCCCTGCCAAGCAGGAAACACCATCAGAGCACTCCTGACATATGGTTGTCAAGCCTCTGCTTAAAGACCTCCAAAGAAGGAGACTCCACCACACTCCTTGGCAGCAAATTCCACTGTCGAACAGCTCTTACTGTCAGGAAGTTCTTCCTAATGTTTAGGTGGAATCTTCTTTCTTGTAGTTTGGATCCATTGCTCCGTGTCCGCTTCTCTGGAGCAGCAGAAAACAACCTTTCTCCCTCCTCTATGTGACATCCTTTATATATTTGAACATGGCTATCATATCACCCCTTAACCTCCTCTTCTCCAGGCTAAACATGCCCAGCTCTCTTAGCCGTTCCTCATAAGGCATCGTTTCCAGGCCTTTGACCATTTTGGTTGCCCTCCTCTGGACACGTTCCAGTTTGTCAATGTCCTTCTTGAACTGTGGTGCCCAGAACTGGACACAGTACTCCAGGTGAGGTCTGACCAGAGCAGAATACAGTGGCACTATTACTTCCCTTGATCTAGATGCTATACTCCTATTGATGCAGCCCAGAATTGCATAGGCTTTAATAGCTGCCGCGTCACACTGTAGGCTCATGTCAAGTTTGTGGTCAACCAAGACTCCTAGATCCTTTTCACATGTACTGCTCTCAAGCCAGGTGTCCCCCATCTTGTATTTGTGCCTCTAATTTTTTTGCCCAAGTGCAATACTTACATTTCTCCCTGTTAAAATTCATCTTGTTTGTTTTGGCCCAGTTCTCTAATCTGTCAAGGTCGTTTTGAAGTGTGATCCTGTCCTCTGGGGTGTTAGCCACCCCTCCCAATTTGGTGTCATCTGCAAATTTGATCAGGATGCCCTTGAGTCCATCATCCAAGTCGTTGATAAAGATGTTGAATAAGACCGGGCCCAAGACAGAACCCTGTGGCACCCCACTAGTCACTCTTCTCCAGGATGAAGAAGACCCATTGATGAGCACCCTTTGGGTTCGGTCCAGTCAGCCAGTTACAAATCCACTGAGTGGTAGCATAGTCAAGACCACATTTTACCAGCTTCTTTACAAGAATATCATGAGGCACCTTGTCAAATGCCTTGCTGAAATCAAGGTAGGCTACATCCACTGCGTTCCCTTCATCTACCAGGCTTGTAATTCTGTCAAAAACGAGATCAGGTTAGTCTGACATGACTTATTTTTCAGAAATCCATGCTGACTATTGGTGATCACAGCATTCCTTTCTAGGTGCTCACAGACTGTTTGCTTAATGATCTGCTCCAGAATCTTCCCTGGTATTGATGTCAGACTGTGCTTTTAAAGTTTTGAAAAATACCCGTAGGAACTCACTATTGTTATCCCACTAAACAGTTATTTTAAAGTCTCTGTTGACTTACCAGCCCACATATGTTACTACCCAGTTCAAAAGAGACTGATTATGCAATGTATGAGGACTTTTGGATATGGCTGGGTGTGTTTTTTAGGGATCCATAAAAAAATAAAAATGTATCTCCTCTATGCAATTCTTCCAGTGTTTGTTTAGTTAAAATTATGCTCGAAGAATTTACTTACTTAAACAAATATACCCTCTATTATGTACTTAGTCTCATCCAATTAATTAAAAACACCGCAAACCAAAAGGGCGAACATTTCTACAAGCGTATTAGAAACATCCAGTAGCCCATGCTAAAAAGATATTTTCAAGTTCATACATACGACATACTCACTCTTGGCTATTCACAACCACCCTTCATGTAGCAACACACAAAATTATTGCAGTCCATTTCTGTGCCTCTTTGATACTATTCTGTACATTTCAGGATCAACTCACACAACTACTGACACTGGTATAGGAAGACCTGGCCTTTCTGATGTTGCTGAACTAACAACTGCCCTCAACCCTAGCAACCATAGCCATTGGCCAGCAACATCTGGAGGGCCAAAGTTCCCCCACACCTGCCCTATATCTGGGCCTTAACCCAAGGGGGCTCATGTTAAATGGGAATCGTGGGCCCCAGTTGTGACTGGGTGCCTTTTAAATATTTCTTACTTAACTATGAACAATGTTCTTAAAGAGACAGTGGATTCCTCTGCCCTTAGGCTGTCTCTTACAACTTTTAACACTGACATATGTCCTTATTAGTATAATTTGGAACCTTTGCATTCCTTCATTTTGATGTGCAACATCAAGGCGGGATTGCTAAGCAGATAAAAATTAGGTTATCTCAAGGTGCTTAAACACCTGCAGCATAAAAGAATGAAACTCTACAGATCATCAAAAGGACAATGGTTCAAAAGGTTTTCAGGATTGTTAAAAAAACAAAAATACTTGAACTGTTCCATGCAGCTAGGGACTTAAACCCCTAATACCCTGCAATGTTTTCATAAGCTGGAAACTCCAGAGCAGCCCTAAGTATAGAAGTGAGTGTGTAATCATAGGACAGCTGCACTAAAAGTAACAACAGCAATGAAAGATGTCGGAATCACAGAACTGCAGAGTTGGAAGGGACCACGAGGGTCATCTAGTCCAACCACCTGCAATGCAGCAATCTTTTGCTCAATGTGGGGCTTGAACCCACAACACTGAGATCAAGAGTCGTCTTGATTTACTGAGAAAGGCAACCCTGCTCAGTACTCATTTCATTAGATTTGGAACTAGCTAAAGCACAGCACAGGACACGGGTGGCGCTGTGGGTTAAACCACAGAGCCTAGGACTTGCCGATCAGAAGGTCGGCGGTTCGAATCCCCGCAATGGGGTGAGCTCCCGTTGTTCAGTCCCAGCTCCTGCCAACCTAGCAGTTCGAAAGCACGTCAAAGTGCAAGTAGATAAATAGGTACCGCTCTGAAGGGGAGGTAAAACGGTGTTTCCGTGCGCTGCTCTGGTTCGCCAGAAGCGGCTTAGTCATGCTGGCCACATGACCCAGAAGCTGCACACCGGCTCCCTCGACCAATAAAGTGAGATGAGCGCCGCAACCCCAGAGTCGGCCACGACTGGACCTAATGGTCAGGGGTCCCTTTACCTTTACCCTTTAAAGCACAGCACACAAAACACAACAGAGACAGGTCCTCTCTAGTGGTCGGCCAGTTTTTTTGATATATATATATATTTTACAACTAATACTGAAGGTCTTGGAGCTTCCCAATGCCTCACTCAGCTAACAAAACAGACAAGGCCAGTCTGTGTATGTTACATTTCTGCTGATATTGTCATGGCTGCTTTTAATTTACCATTTATTGTAATATTTGGGGTGATTTTGTTGACAATCATTTTGTAATATTATAAACAAAACAAATCCTTGAATTTCCTTAATTGTTCCTTTTCGGTCGTATTCTGAATTGTTACAGAATGGCAATGTATTTTGGGGTTGTATATTTTGACATTTCCATGGGTTATAAACTGCCTTGGGTACAATAATATAGAAAGGCATGAGACAGTTAAAAAACGAAATGGAATGAAAAAGAAATTGGGAAAATTGGAATATCTCCGGCAGAAAAGCATGCAGCTGTGTCTAGGGACAAACAAAGTTGAAATGGGTTCATAAACCAGGATGACAAGAAGGTCCCTAGCTTTCACTTTCCAGGTGATCAACCACCTTTTATATCCCTCAATTATACAATATTTTACTGTGTTCCTTCTTTGAACTCCTGCTTCTCTCTCTCTCTCCCCGCAACTCCACCCCAAATTCCTCTTGCCTCTCATAGCTAATAGACACACACATAAATAACTTCAGTAAAGTTTTAATCCTGGTTGCATAGTTATTCTCAATTTCTTCCTTTAGCTTAACATTTTGTTGCTTGATGATTAAGCACCAAAAAGCAACTCTTCAGGAGTTTCGGTACAAACAATAAGTAACCCTCACAACACCCCTGTGAGTTAATTAAAAGCTACTGTGGCCATAGAACAGACCGGAAGAGCCTGAAAGACAGCACACTAATAAAATTGCCATTTCAGGTCTGGGGAAGATGTTCAAAGTCGTGCACTCCCAAATTTGGCTGTATACTCCCAACGAGTCCCCCTAGAGCACAACATGAATAAGCAGTCGATGAGAAGGGCCTCTTGTGTCATCACAGGTTAGCCTATTCTGTTCTGAATCCTTTTCGGAGCTGTTTTAGGTAGCACTTATTTCTATTAAAAAAAAAACCCTGCAGATATACTCAGACCTCAAAGTCCATATCCACAACCTCAGGTGCGATGGGACCAGTAGTGAAGGAAACACTCGCTATATAAGGACCGATATATGTACATTATGGCGAGATGTGGGTGGTGCTCTGGTCTAAACCACTGAGCCTCTTGGGCTTGCCAATCAGAAGGTCAGCGGTTTGAATCCCTGCGACAGAGTGAACTCCCGTTGCTCTGTCCCAGTTCCTACCAACCTAGCAGTTCGAAAGCACGCCAGTGCAAGTAGATAAATAGGTACCGCTGCGGCAGGAAGGTCAACAGTGTTTCCGTGCGCTTTGGTTTCCGTCACGGTGTTCCGTTGCACCAGAAGCGGTTTAGTCATGCTGGTCACATGACCCGGAAAGCTGTCTGTAGACAAACGCCGGCTCCCTCGGCCTGAAAGCGAGATGAGCGCCGCAACCCCAGAGTCGCCTTTGACTGGACTCAACTATCCAAGAGTCCTTTACCTTTTATCTGTATGTACATTAGCCCTAGCAACGAAAGCAGATTCTGAGACAAAGCCTGGCGAGTTGTGGCTCAAGTTCAATGCACAAAAAGGAAGACAGGTAAGCAAATGTATTTATTTATTTTTATTTTGTAAATAAGTAAAATACTACGTCACATGTCTTCAATAGCCCAAAAGGAGAATATGAGCAACCCATGTCAAATAATTCATCTACTGCCCACCAGGAACCTGTAGGCTTCCCATTTGTGCTGAGTTGGGATACTGGAGGCTAACAGAGAAGGGATAAGGCAAGTGGCAATTTCTGTTCTGATATCCCACCTGGAGTTCTGCACGTCACAATTTAAGGAGGATTGTTAAGAAGGATGTTGACATGGGCAAAGGAGGGCAATAACACATGCAGCCTTCTGGATCCCATCAATGGTAACAAGTTACTCAGCCTTGTAAATAAGCCCACAAAAGTTACTAGCTTGGGGCGGGGTGGGGCGGGGCGGGGCGGGGGACAAAGCCTCCCTCTGCTGCAGCCAGCATGGAAATGCAAACCAAGTAGTCTTCTAGCAAGTAGACTTGCAGAGGAGAAACAGAGCAATCGGTTCCACTTCCACCAACCTGTCCAGTTTCCATGCTTGTCATGAAGAAAGGGACTTTCCTTCCGCACGGCTAGCCTGGAAACCAAGTGGACTGGGTGAAAAGATCCATCTTGCTCCCTCCACCTTGCTCACTCACCTGCATGGGATTCCTGATCACCAATGGCTACCAGGCAAGTTGTTAATTATAAGGCAGTATTTACTTAATTGCTCCTTAAATTCTGAATACAGTCATACCTTGGGTTACAGCCACTTCAGGTTGCGTTTTTTCGGGTTATGGACCGCCGAAACCCGGAAGCACCGGAACGGGTTATGTGGAACGGGTCGCGCATGCGCAGAAGCGCTAAATTGTGCTTTGCACATGCACAGAAGCACCGAATCGCAACCTGCGCATGCGCAGACACAGGTTGCGAACGTGCATCCCGCATGGATCACGTTTGCAACCCGAGCGTCCGTTGTACATTTTTCTTGATCCTGGAAATGAGGTTTATATACAGATGTAGGCATGGCTAATATGGATGGTGATGTACACATTGTGGTGCAGATTTGAGCCTCCTTTAAAAAGGGTGGGTGTGTCTTCTGCCTGCAACTAGAGTGGGATTAGGCAACATTGACTCCCTTCACCTGTAGTAAAGCAAGTAAATTGGAAAAAATCTACTTTAATTGCTTTCTTTTCTGTTCCTGGATCACCGTGAGCTATCATAGAAGCCATCCTGAAAACCTAATACTTCACAAAGCAATCAGAGTTAGTGCTTTATCCATTCTAAACAGCAGGCAGGCAGAAAGGCACGCACATTTGAATTAATAGCAATGCTCAGAAGGCACCTTCCACCAAGAAATGGTGTCTATTTCCAAAGTAAATATTATGGTGTCTCTAATTTTGTTTAAAGGCATTAATTCTCACTGTAGCACAAATAGACATTTTAGTAATGTTCAGTTAATTAAAATAATAGCTTGTCCATGTTTGTTTGTTTTTTTTGTATTCCAAGCAGAATGAGGTGGGGGGACTGGATGGGATATCTATGGGTCACTTGCTTCCCAAATCTTGTATTGTTGTTAGAAACTCAATGCTTTTGCAAGTGAGTGCCCATGAACTGAGAACTTAAGGGAAAAAATTGGGGGGAAAGCTTGTTCATGGATGATAATGACTACCAACTCTGAGGCTATTTTATACCTCCATTGTTGGAGGTGGTTTGACCTAAAAACCCTCCCCTTCACTACACTCTTGCCAATTCTGCCCCTCCAGTCTTGCTGCTCCATTTCCCCCTCTCCTTTGGTTTCCCACTTGCCTTCTTCATCTTGCATATCCAGTTGGGAAAGAAGCAAAATTTGGTTGCCATGCAACCAAAGGACGCAACCTCTGTTGCATCCACATTCTGCCTTCTTTATTTTCCCCCCTCAACCAAGAAGATGCTTCTTATTCTCTACCTCCACCCTCATTAGCAACAAACAAAACAAAAACACAGCGGCAACGGCTTTGAAGGGTACAAGGCACCTGAACAGAGTGAGAAACACACAGAGGAGTAAAACAGCTCTACTAGAATCCAGACAATAACAACATGTAAAATGAAGATCAGCTATCCTCGAGCAAGCAATGGAATGAGAATTCTACAGAAGCACGGCAGGCTGATGAAAATACATACAGTGGTACCTCAGGTTAAGTACTTAATTCGTTCCGGAGGTCCGTTCTTAACCTGAAACTGTTCTTAACCTGAAGCACCACTTTAGCTAATGGGGCCTCCTGCTGCCGCCGCGCCGCCGGAGCATGATTTCTGTTCTCATCCTGAAGCAAAGTTCTTAACCCGAGGTAATATTTCTGGGTTAGCGGAGTCTGTAACCTGAAGCGCATGTAACCTGAGGTACCACTGTACATGATGGGAAACTTCAAGCCTGGGGGCTGAACATGTCCTGCCAGGCCTCTCTATCTGGTCATCAGAATCCGCCCCAAGCCCTCACTGTTCCTCACTGTTCTCCGAGTGCTTTTACCCATCTGACAGTGTTAGAAACTCAGATATATAAGTAAGGTGCCAAATGGCACCTTAAACTCGGGTTAAGGTCACCACAACATAATGTCTATTAGTCAGAGTGTTGGACTAGAGGGCCCTTGGGATCAGTTCCAACACTGCAGCTGTATAATTCTGTGATCTCAACCACATTGCTTGACTGTAGCTTGCTCTTACAGCAACTCACTTGTCCCAGTATGCAAGAAGGAGAAATCCACACAGGGGAAATGGAAGTGGTATTAACTATGGACTAAGGCAGGGTAACTGCAGTCATCAACCTGTCACCCAGAAATCTCCATGTGGTCACAATTGGACCTGTGCCAGTAGCAAAATGAGCCTGGCACCTGCCTAGTTTCGAACACTGGTCTGGAATGTGTCCCTGAACACCCTGAAATAAGGCCTTTTGCTTGCCTAGGTAGAGGATAGAGAGGGGTGGGTGAGCGTGTGGGTAGAAGCTACCCTACTGCAGAAAGGTAACATTTACATGCATTGCTCCACCAACTTCTGCCCCCAGCCTCACTTAACCACTGGCATGTGGTCCTTGGCATGTTGTGGCCCATGGGCTGAAAACCTACATATGCTCCTCTAAGGTGTGATGATCTGAAATGTTCCATGCTATAAAAACAAGAAAGGCTGAGCTCTGCCGATAGACAAATACATCTTCAAAGCCTGCTGGTAAATGGGAGGCCTCTGTGAAGCGAGGAAAGTTAGTCACAGAGTAGTTAACTAGAGTTTACTGGTAGACAAAAGTTTTACAAGCAGTTTATTCCCTCAGAATCCCCTAGCTCTGAAGTCACCCTCTCCAATACAAGAAACACCAACTCATGGGCAAGGACATGCTCAGCTAGTTGCAGGTCCCCTTTACCCCGTTTCATGAGTCTTGAACATAAAGTCTGAAGCATCAAAGCAAGGAGCTATACAAACAACAGATATTGAGGAAACTAAGCCTCAATTGTGCTTCCTGTTTTACTTGGAGATGCCTCCAGTTCCAGTTAATGACCATTGTTTTTCACTCTCTCTCTTATTTCCGCAGTTTATTTATTGAATTCATTTCTCCCCTTTCTTCTCATCTCTTTGTCCATTTCAGTTCACCAGGCTTCCCCTCAGGTGTGTGTTGGCAAGAGCACATGCTGAGCCATGTTCAGCAACTCCCCAACCCTCAGCCAGCCTGCACCCCTCACCTTGGCCCATTCTATCAACTTGCTGCTGATCTTAGACCCATTTGCACCTGAAGTTAAAAAGGCAGAGTGGTAACCCTGCTTAAAAAGTGGAGCTTACTTTTAAAAGGTGACATACAAGCAACATAAGAATAGTCGTGCTGGGTCAAACTAAAGATCCATCTACTCCAGCAAGCTGCTTCTCAAAGTATCCAATCAGGTACCTTGACTGGGGGAAGGAAGTGAGTTGGCAATCTCTCGAGAAACTTCTGCCCAGCTTCATGGTAAGTCCAGCCCTGTAACCACAGCTAAGCTTTGCTGCACCACTGAATAGTTGGTTTTCTCTTTCCTCCTCTGCCCTGCACTGTACAGTGGTACCTCAGGTTAAGAACTTAATTCATTCTGGAGGTCTGTTCTTAACCCAAAACTGTTCTTAACCTGAAGCACCACTTTAGCTAATGGGGCCTCCCGCTGCCACCGCGCCGCTGCTGTGCAATTTCTGTTCCCATCCTGAAGCAAAGTTCTTAACCCGAGGTACTATTTCTGGGTTAGCGGAGTCTGTAACCTGAAGTGTATGTAACCAGAGGTACCACTGTAAAGTTTTTGACTTTTTATGCTCAAAAGTCCTAACAGCCATTTATATCCTAACTTGATTCTGCTCAGCAGTTTTGTTTCATTCAGAACATCACGCTTATGAACAGCCTGGTGCTGTAAGACACCACAATCAATCACAATACACTCTTCCCAGCATTTAAATAAGGAACTTTCAGATTTGAGGCAATTATAAGGGACAAAAGAACCCACCCAAAACTTCACAGCATCTTTTTAAATGACAATGGGGCACCTTCTTCGTATCACTTTGAGGATGCATGTGAAACATGGTTGTCGCAGGACAACAGCCATTCTAAGCGGCTCTTCCAGAGCCACCCAAACAATAAGACGAAGCCATGAGCTACTAATCACGAGAGGACTAGCATCTTTCTTCTAGATTCTCACACCACACCTTTCCCTGTTCATTCTACAACACTGGCAGGTCGCTCCCATCAGTATAGACAATAAGTCAGATGGAACAATGGTTTGACTTGGAATGAGGCAGCTTCTGATGTTCCTAAGCACAATAGGTGTTTTTCCATTTTCTGAACCTGCTTAAAATATGTCTGTGCCACAAGGGAACGCAGCAATGATGTAAGTAAACGAGGGCAAGAAGGAGGAGAGGAAAGGGAGGGGATGATGGTAGATGCGGGCAGGCACCAAGGTCAAAGCTAAAGAACAAGAGAAAACAAAAGGGAGGATGACAAATCCAGTCAAGACTTTGGTTTTTTTTACTTATAGCTCAACTACCACAAGGAACAATATGTTTCTTATTCTACATCATATATGGTCCTACCTTTAAGCAGAGTGAGGTAGCTACCTCAGGCAACAGATACTGGGACAAGTAACATGCCCCTGCCCCTGGAGCCATTTCTCTTGAGCTTCCTTGGCCCTTTCTATCCTCCTAAGCTGGTGACTTGGCAGTGGCAATGTTTGCTTGTTGCTGGCATGAGTTGGTGTCATGACCCTAGAGACCAGCAGTGACCAAGCCACTGAGTCAGAAGCTACAGTGCCACCAGTTGAAGAGCTGGACCAGGTTCCTAGCTCTGAACATGAGGCTGGCAGACAGGCACCTGCCGAACGAGATCCCACAGCACCAGAGTCTGTAGAAGCAGAGCCAGGACCCTTGTAGGCACTTCTCTGGGCCCAAGGAACTGACTGCCTCCCAGAAAGTGCACCAGGTGAGAGCCCATGCAGCAAAGGAGAAGCATCAGTCTTCGGGTCAGAGGGTTGGCCTTTCAAGAACTGCAGTTCTTCAACAAAAAGGGAAGAGCACAGAAGAGGTGGAATTGGCAGCAAACACTCAGAGGGGTCTCAATTCACCTCCAGCCTTCAATGGAGAAAGTTGCTCACTAGGAGCTCTCCTTGGTGCTGTAAGAACTCAACCTGCCTTGTTCAGTGATCTCTTCCTGGGGAGCAGAACAAAACAGTTGGCCGGCCATCCTGCCTAATCACCTTCTCGCAACGCATCACAGATAACACTGTTGGGAAAGGCCCCTGACTAAGGAAGGAGGTCATGCACTTCCAGCAGACATTGCACATGTGCACAGATTGCCCACTCAGCTGATGCATACTGGTGCTACCATTGCTACATTATAGCCATTGTTTGAGCAGGCAGTGAGCAGGAACCAGTGAGCATGGTGTTGCAGGACAGGTGCTGTGCATGCCGCATGCCCTGCCCTGCATACCCTAAATTTGCCAGCTGTCCTCAAGTGCAGTGGAGGACACTGTCCCAATGCCAGGGCTGATAGGAAGTTTCAGTTGTCAGTCTGGTCAGGCTGTATGCATGTATGAATGAAAGGATAGCACTATCTTGTCCTTACTTTCCTAGTAGTGACTGCCTCTGCTTCACTACTCTTAAAAATCACAGCAACTGCCTTGGTCATTTCCAAGACCTACCGGTGGACCTGATCCTGCATTTTGAGAATTATTAGAGGCAAATCAGATCAGAGGTGAAGACGAATAGCCAGAGTTAGCTTATAAGAGCAGAAGTACTAGGAAAGTAGACACATCTTCACTGCCCATCTAACGGGCTTACTGTAGCATGGAACCTTCAAAACCAATAGCCCATTTAACCTGATGCTTGAGGTGGATACAGAAGGAGATAGCTATCCATTTATTTTAGAGGTTGCCTCAGGAGTAGCCATGATTCTGCCACCCACCTTTTTATTGCTTTAGCCACCATACTTTTTTTAAAAAAGCAAGAGCAATTCATTTGCCATCTACAACTTTTGCAATGAATAATGGACAGAGAGCTTTCGCCACCCGAGGAAAAGAAAGAAACCAGTCACACTTTTAAATTGCCACTACTAATGAAAAAGATGGTGCAAGTAAGAATCTCAAGGCATTATCTGGATTTCATTAGCACACATAAATTGCAGGGTGTTCTTTGTCTCTCCTACAAAACAGAGCCACATTGCTGTGTGGGTTTTTTTAAAAAATAAAACTCGTGTTAATTCCCCCCCCGACTTGCACACTGGGTTTACAGGCCTGATGAGAACAATTGTAAGTGTACCCCCAGAAAATGTGAGATGGAAATTTGGAAACATGCCTCATATAGGAAACTTTATCAGGCTACTGTTACAGGTTGCGGCTCCATTTTGGGTATAAGCTCAAGCAGCTGGGAATTTGCAGCTGGATGCAGTGACTCAAAGAGTCCAAGTGAACCTATCTACGTGAACTGTAAGTGGATAAAGGTAAAGGGGCCCCTGACCATTAGGTCCAGTCGTGGCCGACTCTGGGGTTGCGGCACTCATCTCGCTTTATTGGCCGAGGGAGTCGGCGTACAGCTTCCGGGTCATGTGGCCTGCATGACTAAGCCGCTTCTGGCGAACCAGAGCAGCGCACGGAAACACCGTTTACCTTCCCGCCAGAGTGCTACCTATTGATCTACTTGCACTTTGATGTGCTTTTGAACTGATAGGTTGGCAGGAGCAGGGACTGAGCAACGGGAGCTCACCCCGTTGCGGGGAATCAAACCGCCAACCTTCTGATCGGCAAGTCCTAGGCTCTGTGGTTTAACCCACAGCGCCACCCGCGTCCCAAGTGGATAGAAGTGCAAAAATAAAATTTACAATAGTAGCACCACCCAATATTTGGATATTCAAGTGCTCAAGGTGATTCATGTACGCTACCCATGTTTGCACATAGAGCGAAGCCAAACCGTAGATCAGTGCAAATGCGCAGGCTCCCCGTGAGGAGATCACACCCGTTTTGCTCCTCCCTGGTCCTTTTAACTCAGGGCAGCACACCAGCCAAGCCAAGGTTTGGCTTAGCGTGTCATCCAGGCATGGGATTGTAGTTAGGATTTGTTCTTGGCTAGAGCTCGTGGTTAGTAAGGAGAGAGTTTAACTGCAAGCCCAGGTTCAAACAACACACTAAGAGCCAAACCTTGGCTTACCTCTGTGTGGTGTGTGATTAAAAAATTGGGGGGGGGGGGAGAGTAAAGCAGGTGATCTACACACCAAACCCTGCAAGGTAAATCTGTATAAACACCTCTCATATTTCAGATGGGAAGAACAAGGTGGAGTGGTTCCCCAATGGCTACCTAGGGAGCTCGGGGCAGAGATGAAATTTGAACAGGGGACTTTCTGTTTGCAGCTTAATCCCTTTATTGCAACTGGGGGCGGGGGGGAGGGATACAAATACATGTAAGTGAGATATCTGTATCGCAGTGGACATGGCCCAAGCCTGTCACGGTTGCCTCCACTACTTCTAATAGATTCCAGTGCCTCAGGCAACTATCAATCAATTTTTGGCTCCCTCCCTGAAATTAATTAGAAATCTCCTTTCCTTTTAAATCAGGTTCTGCCCAGATTCCCCTCCAAAACCAGGGCTACTTTAATGCCAAACCCTTAGCAGGCACATCCACTGCCAGGAAGAGGTGAAAGAACAAGAACACAAATGATTTATGGGGGGAAATTTGAACATTCACACTATGCAAAGAGAACAGTGGGCAATTTACTTCACCCAGTTTTCCGGTCTGTGAAATAGGAACACCAACACCTTACTTCACAAGGTTTTAAGTAGCAGTAGTAATATTCCTCCTGTGGCAAATAGAAGCTCCAGGTGGGGGGACAATTTGCATCAGGACCATGGTGCTGCAAGAATTCAAACCTGCAGGCTCATGTGTCCCAGGTCCGATCACACACACACTCCACCCCTGCAGCTGCAGCTATTTACAGTTTTAAAAAGATACAAGCAATGCCAATGAACGTGTTTAACATCACTTGTAGTTTAAACCCTAAGGAGCCCAGGGTGGCGAATATACCCTCTCCTTGACATTTATCCCCACAACAACAACCCTGTGAGGGAGGCTATGTGGTAAGAAAGAACAGGTGTCCCAAGGTCACCCCGCGAGCTTTGCCACACAATAGGGATTTGAGGCAGAGCCTCTCTTGCACTCTAACCACTATAACATGCCAGTTTTGGGCAACCTTCGTTACCCTGAGGTGTAATGAGAAGGCAAAACAGTTCTGTAAGTAAAAGCGCTCTGCACGCTCTCAGGAACCCCGTTATACCACCTGCTCCAGCAGAGATCCCAACCAGTAAAGGGGGGAGGAGGCGCAGTGGGGAAAGGCATCCCCACCAGCGCAAAATGTCATCGGCGCAAACTTTCCAAAGCTGCGCTCGCTGCGCTTCTGGCTACTCTGAAAAGAACCGGAGCCCCGGCTTCCTATTGGAGCGGGCGACTTCTAGAGCGTGGGCGGCCCAATGGGCAGGAGGTCTTGCATTCTGTGGAACGGACAGGATGTTCTGGGCTACGGGGCTCTGGACTCGGGTCCCCGGCCAGTTGGACAGATCCGCGGCAAGCTCCTCTGGCACTGACGAAGCCGCAAGAGTTGCCAGCTGTCTCGAGTCCCGGAACATCCCCGGAGCCTCCTGACCCTCTTTCTTGGTCCGAGAGTCGATCGTTGCCCGCAGAGTCCAGTGGAGACACCTGGGGACGCACGGAGGCGCAACAGGCTGCCCCTGCTTACACTCGCCCAACTCCAGGACGAGGGCACCAATCCCGCCTTTCTGCGGATCCCCTGGCGGATCGGGCAGGCGAGTAACGGGGCTTCCTTTCTCAAACCCCCAACGCGCCCCAGGTCAAATCACTCCTGTTCATCCCCCTCCCCAACCCTTCCTCCGAGGTCCCAAGATTTCAGCGGGTTGCCCTCTGCACACGCCCAGAGGGCGCTCCCGCTGGCGAGGAGCGCTTGCCGAGGAGGGTTCCGGGGCTGCGCCTCCTCCGGGCTTACCTTGGGGTTGGCCAGCAGCTCGTGCTCGTCCTGGTGCAGCAGCGCCCGGGCGTCGGACTCGGAGTTGTTGACGTAGATCTGGAGGCAGGGGTAGAGCGCGGTGCCCTTGCAGTCGGCGCCGCACGTGAAAGTGCACTCGAAGAGCTCGCCGACCTGCTGCACCGACACCACCGTGCAGTTGGCCGCTTTGCCCTGCAGGTCCTGCAGGGCCGGGTTGAGCCAGCAGAAGCCCAGGATGAAGAGAGACACGATGCCCGTGGCGATGAGGAACAAGCCCAGCCGGATGCTCTTGTCCTCGGCTTCGGTGTACTCGTAAGACACCCGGATCTTCGCCATCGGGATCGCGGGAGGCGGCGAGCGAACCAAACGGAAAGGCGGGCGGAGGAGCAGGAGGAGAGGGGCGGGAAGAGGAAAAGCAGCAGAATCGGCGAGGGGTTTGGGTTTTGCTTCTGGCTCCTTCCCGTCCAAAGCGGGGAAGCCCCGCAAGACCCGCTCCGTCCCGCCGCCGCCCGTTCGATCCCAGCTGCGGGACTAGCCCTGGCCGGGCTCCAGCCCGGGGGAGGCGCCTGGGGCCGGCGAGCAGGCAGGGAGGCTCCCCTCGCGGCGCGCCAAACAGGCCTGGCAAGGCGGGAAAAAGACCCGGGCGCGTTGCGCTGCGCTTCCCCACTCCCGAGGACAGGGGGCTTCCCCGGAGTCTGGCGGCTCGCGGCTCGCCTCCCACCGACTGGATCCGAGCTGGCTGGGAGCCTGGCGACATCTGCCACGAGGTAAGCGCCTTACGGCGGAGGAGGGAGCCCGAGCCGCCGCGCTGCCCTTGCTCAATCTCTTCCCGCTCCCTCCTCCCCCCCCCCAGCCGCTCCAGGGGGGGGTGTAGGGCGGGGAGGGGGGCTCGCCATTGACAATCGGAGAGAGGGACCCAGGCAGGCGGCACCACCTTCTCCTCCTCCCTCCCTCCCTCCCCCGCCCCACCCCCCGCTCCCTCATCTCCAGTGAAAGCGGACAGGGACAGCTCGGCCCAGGATTATCTCTTGTTTTAAATCCCGGAAGTGGAGCTTGATTACTCGCCCCGATTAAGGGCGTCCGCAGGGAGGCAAGTCTTGAATGGGGGCATCGCCACGTGCAGCTCATTCAAGCGCCTCCGAGCGTGGAGGGCGGGGAGGGACGCGCGGGAGTCGCGCTGGAACGGGAGCGAGCACGTGGCTCGCAGCAGGCGCTCGCCGCCCCCTCCAGGCCGGCTTGCTCCTCTCTCCTTTTTTTAATGAAGGGGTTTTAGCCGCTTTAATCTCCTGGAAGAGACCGAGAAATCTCATTCAGTAATTTCTCGTTCTCCTCCCCCACCCACCCACCCTCCGTGCCCTCCACGCCCGGCCGGCCCAGCTGGCCAACCATCAAGCTCGCAGCAGCAACAGCAGCGACGGAAACCACATGCGCATCCCGCTTACTCTCTTGCGCCCACGTAAAAGTTTCCAAACCGGAGCCGATGCTTTACATGTGCACTGGAATGATTTGAAATAAAGGAGTGCCCGTTATAAAATATGATGGTGGTGATTTCCTGGCAAGAAAACTTTAGTATTACTATTATTTCAAAGTGTCGCCATCTCTTGGAATAAGGGTTTACCTTACAGGGCAGCTGGGCGGTGCCCCGTGCATATTCCGCGCTCTTCTTCCGATCGTTCAAGTGGCAAATCCCGGGGCAAGATTAGCTCAAACTGCACAGTCCACCTGGGCAGCGACGGGGAAACCTCGTTTTTTCTCCCCTGAGCAATGGATAGTATCTCTCTCGAGAACGTCCCCTATCCACGCCCTGGGCTTTAGGGCATAGCTGTCAACCTTCCCTTTTTTGCGGGAAATTCCCTTATTCCAGCGCCGTTTCCCGCTGCTTCCCACTGCTATCCCGGATTGTTAGATATCCCGTAGACTGTCCCCGGGACAGGTGAGGCTGCTGATCCCTTATTTTCAAATCTGAAAGTTGACAGCTATGCTTTAGGGCTACAGAGCAGCAACAGCCATGGGATAAAACAACCAAAATGTCCTTACAATGAAGGGAATCTAAAGCAACTCCAACAAACAAACACAGCAGTACCATCCCAAGAGTCTGCTCAAAAACAAAAAAGCCAAATATACAAAAACCCAGTGGCAGGAATTGCTACTAGCAGTAATGAAACAGAGGGAAAACAGATTCTGGGAACTGGTGGCCTGGGTTTAATGGAAGAGAGTTCATCACAGGAAGCCTCAATTCCTGCCTCTGATTGGGTTAAATATTTCTCCAATCCAAGCCAGGGCCAGCCCAAGATGTTTTGCTGCCTGAGGCAAACCAGATAATGACACACATTGGTTGGTTCACAGGCAGGGCCCTGCCTCTCTAGTGGCTGCTTTTTCCCTTTGCTTCCCTGAGGGATAGGGCTGCCATATTTCAAAAAGTGAAAATCTGGACAGAAAAGTTGTTGGGCTTTTTTTTTTTGCAAAATCTCTCTCTCTCAAAAAAAGGAGGAAGTTTTTGAGCTATTTTTAAGGGAATTTGCCAAAAAAAAGACACTGCTGACATGGCTTTTCCTGGACTTTTCAGCAATTTCTGCCAGGACACTGCTTCTGAAGGCCAATTGCCAGCTATGTCCGGGAAATTCCAGGCATATGGCAACCCTACTGTGGGAGATAGACCCAGCAAAGGGGCTTGGTTCACAGCAGCTTCATCTTTCTCCCTCAGGTGTGGATCTGCCAGCCTTCCCAACTGTCCAGAGTCTGCCACCCAAGGCAGTCACCGCCTTTCGCCTCATCAGGCCTACAACAGGAGAGGGAACAATAGAGGGGTCAGGCAAACACCCTGTGGCAAGATAAGGGAACTCCAACAACCACAACACATTCCCCATCAAGTGCTCAGTGGGGAGAGGGTCTTCCCTGTGGTGGCACCCCCAGATTTGGGATCCAGATTTCCTGGCAGCAGTGGGAGGGCACCGAGTTAAGCAGTGCTTTGAACTGTAGGTGGCTGCATACAAACCGTACATTTAAAGCACACCCCTTGCCTGAAAAACCTGGGAATCTATAGTTAAGGGTGCTGGGAATTGCAACTCTGTGGAGGGTAAACTATAGTTCCTAGTCTGGCACTCTAACCCACTCCTCCATACTAGAGACCATTGCCTCTGAAAAAGTCCACCATGCTTTTATTGGGCAGTGGGAGCGGGGAGACCAGAGGCATAATCTGGATGGGCACTGCTAATCCAGTAGATGTGCCTATTTGCACACAAACCTGAGCTAAATCCAACTTGCATCTCTTAAGAAGATCTGATGGATGGAGAAGCAGAGGCAGAGCTGAACCGGCCTTGGTACGTAACTTACACACACACACACACACACACACACACACACTGCTGCATGATACAGAACGCTGCTTCCCGCTCAGCAGCCCATCAGCATTCTTCATCCTTAACAACAGAAGCCATGACACTTAATTTCTCACCACGAGACCCCAGCAGTACACTACAGGCAGTCAATAACCACTTTATCACTTGAGCTGGCCGCTATATTATAGATTCCCCCTTTCTGTGAACTCAGCTGACTACTGCAGTTCCTTCAGAATGCAACTTCGCTTCCTGAACTGTAGTTCAGGAACACATGTGCGGGTGTGTTTTAAATCTAAAAGTCAACAGTGTCAGGAATCAACGTGGAGCGACCAGGTCATAAGGAAGCATGAGTTCAGAGTGGATTTTTACAGGCCAGAGTTCAGCAGTAGATGTGGAGTGTGGAAGTATTCAAAGAAAAGCATATAACTAGGCCTGCAACCCAGGGCTAAGGACCAAAGGAGACGTCTTTGCATTGAAGATGCAACACAGATTGCAGACACTGGAGGCTCAGCCATGCAGAGGGAATTTAACCCTTCCCTCCTCTGAATCTGCTCTTTGTCAGGATGGGGGAAGAGATGCGGTGAGGCAATCCCCCAGACATTTAATAAGTTTCATATAAAGATATATGGCAGAAAATGTCAAGGTACTGTAACCTATGGCATGGAAGTTTCCTTCTTTTCCCCAGTGTTCCATTTTTAGGTTTTGTTTAATGATTTGGTTTTCATGCCACCCCCAAAAAGTCAATAAATGAACCCACAATTCTCCCTTTCACCTGCTATTCACACAAGCAACTGCGTAACAAATTTATTATAGCCTGAGATTTCATCTTATGGCCATATTAAATAACATTTCTCACCTTTAAGATGCCACAAGGCTCCGATGTTTCCAGAGAAAAGTAATCTTTCTATCTTTACATGACATGTTTTCACCCCTCCAACTTGTGCAATGCCGTAGAGGAAGCATATACAGTACACAGTATTATGAGGAAGGTTCATTATTCAAGAAAATTGTCTTCAGAACATGACAATATGCAGTTACTGGAAGCTTGCAAAGAAAAGCTCATTGAGACAATCTCTCTCTCAAAACTTTCTGAATGAATCTGTAGAGATTTGCACTAACATCTGGTTAATGCAAGATTTAGCCATTTTTGCAGTTCTTGTTCAAAAGAACAGTGTTTTAGTACATTATAAAACAAACTGGCATAGCTAAACTTTTGCAAAAGGAGAAGCTCTGCTGTATAACCATTGCTAGAAAGCTGGGCAAAGCAACCCCGTGGTCATATTAAAGACCATCACATCAACCTTGGACCTTTACATCAATGGAGCTAGCTAGCATCCTATGCTTCCTCTGCAGCATCAGAAGAACTGAAGAAAATAGCTCAAGAAGGGGAAAAAGAGGGATCAGTCAAATGAACTCGTTCACGTACCTGCTGGTTATTTACCCAGCACACCTCTTCATAAATCACCCCCAACCTCCCTCAAAGCAATGCAAGGCTAATCACATCAACAGTAAATGGGGCAAGGAGAGGAGATAATGATAGACATTAAGCTGCAAGGACTTTCAAGCTTTCTCCTTGCTAGTGCTCCAATGGCAAAGCCACAGCTTGAGTGAAAATCCAGATGGCGGTCCCATCCTGAAGACGTTCAAAGAGAATGAGAGTCGGGGATGGTGAAGTTCCCTATCTGCTAAACATTGGAAAAGAGAGGCAGCTGAAAAAACAATCACAAGTTTTAATAGAGTGAGTTTGGAGGCAGAGTAATGCTGCCATGTCCCTTGGGATGGGCATAGGAACCTTGCTACTTGTCTATCTTAACTCAGTATGGCCAACTCTTGACTGGGTTGGCTCTCAGCTGTCTCTTTTAAATGGAAGATGCGAAGAATTGAAACTGGGATCACTAAACTATGGCTGGAGCTTCTGTATTCTGGTGATGAATCACGACTGGCAAAACAGTTCGGGCCCTATATTTTAAGGGCAGCGACATTGGGGATTTAGCAGGAATCCTCATCACCCAGCTAGTGTTTAACTTCAGATGTTTTCAAATACAGTGGTACCTCGGGTTATATACGCTTCAGGTTACATACGCTTCAGGTTACAGACTCCGCTAACCCAGAAATAGTGCTTCAGGTTAAGAACTTTGCTTCAGGATGAGAACAGAAGTTGTGCTCCGGCGGCGCGGCGGCAGCAGGAAGCCCCATTAGCTAAAGTGGTGCTTCAGGTTAAGAACAGTTTCAGGTTAAGAACGGACCTCCGGAACAAATTAAGTACTTAACCCGAGGTACCACTGTATGTTAAGCAGGGGTAGACATAGTGCTCTCCAGATGTTGAACTACAATTCACATCAACTCTTTGACTGTTGGCCATGCTGGCTGTGACTGATGAAAGTCTGGAGGGCACCATGTCAGCTACCCCAAATGTAGAGCAACTCTAAGCATGTGTACTCAGAAGTTACACTGTGTTCAGTGGGGGTTTGCTCCTCTGTATGTTTAGGATTCCAACTTGAGTCTGTACTAATGAACTGCTATTGAAAGGACGAATCGTAAGCTGGCTAGATTGCATTCACATTGAACATCTCAAGCTTTTCAACGATGTAACATAATTATATCAGTTTTCTCAGTGGTTTGCTAGGGTTAGCACCATGTTAAATCCTGTGTGATAAGAGGTAATATTTTAAAAATGAAAACACAAAACAAAACCCATAGGCTAACATTTGCTTTATGAATATGTCTAGTTTAGGGAACTTTTAAGATGGATGCCTAAAAGTTTCTCAAACTAAAAATTCTGGGCTTTCAAGCTCATGGAAAACACACCTGTGTTGGAAGAGGTAAATCATGAGTGTAATCAAGAGAAGGAAGGGAAGCAATGCAGTTATGCCCACAGATAATTTAAAGCAGTCTAAACAAATCTGAGAGCGGGGAATGCAGTACAGTTAAATATCATGCATGACACATGCACATTTCTTTATTTCAGTATAAAGAAATTTGCATAAACTACAAGATGGGAAGTAATGAGTTAGTGATTTACATAAATGGTGCCTGTCAAAGCTGACCTGATTAGAGACTGATAGCGATTATAAAGGAACTTGAAGATAAACCAAAACCTGTGTGATAGATGATGGTGTATGTCCAACAGGGAGGAAAAGATAAATTTACTCTTGTATATAAAAAACAGAAAAATCTTTGTATGTTGAGGACCAGAGAAAGATAAATGAGTTTAAAGGAATGTAGAAGCCTTCAGCTAAAGAGCTAGTTCTGACTAGCATTTGCCTCGGTTTCGTTTATCTTCTCATTATTTCGATTACTAAACAACGCCAGAAGTTATTTTAAAAAACCTTATCTGGAATGCAGCCTCACACCAAATGATTTTAGCATCTCTCCCAAATAGGTGGCTCAGTTGAGTTCTTCCTAATGCTTGCTTCATTTAAAAGTTTTACAATATATTTATATATGTTTTCAGCCCCAGTGTTGGTTACACCAATATAATATACACCTATTAACACAGAATAGCTACGATGATAAAGAAAAGGAAAACCCACCAAATACTTTATAGGAGTGGGTAAAAATGCAGTACAGTGGTACCTCAGATTAAATACTTAATTCGTTCCGGAGGTCCGTTCTTAACCTGAAACTGTTCTTAACCTGAAGCACCACTTTAGCTAATGGGGCCTCCTCCTGCTGCCGCGCCGCCGGAGCACAACTTCTGTTCTCATCCTGAAGCAAAGTTCTTAACCTGAAGTACTATTTCTGGGTTAGCGGAGTCTGTAACCTGAAGCGCATGTAACCTGAAGCGTATGTAACCTGAGGAACCACTGTAATGGGATGGAGAAAACATTACCTTTTCTTTTTTCCTATCAGCTTGCGTTAATATCCAAATGTACCTTGCAGATAGGTATGAGAGTTCCTTGTTTTACTATACCTGGACACGGCAAGTAACCAAAAGTGAAGATTCTCAGCACTCTGTTGACACACAGCGTCTTGCTTCCTTCCAAACCAATTACAAGTGTTGCTTTTGGTTACAATCCAGAGAAATCGCAGGGACTTGCATCAAATTAATTCCAGAGGGACTTGGTGTATGCAGTTTCCATAAAAGCAATCCAGGCACAATTTACATTGTTAAGGCCTTTTAATAATTTGAAAACAAAATCCCCTTGAAATGAAAAAGTTTAAAGCCAGGATACCATGCCCCAAGTTTCATTTTAGCCACAGTCGTAATATTTAGTCTGAATAATTAATGAATAAAGGAAGACTGCTAGTCAAATTTACATTTAAATTTTAGTCCATGTAAATATACATTAAAGGGTACGTAGTTCAGCTTATGGGAACAGTACCAAAGCTAATTTAAACACTGGTTCTCGGTTTACATCTTTTTAGTATTTTTTTAATTTAGAAATCGGCTCCAACCTCAGCAGTATCAAATTAAATAGACTTTTAGGAAGAAGAAAATACTAAAAATGCTGAAAGCTATCTGCTGAGATCAGGAGGATGTAGTCGCCAAACCAGAACATTTAAGAATATAGTTACTAAAATAAATGGAATTGCTTGCTTCAGAACCAGCCGTTTTCATTTAAAGTTAGTGCCTTCTATAAGCGAAAAATACTGTGAATAAATCACTGTACACAAAGGACACACAAGTAGAGTAGCATATAAACATTTGAAACGACTGCTGGTCCCACATGCATATGACCCACTCTTTAAAAGCATTATGTTTAAAATACACAAAAATGAAGGATTTTTTTCTCATTCAGATTTTCCCTATGGGGGTGGATGGGAGATAAAGATAATTTGAATCAAGAAGCCATAGGGATAATCCGTTAGAATGGGCACCAACTTTCCAATTTATCTAATCCATGGGACCCTAATTCATCTGGGCCAGTGGGTACATTTGAAGTTTTCAAAAGGTTTTAGTAGCCCCACTGGGAAATGGCTGCCTTAAGGGGCTTTGCCAGTCACAAAATGGCTGCCGGGGCCTTGAGGAGGCACACCTAGCCACGGATCTTTGGGGGTGTCCCCTTGCTAGCTTGTACTCTGTGTGCATTTCTTCGGTGTTGGGAGACAGGTTGGCCGGCTGTAAGAAGGGGAAGCCAAACAGAAGACTTCCCCCAAAGATTCCAAAGGGTTGGCGAACCAAGAGTTACAGAACACCAAATGGGAAGGAAAAACAAGTGGAACTGCCCCCCAAGAAGAGAGAAACAAGCCTACAGGTGCCCAGAGCACAGAGACAGCTTTGAACACAGACCCCCAGAGGGAGGATAATAATATGCAAGACATCTCCCTAGAGAGGGTGGAAACCCAAAATTCAAACACAGACCCCCCTGGGGGGGGCACACACCCTCACCTTCAGGAAAAGGAAAAAACAAAACACACAAATTCTGTTCCTTTTCCTTATCCTTGGTACCCAGTTAGGCCTCTCCTTCCCACCTTACTTTCTTACACAACTACTTCCAAAATGCTATCTCACCTTCCATTCTGGTGGCTGCGATCAGGAATGGAGGAAGCTTCCTTCCTCTTAGGTGGCATTCTCAGCCCGGAACCAGAGAACCGGAAGAGGAACTAAGGAGGAGCAACACTCTTCGAACTTCCTCTCCCAACCCTCTACAATGCTCCAGGCAAAAATGGTAACTCTTGGCAAAGCCAGCCCTGAGCATAGCTGTCAACCTTCCCTTTTTTTGCAGGAAATTCCCTTATTCCAGCGCCGTTTCCCGCTGCTATCCTGGACTGTTAGATATCCCGTAGACTGTCCCTGGAACAGGTGAGGCTGCTGAACCCTTATTTTCAAATCTGAAAGTTGACAGCTATGGCCCTGAGGGAAGTGGAGGAACGTAGAGGCTCTGTGGGCTTCATGTCGGGAACATCTGATCTAGTCCAACGCCTGCTCCATAACACAAGAACATCCACTCAGCAGGTTCATCTAGAAAGGAGCAGGTTACAAAAGAAATGCCTTCCTGACTGCACATAACTTGTCCAGAGAGAGGCAGGCAGTCATTATTATCCCATCAAAATCAAGGACATCAGTAAAAGCTAACAAGTGCCCTTGTTTTTGATGGGACTTAAGCAGAACCATTTGTGCTCTTGCTGTGGTGTCAAACACCAGGACAAGCAATCACTCAGAAAGAACATCAGGTGCCCCTCCAAGCTATCCAATGTTCTATGCAGTACTCTGACCCATTATCAACCCTTAAGAGGCCACATAGAAAACTAGACATGGCTGAGGCGGAACTCCACCCCCCCCCGGGGGGAAATGTTGTTATTCATTTCTTCCTTTTTGCCCTCAATTTCATTCCCTTGTTTTCATTCATTCTGCTTACTTCCTGCAAATCAATTTTGTTATTAACTTATTCCTTCCAGATTTGGTTTTGTGCCTTCATGAATTCCATTTCTGCTCCTTCTTCCCTCCTCCTACTTCATTTTCATTTGCTCACCAATATATTGAAGAGGTGCTACTTACTGCCTATGCGTTTTTTTCCCAGCTGTGGTGTTTTGGGCAGCAGGCAGGGCAGATCGTCAAGTCTTCAGCTGCCGATGGTATAGCAAAACAATGGGCCAGTGGATCTGGCTGTTGGTGGTCCAAGCCTACCCAGGGATGGCTGTGGCCAGGATTCCTGCTTTGCAGGGGGTGGGACTAAATGACGCCTGCGGCCCCTTCCAACTCTACAATTCTATGAGTGGGGCTACTGATAGCACATCCAAAAACTGAAGCATCCTCAGACAGAGATGATACAACAGACTTTAAAATAAGCCCCCCAGAAATGGAAGTCACTCCCAATATAACAAAGGGCACATAAGCAAACCCAATGGAATTAAACAGCTGTGTAAAACAGAAAAAGGGGGTAAATCGGAAAAGTATTTTTTAAAGCTACTGAATTGTTGGAAGGTTCCCCATAGGCCACTTAAAAGCTCCTGGTGGACCATATAGCCCACAGGTTAGTCACCCCTGACTTAAATACCTTGCAAAACTATATTCTGCAATTTTTAAACTGTTAATAGAATATTTGTGAATTCAACCTAAATTTGCTCATGGCCACTTCAGACCATTCTTTGGGTGATGAGCACACATCATAAAAGTTGTACTGTTGAAACTAAGCAGGTCTAACACTTGATTAGAAACTGCCTGGGAACTATTTGCAAGTTGTTCCAAGTTCCTTATTTACTATAAATAAATGTACCCAGTCCCTTCTTTAACCTAATTAGCTCTGCTCTCTCTATTGTGGTGTCAGCATCTTTTCTTTTTGAAAAATGAAACACAATTTGGTAGTGCCCATTTATGTATTCTGCAGGGTAGGAATATGATGGACATTAGTAAAAAGCAGCATTCTAAAATCTAAAAAATCTGTACCCTGCCAATAAATGAGGTTTACATATAGAAAGGAAAGTAAGTGCATATAGGACTAATTTGGAAACAATTGAAACTTTCCCAACGTTGAGAAAGATATGTTGTTTTTCAACTTACCTTGTGAATTGTAATGCAAGCGAAATTTCACCATCAAAATTGGCCAACAGTAGTATTTATAGGACTGCACAAATCACTATGGAATTGCTGTCGTTTATCTGTCAATATAAACTTGATGTAGGCAGGAGTTCAGCAACTTGCTGACTTCAGTTCAAGTCCTGCTATTATTACTGGGACTGTTCTGGAGCAAGTAGATAATGCCCAGTTTCACCCTTCTGTAACCAGAACGATGACATGAGAGCTATATTTAAAAACACAGCAATGTGTCCATTTAGGTTTATCTAAAAGGGAATACTTGACTTTTACCTAGTTGTTCCTCAATTTGGCATAAAGGATCATTAAAATAGCATTAAATTACAGCTCTCTTTCAAAAGAAATTAAGAGGCAGATATTTAATCCTGTGGCAGTCTTCTATTTTTCTCGTGCAGAAGCATTTTGTTCATAATATTAAATTCAATGTTAAATAGATCAAATGTGTGAATGTGAAGGGCACAATGGTTTTATAAACCACTACTACCTATTCTCAGCTCCGTAACAATGATAGTCTAAAGTAGAATTCTGTTCTTGGCAGCATGTAATGCTTTATTATATTAGCATCTAGCATCAACATCCTGTTCTTGCTTTATTCATTTCCAAGCTTCAATCATGTACAATACTGTGAATTAGGCCACAATAAAGTGCATCTAAAGTTATACTTAGAAGTATTTTAAAACAGGCCCTTTGAAACAGCAACATTATTTATTAGGGCACATTGCAGGAGAGTAGTTCATGCCTAGCAATCATCCCAAACTATAATGCAACAGGAACATTTGAACGCATGGGGTCCAGCACAAAATGAGAGAGATCATTTTGACACCACAAAATGTGCCAGTGCTGACGTTACATTTGTGTGTGTGTGTGGGTTTTTTGTGTGCGGAGACTTCTATGGTAATGCTCTATGTTTCACAAATTAATAGAATGTGGAGAATATTTCCAATCCCATCCCTTTTAAAGGTCTTTGTAAATAACACAAATGTATTGAATAACTGAGAAACAAAACCAAGCAACTAAACAGTATTTGTCACGGTGTAAGTTACCAGCATTAACTGGCTGAGGAAGCACTTTGTTTTAAATAAGAAGAAGATGATAAGTTGTCATTTTATATTTTTATGTCTGTCATTAACCCAAAATACATATAAAAATGTAGAATTTATATTTGCTGTACACCTGATACAGAAAACATAGCAATGTTACTAGCAGCTGATTTCCCAAAGTCGCTTGAGAAAAGAGCTAACAGATTTATTTTGCGCTATATAGAAAAAAGTTTTAAACTAAACATTTCTCTCGACATTATTTTGCTGTCTTTTCCCACTTTGGTAACTTCAGATAAGTTGTAACAACTTATAATATCCGATTGCAATATAATTCACAGTTGACTGAATTATGTGTTAAGAAAAAAGGATACACACTATCCCCTTTTCCCCTTTGCCTAGAGAATAGTTACAGTGCCTTTCACAAATTAAATGCTTTTCATGTTGGTTTATTTAGATTTGAACCTCCAGGGGGAAAAATAGCCATTAAACGAAATGTACCTTCTCTGCTCAAAAAGTTTAAACAACATACTCATGACAAAAAGAAAGTTATTTCAATGTGAATTTTTGGACCATCTTCCATGATTGCCCATCTTACCCCATTGCTAAAAATACATTGTTCTATTATTACGTCAGCCTGTTCTGACATTAACAAGGTTTGATCACGAATTCAGACCTACAGTGGAAACGTATGCGACTCTTATTCAATGAAGCTCCAGCAGCGAAAAGACTCTTCCTTTTAAGTGCCACAAACACTTTATAGCTTAGTATGTTTTAATACTTCAACTTTTTTTTCCATATTTTTCTCATCGTTGAAGAAGTGATATCACAATCTCAAATCAAAGTCAACACTGCAGTGAGGAGAGCTTTTCTACTTTATTACAAAGAGAAGAAGCCTTTATGTGGTCAGAAAATACAAGATTGATCTTTTTTTTTTTCTCTTCCTATGAAACGCTGCTGTTCAAACAGCCAGAGTGAATTGTCTCAGTTCACTTCGTTAAGTCCCATCACATTCACTTGGGTATGGATGTCCTTGGCTGCTGAAATCTGGCCCTTTAGTGCACAGGGCGACAAAGACGTCCCCTGACCAGCAGTTCCAGAATGTCCCGTTTTCATATATTGCATCCATGCACACCTCCTAAAAATGAGGTACAGCAGGGCAAACATTTTCCAAAATAGATGTCATATATATAATATATACACATTCGTACATACATACCTTTATTCATGTGATGTCCAAAAATTTAAAAAAAATGTACACATTTATTACAAAATCGTAACAAAGACTGGACAGTGTTTTGCTCATTCTGGAAAGATGAAGCTCAGTAACACACAACCCTGGAAATGAACCAAAGGTTGTGGCAATATCTTTCTTCTAAACAGTCAGATATTCTTGCATTAAGTTGGCGAAAACTGCCTTTTCAAAAACTGAAGGGGAAGTAAAATGAAGGAAGCAGACCTTGCTCATCTTTCCAAATGAAATACGAGAAGGATCTTCACATAAAAATGCACAAACATTTTTTTTTTATTACCAAGAGTGCTACAATGAACAATGCAAATTTTATTGTCTATTTCTTGTTTCTTTTTTTCCTTTTTTTACAATTTGGAAACTAAGTGGTAAACTTTTGTCAGTGTACTTGCTTGTCTTTACAGACCCAAGCTTGTCTGCTGGCAAAAAAAAAGTAAAAAAAAAAAAATTAAATCCGACCCTGCTCAAACTAAAGAAAAACAAATTATAAATTTAGTTGTTGGGCAGCACATAATTAGTAAGGCAGGACTTCAAATGGTGACCCTTTTGCATGAGCCAATTGCCAGATCCTCATAAGGAATTAAAACCAGGATGCCTGAGCCACATCAGTTTTGCAGTTATGTTGAGTATTGTGCTGAGACAGCCATACCCCAAGACAAGGGAAGTCTTTAGAAGGCTTGCTGAGCAGGGTTGTAGTTGAAGGTGGATGGCAGATGAGGCCTTTCTTCTAGCTTGTCATATTCCAGATGAAACTCCTAGAAACCAAATAAAAAAGACGATCACTTCATTATCAGCAGATGGCCCACTAAATTCTATAAGGTCATGTGTAACCCAAAGAAAAATGCTGCTTCAGGGGGAAATAAAATCTGCTAGATTTTCTCTTGACCAAAGAAGCTAATCTTCTCTTGGCCTTGTCTCCTTTTATATTATGATGGTGAGGGGGAAATAAATATTCTGCTGCTGCAGCAGCAGCAGCCTTCACTTTTGAAATTGGCTTTACAAAAACTCTCCAGTAGCTACTTTAAAACTTATGGCAGAATCCAACATAATGCCAATGAATTTCCACTCCTGCAGAAAGACTTAGGGCTTCCTGTCTCCCTGCAACCCCAAAATCTGCTCTGGAGGATCATGGTAAAACACTACATACAAACTTTAAAGTGTTTTCCCAAAATTGTCCATCTACTATTCCCCCATTTTACTTTTTTTCTTCTGTGCCACATTCTGCAGATGTGCAGAATGCATAACATATTCTAAATTTTGGAAGGCGCTGGACTATAAATTACATTTCCCCTGCAAGCTCTTTTATAAGGAGGCAGGGGAAGGCATTCTTCACGATGAAGAAGCAGCAACTTGTGAAGTGAAAATGATGTGCTGTAGTTTTAAATCCTACTAAAGGATATATCTGGAATGTAAAGCCAGTCAGTCACCTGCTCACCTGTAGCTGGTAAGAACTACCTCCAGGTGATAGGCAGACATCTATTTATTTTCATTTCTCTATATATTCTGCCCCTTTCCACTTCGGTGATCTCAGGGCAGATTATAAATAACGAAAGAAAAATGTTTGCCAGCAATATCGCCTTGCAGCTCAACCGCAGTGGCGTGTGTGGGAGCTCCAAAGTGGCTCCAAATGGATTGGCTCCAAATTGTCCCATGTGTGAGCAGAAGGCACTTTTGCTCACATGCAGGAATTTCCCATTTCTCCCGTGATGCAATGCACTGACCCTCAGGAGCATCTTTCTGGGGGCTGTGATGGACTGCAGCTGAGAGATGGGGGAGAAATCCGCGTACAGAAAGATCTGGATGCTTAAAACATAAATAACACAGGCCCATGAGGAATAAAGCAAGGGAGTACTATCCATAGTCAGAGGGTTGCCAAATAAAAGGCTCTGTTCCTCATGGCCGCTTAACTTACCTATCAAAGGATGGGTACAAAGAGCAAGACTTCTGCAGATGATCTTACAAGGGGGGGGGAATATGAGAGCAGGAAGGCCTTTAGTTATGCCTCAACACGTTCAGAGCTTTATAGGTAAAACACACATATTGAAGTGTGTACTCAGTGTAGATTTTTAAGCTCTGACAGTTCTTTGGATCAGAGTTCTCTGAATGAAAGAGCTTTCCTGTCCATCTCAATATCTGGGACAGATCTGCATGTTATGTGTACTAATGGTAATGGTTTGCGCTTGCCAGCATGTTTAGGAATACCCATCAAGCTTAAGATTTTAAAGACAAGACGGCATCCAAACACACCATTCGTCTTTCTGTGATGAAGGCTAACAAGAAAAAGTCTAATGTTTTCTGGTGATCTGAAACAGCTATACAGTATTTTCTCATCCATTTCTTTTAAACAATGGTTTATTTACCTACAATTTGTATCGCAGCACACATTCAAGATAGATAACATTCAGTTCAGTTCAAAATTACAAAAACAACATTTTTCAAAGATACAAAGTCACACTCAAACTCCTTCTCGTGTCCACAGGGAGCAAGACCAACTCCTAGCCATTCAAGTTTCCTGCTATGTTGGCTAGGACATGCCTCTTTCTCCCATCTTGTGTGTAAGCAATTATTCCAAGATTTAAGTTGTTTCTTCTCCTGCCTTTAGATTGTGAGCTGTCTGGAGAGAAATGTCCTCATTTATACAAAATATCTATTACTGTATCTATTACATGTAATGTAATCCACATGTGATTTACTTCCTCCTTTCGCAGGTATGGCTTGATTTTAAGATGCACCTCCTAAGAATTCCCCCCCCCCTTTGCAGCCCAATTTGAATAGCTGCAGTTGAGAAAGAAAAATGCTCCTTTGCATCCCAAGTTTGACTTCAAGCCGGGGATACAGAAAAAGGGAAGTAGGATATGAGTCACAGTGCCCAGAGTGTCCCTGGTTACCTCTTAGCAACAGATTCTGGATGCTGCAGAAGATACCCTGCTTGAGCCTAAGTAGTGGTTCCCCACTGCCAATATATAGATTTGTGACAAAATAAACTGCATTTTACCACTCCATTTACATTTCAACCAAGATTCACAGAAAGGTATAAATCAGACCTCCTCCTAAGGTGAACAAACTATTGTTTTAAGAGCCATTTCTAGAATGTGAACTCAAAACCCCACAGGCTTTCTACAAAGCTGGTTGATGGATGTCATCCTTACGTAATTATCCCCATGACAATAATCTTAATATGTTTCAATCACTTACACAACGAGGGGACAATCAAAGGCTGAAGCAAGTTGAAAAGAAGGAACACAGTTCTGACTTAACTAGGGGATCTTGATATACTTCTGGGTTCATCTTCTGATAAGCATTTGTGTAAAAAAAAGGGGGGGCATTATCTGAGGCATTCCGAAGATGGGCAACAGTCAGCGAACTGAGAGGGAACCAAGGTAATGAATGCTGGTATGCAACTGCCTTTGCCCCAACAGAGTCTCCTTTCACATAATCAGAATTTTTGGTGTAGAACAACCCACCATAAATGTGCACAGCCTTGAATACCCCACCCCCATTTTTTACAAATACTACTGAGAATGTGCACAAAGTAAACATTTTACGTACAACTTTTAAATGTTTCTCTGAAGAAGAAAAATACCTTAGCTACTTTTCTCCAGTTAAGACAGTCAAAGAAGTAGTATGTTCCCCTCTCATATGTATTGGTTTTCATTGTTGGCTCCATGCCTGGTGCCCTGGTAATCCATACTCTTTCTTCTTTGTGGTATCTCCAATCTCGGTTGAATCTATTATTATCCAATCAGGAAGGAAGAGATTCTGTTAGCTTGGCTAATTTCCACTGATTTAATCTTCTTTAAAACTCAAAATATATCTACACCAACATGGCTGCTCAACATCTTTAACATGCTACAATAATCTAGCCGCTATCAAAGTTAGTACCTCAAGCAAAAAACTGAACATATTGTCCTATATGCAATGGTAATATTAGGAAGTATTAACGAAATATTTTTGCACAGCATGAAGTAGGCAATACAAGATAACTAAATTGCAAGACAATTTATGAGAGCTTAGATTACGGTTTTAGTTAATGGCTTCACTCTAGAGGATAAAGCTGTGCACACACACACATCCCCCCCACACTAAGAACTCCCAGTATTCTCCTTCTAATGAGTGATGGGTGTCTATCATCTGGCAGAGATTAGAGATTAGGTTCTCCACCATGCAAGCACAAGTGTGGGAAATATAGAAGCAGAAACCTGTTTCCTTTCAAGTGTCATTCTTGCTAGCATGGAATTCCCTAACATGTGGCATATAAAATAACTTGCATTTGAAACAGCAATTTAAAATTTTTTAAATAACCAGAATAATTGTCTCCTTTGTATCCTAATACAAAATTCACTGAAATCTGAACATACAGCTCTACTGCTGCTAATAGCTGTAATACATCTCCTCCATTCATGTAATAGAGATAAAACAGTAGATCTTCCCCATAGCGGCCAAGCTTTATTGCAGCCAACTGTAAAGGAAAAAAAAAAAAAAAGATGAACACTTTTTAAAGAAAGGAGTTTGCATAAAGGCACTAAATCCAATCAAACTTTTATTGACCTATAGTTAAGGGTACTATTATGAGACAAATTACTCTGGTAGAATTCCAGCTGGCTTCAACGAAGCAGGAAGAGTGTAACTGGATTGTGAACCTATCTCCAAGCATGTTGCCAACACTTTTTCTAGCATGTATAATAAAACAATCCATTTCCCCCTCTAGCGTCTATTTCAATTTACCTATTTAGCAGTTGCAGAGCTAATGTTGTAGAAAATATCTGGTCTTATAATTTTCTTGTCCTTCACATATTCATAGTCCTTACTACTAATTTGTTTACGTAACAAGTATCTGTTAAAATAGTTTTCCTGAACTGTATTATCCTGGGAGAAGTAAAGAATTTAATCGGTCTAGAAATCAAGTTTTTTGCTGAAATTATAGACAACTCAAAGAAACTTGCATTATGCATTTCAACAGGCAAACTTTTGTTTATATAAAGGGACAAGACGGTATTGCTCACCTTATCCCTAATGTGAATGTTCGTTAAATATTCAGATGGAACATGGAAGTCTAGATAAAGGAATGAAAAGCGATTTAATTCTGATCCCACGACACTGACTCTCACTTAGGAATTTTAACCATACACACACCACACACCACACACACACGAACATCCACCCTACCTATATCTTGAGGTCGACAAGGTGAAGAAGCCCAAGGTGATGCAAATTTGGGATAAAGATTTCTGCACAGAAAAAAAAGTGACTGAATTGGTATCAAGATCTACCTTTCTCCCAACATTTGTGTTATTTTTTCACAAAACTACTTTATGCACACACACAGGCTAAAATTCATACATTATCTAGATAACACAGTAGCCATTGAAACCCTGATTTGGTATGGCTTGGCTCCACTGCACAACAGTGATGTATGAAATCGCAAAACATGTGGGCTGCTTGATCTTCTTGGGTACTTCTCATACCAATACTTCATCTCAGGCCTGAGAAGGAGCATGCCACTGCTTCTCTTCTCTTGCTGAAGGAACTACACCATTCCTCAGGTTTTTCATACTCCACAGAGTGGGAAACAACCGTTCAGATACCAGCAGAGCTATGATCTTTCTTTTGAGGTCACAGCGTACCCTGTTTTCTGGTAGAATGGAGGGAATGTAGATAATGGAAATTTTCCAGCTGAAACTGTCAATAGGTTCTAAAATTCACCACTTACGGCCTTAAAACCATTACAATTTAACCACCTTCAAGCTTACTCAATTACCTTTCTGCTCTGAACATGGGATGTGTGGAGAAAGAGTGCACTAGGGAACTTGTTCCTCGCATACACTCACACGCAGCAAAGGAACTGGAAGCAGCAGAGCCCTCACATGCTATTACCAAACATTTTTATTTTTGCAAAAGCCCAACACACAACACAAAACCAGAGTCCTGATCAAAGTAGCAGCATAGGCCCAATAAAGAGGGGCATAGGACGAGATTGTGTAGGGGGACCAGATCTTTCTGTTCTCCCACCCCTACCCCAGTCAATCACATGACGCCGTGATGTATTCCCCACCCATCTGTGATGTTTTCAAAAGAGAGTGCTGTAGCCACAGATTAGCTGGCTAACAGCAACCTCCTTTGAAAACGTGCTTTCAGCGCCTTCAGCTGATTGGTGCAGGGACTTTGCAGAGACTCCATGCAACTGACCAGCAGCTGATTGTCAGTTAAGAGAGCTCCTCAAGTCTCTGCAAAGGGGAAAAATGCTCCTAAAAATGTAGTGCCAGGGGGAGGTGTCTATCATGCTCCCTGGGACAGCCACCCTCCAAAAAAATAAAACATACATTTAATAAGCACTTTCAGCCATTCTCATGAGCCTACTCTACTAATATCACGTGTACATCCTCAGTTGCACACTTTTCTATGGAAAGCTTGATAAATAAAATCAATGGCTATTCCTCACCTAGCAATAAGGGCAGCAAACTATGCTAATGCAAGTAGTCCAGCACATTGTCTGCCACTCAGACAACAAATAACTCAAGAAAAGCAGGAATTACATAGTCAGTGAAAACAAAGTCTTTCTAGGGTGTGTGTGTATTATAAATGGTAATGATTGTGGCTGTACACCGAATATGACCTATTATATTCTCTTATTAATATTGGTTGGTGCAGTTGGTTGGTTACTGCAGATATTAGAAATTATATTATGGTGCTTTATTGTTTTTTTATTATTATCAATGGTTTTTTTCAATCAAGCAGTAGATAAATTTTATGGCATAAATAAATTATTATTATTATTATTAATTGTATGCTTTTTCCTTTTGGATATTCTCAAATAAGTGTTATGTAAGTGTTTTAAACAAAAAAATGTGCACAAGAACATACACTATTCACAAATGCAAATCAGTATCTTGTTTTGTTTTAATTGATTTGATATGAAGCATTTTTCCAATTCACACTCTTGAAAACAGAAGGAAATGAAAAGAGGATCTTGATTTATTGGAAGCTTGTGGAGTTGAACTCAACATCTTGAAACAAACTGTATTTTTTTTTGCTTTCCAATATTACATTTTCAGTTAGCAAAATATATTTAAAGTTTTGATTTTTCAAGGTGGCCAGCTGAAGTCATTAGTTTGAACAACAAATGGTACGGAAACAGAGAACAACTTACTCAGGAGAGTTGAGATTGAGACCTAGAGTTGTCAAGTCACTTCCTAATGCGAGATGTACCATGCCGGGATCTGTCTCTGCTGCCCTGATGAATGTTAACAAACCAATCATTCCAAACTGGTCTGTCACCATCCCTTGAGGAATGTTGGTAACCCGACCTAGGCAAACACACCACGAGATTAATCCCAAAATGTCCAGAACCAAAAAACATTTTAAAGCTTTTGTGAGAAAATTTAATGGAAAACAGGGGCAGGAGGAGAGAAAGAGAAAGAGTTTGAGCATACCATCAGGTAACACCTGGATCCCTTTTTTCTGCTGGTTATTGTTTTGCGTTGTTGAACTTTTATCTCCAGGAAATTTAGGTCCATCTGCACTAGAAGATGTCTTGCCTGATGTATTCAAATTCTATTCAGAGAAAATGTAGCAAGAAATTTAGCATGAGAAAAGACACAGAAGGACAAGTATACATTAACTGTAACCCACAGAGTCCCTTTAGAGGTGTACAGAGATACGTGCTTGTGTACCATTTTTTCTTCCCAGTGACAACTGTTTCCTTGTGTTAGAGGTTGATCCTGAACCTCCCACGAGCTTTGAGTGCAGCGCTGTAAGGGAGGACAACAGCCTTAAAACCATGGGCTCAGAAGATTGGCTGTGTGCATATTCAAGGCGTCCACAGTCCAACCCTTTGGAATAGGGCCTTAAATTAAAGCTGCATTTTCCCCCCTTTTTTAAGTATCTGTCCAGCTGATTTCACCATATGTCATTTTTTGCTATGAGGTCTTTGCAGGTCTCCTTTTCGTTCCCCATGTTTTATAGCACCTATATCGGGGCGGAGAACAGGAGGAGGAGCTCAATCCCTGCTGGCCAGGTGAGGATGGCAACATGTCAATCACCTGGCGTTCTGAGTGCACTCCCAATTCTTTGAACTCATGACAGGCTGCGAAGTCGCATGACTGGGAACGCCACAGTGCAACCTATCATGGAAAAGGTTTTCTGGTACCGCTGATTAGCACCAACTGCAAGCTTTGCTTGCCATGGAACAGTCATGAGTGTACTTGAAGGCTCCCTCTTGCTCCTTTGCAGCTGAATCTTTGCCTGCCCAGCGTAATAAATGATTTAAGGTGTAGGGTAGGGGGGCATAGTTGGGGGGAAATGGCTGGCTTTGCAGGCCAAATTAAGAGCTGTGCTGGGCCTAATCTGGCTTGCAGGCTCCCCACTGCTGATCTGTATAAAGCTGTTCAATGCCATGAACTGGGAAATTTGAATGGGGCATCATCAATGTGCTCACACCACCCAACTCTATTTCTCCTTTACATAAAATTTAGGGAAGTAGTGGAAAGCAAAATTAGTACCACAGTACAGTAGTAGACTCTGAGGGTCCATAAACTGATGTTCAACACTAACAATAAAGAAGTTCTGCCAAAGAGGTTGATGTTCAACCTGTTCTGGATGAGGCTAATTCTTCCTAGATCAATGGGTTCAAAATAATTGTTTCTTTTTTAAAAAACAGGAGACACTTACGGATTTACTGTCATCATTACTCGATGTTGGATCTTTGTAGTTAGAGCCTGGTAAAGCTGGGAAATCTTCATTGTGTATTGAGAAGTCCTGGGTTTGCTCACTTGCTGGTTTTGTTACCATTCCAACTGTGTTGAAGATAAGTGTACCAAATTAGATATTATATTTCTGTGCTGCTATTGATTTTTCTCACTTCCATCAGCAAAATTTTCTACCTCAACAGATAATGAAAGAAGAAATTAAAAAACAGGGAAAAATATGTTCTTTCAATGCAGCAGTTTGCAGAAACTATTATAAATGTAGGTCTATTGAACCAATTCTTCATAGAAGATTTGATTGTTATTTTTAAGTTAACATTCTTACAATTAACAATGTCAAGGTATGGGAGGGGGGCAACAGGGTGCCTTAAAAAATAAAACAAACAGCATTTAACACAGTATTATTAAAGAAAGCAGTTCTAAATTGCTTGGGCACATTTCCTCATCTTGTATCTTCTAACATACTAAGATAATTGGTAACACAACACGTCATTGCAATGGTTTATGGTGACTAAGTGCAGGAGAAAAACTGCAAGCACTTAGACTGGTAGATCTGCAGATACCCTCTAGACACAATCCTTCAACCCTTATTTCACACACACAAAAATAGGCCAAGCTATTCAAGATGGGAATGTGAAACTGGGCTAAAGAGATGAATTCTTTGCTACAACAATGGAAAGTACATCAGAAATAACTGTTTGACTCACATATAGATAAAAAAATACGAAGTAGCAGTTGAAAGTAGAATGGGGAGGTGGTAAGTGAAAACAAGAAAATTTATAGCACAAATGATCTGGCAATTCTCTTGCTTCCCTTAATTATTCTCAGATTAGGAAATCAAAGTTATCTATTGATTTTAGGAACTCTGCCTCTTTTGAGCTTCTGGGTGAGTTGGTATAGGATTGCAGCCTAAATATGTTTTAATTATGTTTCTATTGGAATCTTGCAATTTCCTTTTGCCCAAGAAATGACATTAACTATAGAACAGTGTCAAGTATCAAGTTCAACAAACCTGTTTTCAAATATCCATTGTGCCTTGTGATAAAAGCAAACTAGGCTGCCAAAGTACCAGTTTTAAGTGACACAAACTCACCATAGGGTGCCCTTCCAGCTAGAGGGTTTATTAGTGGAGTTGGATTCCCACTTCCTTCCCTTCTGTTTCTGTCTGCTAGTGCCGGAAAATCTGAAAGGTCCAGTCCCGTCACATTTTCACTGCCATCTAAAAGTAAATGCAGGCAACTTAAAATTCTTCTCAAAAATTGTCTCCCATAAAAACGACACTGCAGAGTGAATAATTACTAACTCTCAAGCACCAGGGTGATATTTATATCACTTTCTTGCCCCTACAACAAAAGGAAAGAAATATCCCAAAATGGAGAGATCAAGTTAGAGAGGGTCTCGCACTGTAAATATGACCAGGAGCTTAACGCAAGCTAGTAAAAATAAAATGCTAATTCTTGAATGGACACAGAAAACAATTAAAAGCAAAATTAACAGTCCTAAAACCATGTTGTGGCTATAGCTAGCTGGCAAAAAAAGATGAAAAAAACAACATTACCAACAACATACTGGAACAGGTTCAATATAACAGTGGTTTACCACTGGGACTACAGATGATGCAGCTCTGGCATCACTATATAATTTTAATTTAACTAGTAGTTGTCTAGTGTTAAATTACCCAGTTAATGATCCAACAGTAGTTCAAAACATCCTACATGATAGAGGGTTTAAAGAGGGGAATTATGGCTGATGTCTAGCCAGCAGCATAAGCAGCTGAGTCCCAGGAAAACCAATGGATAGTTGTGTGTCAAATACTACCATCACAATTTATGACATTCCCACTGCAGTGAGAAAGTCCAGCGGCTGGGAATGGGGAGAAGGCCATCATTCCAGCATTGTGGTATCTGCTTCCCCTGAGATCCCCAGGGCTCAGCTGGAAGAAGGTTGCAAACCCAGAGCAGAAATTTGGTGGAGCTGGGCTATGATTACATGCAAGACATTTAACACACATTATTTAAGTGTCTTTGTAAATAAAATAATTTAGTTTGCCTTCTAATTTATATGACTCAGAACTTAAGTCATTTATAATTCAAGAACTCTGAACATTTATTGAAAAACATCATGAATGCCTACACAAATGTTGTAATTTTGGGGGGAACCCTAAAATTGTATACAAAATGTGCTTCCAGCAAAGTCTCTCAAGTGTGCAATTTTAAGTGGGCTTACCTGTTCCATTAAAAATGTTACTTGATAAAGAATTATTCATTCCAAACGCCTGATTCCTGTTCATTCCAAATCCAGACATACTATAAAAAACAAATAAAAGTAGAGTAAGGGAACAGATTTAAAATCATCTGGGGGATGAGAGAAAATGATACATGACTAACACCTAACTAATTGTTCTTATATGACTCCCCAACACACACAGCTCTGCAAAGCAAACATTAATTTGAACACAATATAATGTTAAGTTTAAAAAGAAAGCTCAAAATTTAAAACAAAAATCTTTATTATACTGCTTCAATCTCAAAAATGCTTTGGTCGTCTTTCAGATCTGGATGACTACATTGGCTAAAATAGGTAAAGAGCTAACTGGCTCCTGCTGGAAACCTAAATAGATCCTTACAGGACTTTTTAAAAGGATCAGGGATTTTAAGTTGACAGCCCTTTGAGCTCTTAAAAGAAGCAATCCTCAGTACAGCTAGGATCCCATGGAATGCTGATAAAGGCAATCCATGTGAAGAGGAACAAAAAACCTAAACCTGCCGATAGAATATAATGGCACACCATTGTATTCAACGCTGGTCAAAATGTTAGAATGAGATTGTTTCAACTTTTTCATGAATATTTAACTTCATAAAAACTTAAGTGGAACCTTGCACCAAAAGGGGTCAAAAAATGAGCATTTTAGCGGATTCAACGAAGCATCTTTATGCATATCCTACATTTGTTTAAGCAGGGTGTGCATTCCAAGGTTGCTTTGTCTCAAACAAATCCTTTCATGGAAAATGTTAGGACAAGGTGCAAAGTGCAGCTCTGAGGAAATGCAGAAGTAAGCATCCGAGCAAGCTCTCAAAACAACAGAGGAAATTCAAAACCTCCCCAGGAAGTAGAGATCACTTATAATACTGAAAACAATCAGTATATGGTCAAAAGAGAAACAAAAAAAGGGCTCTTGGTTGTTTCAGATTTGAAACATACTCATAAAAGTATAAAACTATTTTAATACTCCGTCTCTCTTCCTGTTTCTCCCTTTCACCAGCTGTGTTTTTTTCTATTTAGCCACTTCTTCATTTATACTTCCAGCGGTCGGTCCACCTGACTTTGGGGGTGAGTGCAGAGAAAGAACAGCCATGAGTATAAGATGAAGGCTATTAACGTGTTCTCCGTAATTTATTAATGCAACAATAAGCTTGTTTTAGTATGTTATTTGAAAATGGGTATCTGACGGTCAGATTCAAGATTCTTCAAGTGAAAAGAATGGAACTGCTAATGAATTATCAGTCGCATTCTAACTGACAGACCTGCCTTCTGTTTTTAAAAATGCATTGTTTGGCATGATTGGTATTGTTCACTGTCAGAAAACTGGAATGATGGCTGAACAGGTTTCTGTTTTAACAGTTCTTATTTAAATTAAACATGTTGCAGGAGCATATACAGTTCTTTGTTAGCTATTGGCCTATGCCTTGGTAAAATTTATGTCTAACACTCGTATTCTTAAAGCACAGTAATACCAATATTGCACATCTTCCAGACTAAAAATGTTCAGAAAATGGATATTACATTGACCAACAGACCCAGTGAGTGAAAAGATTTCTCTATGAAACAACTGCACAAACACAGAAGTCTTCACTGTACAAAAACTGTTGAGAACTGAAGCCAGTTAATAATTTAAGAGGTTTTAAAAGAAACCTTGGCTAAATTTGATAAAGTACAGATATGACCTCCCTTAGATATGGGAACTTGCTTATTAGCAATTGTATTTGTTTCCTTATATGAAGATCTACATTACCTATACTGCAACTTAAATACTAAATATATAACATTATTTTACTTCCTATCACCACTTTCGAGTTATTCTGTCTGGAATTATAAATACATGATACCAGTGTACTAAATGTTAATTTTTGGTCTACAAGCATCCAAGACTGAATCTCAGCAGGTTAACATGGGTGACTAGAAGGTGTTCCATTTCAAGTTTGCTTTCTTTTTCTAGTCCTTTTAAAAAAGCTTGGATCAGGATGAGTAGATGATAAGCACTATCTCAGGCACAGGCAAACTCGGCCCTCCAAATGTTTTGGGACTACAGCTCCCATCATCCCTGACCACTGGTCCTGTTAGCTAGGGATGATGGGAGTTGTAGTCCCAAAACATCTGGAGGGCCGAGTTTGCCTATGCCTGCACTATCTTATCCAGAGAAGCCCATTATATTTGTGTAAGGGCTTGATCTGTTTCAGTGGTGCTGTTCTGGATGGAAGGAAGGGCAGCTTGTGCGACATGGGTTTATGTCAGAAGAAGAGAAGCTCCATTACATACATGAAGTTCACTTGTTCATATTGCTCCTTGAGCTGGGAGAGTTGACACATTTAACACAAAGCTTGGCAATACGAGCTAACTAATCCTAATGCATCGCAAGTCAGCTTTGGCTGCTGTTCCACTTGAACAGTAAGACACCCATGCTCACAATGGCTCTTCCTCATCCTCTCTTGTTCCTCATGCACTCTCAACCTCATCTGGGGGGTGGGGAGTTGGCAACACACTGGAGCAGATTTTGGGTGGGGTGGGGGAAAGTCCTGCTGTGCCACTGGTGTAGCATTCAATACAATCCTAAATAATTATGTTTTGATACATTTGTTTTAAAAAAGTTTTGATTTTAGTTTGTAGGGCTGCAAAAACTGGTGAAAGCATTTCAAAAGAAACCCAGCCAGATGGGCGGGGTATAAAATATTATTATTATTATTATTATTATTAATAATAATAATAATAATAATACCCATTCACTTTCCCACAAAAATTGACCTAATTTAACTCATAACCCAGCTTTGAAAATTCAGATCATTTGCTTGGCTCATAGCAGCAAATTGGTTCCTAATACTGAATCTGCCTTACCTGTTCACAGTAAAAGGTTGTCGAGAGGGTTGTTGCTTTGGCATACAGATTATGCTGGGTGAGCTTCGATTAGGGCTGCCTAATCCCGAACTACTCATGCTGTTTGTCCTGCTGGGAATTCCGATGCCCTGACCGACCTGGGAGTGGTTCATCATATTCCTAGGATTCATAGGCAATATACCCCTGGAAAAGAAGATCCAACAGATACAATGATGTTCAGCAGAATATCGTCATTTTGAAGCAGTCACAGCAAACCATTCTTTTCAGAATTGCATCTAAACAAACTGGCTATTAGAAACATACGCATATAAAGAGCTGCCTGTATTGTCTACCTTGACTGGCAGGGGCTCCCAAAGTTTTTCCCTAGATTGGTTAGTTTCAGATTTTTTTTTAAAAGGGTGAGCAAGTTTAGGACATTTCATATATATAGTGTCTTATTTTAACAAGCTGCACAGCAGAATGTGAATATTCTTTTCCAAAGGCTGGGATCAATATTGCATTACAAGCTTTCCTCCAGTACCCTCAAAACACAAGCCGTAATCTAGAAAATTAAAACATTGTTCTTTTTAATGTATGTGCACTGCAAAATAATTTAAAGTAAAAACATATGCTACATATTTTAGGAACCCCTGCAGAAATAAGTGCTGTCAATAAATACCTGCTTGGAGATGGAGGCGTGTGAAGTGACATTGTTGGTACCCCTGTTGTTGGCGTTACGTGGCTCGGTAACTGAGTGCCTTGCGATAAGCTGCGATTTAACTGAGGGGTATTGTTGCTCATTCCCCTCATTGGAAGGCCTAGTGCACCTATTGGAAAAAAGTCAGAGGAGTGGCAATGTAGAGAATTAAGGAAGACAAGTATGGCTTTCGCGAAAATGGGTATTCATTCTGATTTGACAGCCAAATGTGCTGGGTAGTTTTTTAAAAAAACAAAAATGCACACAATAGGCTATCTTTTTATGAAATCAGTTCTAAATTCAGTGGGTGCAGTTTCCAAACTTTTTTTTTTTTTTAAGTTGGGTAAAGGAAACTTCATTTTGGAGATAAATTACTTACATATATATTAATATATAGTTTCCCCTGAAATGTTAATGTGTTTGATTGACAAAACATTTTTTTTAAAGTGAGATTTTCAAGCAACAGCTATGTTTTTAGAACTTATTTTTAATTTGAAGGGCACCATAAGCCTCCTAAGCAAATATTGGCTCCAAACAAAATTCACTAACAGAAACTGTTCCATTTGCTTTAAAACATCCGGATTTTAAAAAAGTGTATACCAGAAGTCTTCATTTCCAGTATTTATTGGTGGACTGCAATGTCACTTACATTGATTGTAAGCTCTATTGGCTTTGTTCAGGCTGTGTTAATTATGACAGGAACAAACCTAGTCTCTCCCCAGACTTGTATGTTTCCTCTCCCACTGCAGTGCCATGAAATCAGAAGCTGTTGCTTCCCATTTAGATTAACCAGATTAGCATTTCATCTGAATTCTAATAAGCAGTTAATCTTAACTATGGTTTATTGGGGGCGGGGACTCAGCTTCATAAACTACTGTTTGAAGTTACCCACAGTCTGTTTGAAACAAAGCAAGATTAACCAGAATTTGCTGGGTTCAGCTGACAAGTGGCAGTTAATCAAATACAAATCTGACCACTTCACAGCTATGCAAGAAGAATGAATGCCAAAGGAAACTAGGCATCAAAACATAGTCACTAAGTGCCTATGATTGAAATCCTTCACCAGCTCACTAGACAATGGCCTGGTTTTCACATTATAGTTATAGAACCACAGAACTGTGCAGGCTTCTGGAAAGGAGCTCAAAGCGTCTTCGCTCCTCCCTGTTGTTTTCCTTCTCTCTTCCTTCCTTTTAAAAAACTCTTATGCCTAGTTAAATCAAGGTTTGGCTTATTGTGTCATTTGAACCCAAGGTCATGTATAAGCTCTCCCCTTGCTAACTACAAACTGCAGTCAAGATTCATTCTCCTCTTTTGCAACACATCTGTGAATATGAACACAATGAGTATGTTATGAAGTTTTATTTGGCGTCTAGACCATCTGAAGTACCACAAACTTCTGCAGAGAAGTTTCTATATTCCAAAAACCAAGCCACCTAAAGGTTTAACAAAAAAGACTATATACCTATATGTTAAGCAGTGGTAAATATGGGCTTTTGTTTTACCCAACTTTGTTGATATACAAGCCCCCAACTTTAAACTCATTTGCCCTTGTTAAAGGTAATGTATTAAATATTCAAGTGGCAAACCTACTGATTTGCCATTGATCCATTGCATGTGACACATTTGTTTGAAAATATAGAAACATTTTTTCATGTGCAGTATGCAAACTGGGACTACTCAAATTAAAAAAGAGCAAGTAGGAAGATCAGTATGGAAAAAATATGTACTGTCATCAGTTTTACAACACGCTATGTGTTGTGAAAGAAGCTGTTAATATTGGTTTGCCTAAGAGCAATCAACAGTTCTTTTACATGCATCAGTTGGTATGTATTTATTTTGGAGTGGCTTATAAGTTGTTTTAATCTTCATCGTCATAAAATATATTTAACTGATTCCTATGTGTCTGCATAACTTGGAATTTTGAATATGGTAAGTACTGTTTATCTCAACATGCTGCGGCTCTTTTTAGGGTCTGCTGCTGGGTTTGGTTTCATTTTGGGCTACTGCTGTAAATCACGGTTTCAGAGATAGATCTACATAATATTAAAAAGCACTTGGAAAAGGAGAAGGCATGCCCTTGGTACAACTTTTCACTTTCCATTTTCCGTCAACAAAGAAATAGGCTTCTTAAAGAGTAGACTATATTTGCATTGCAATACCTTCTATATTATTAGTGAAAACATATGTGGAAAATCAAAGTGAAAACCACACCCTGGACCATTCATTATGCCCAAGAAATAACGTTTGGGTCATTACTTTCAAAATTCTGCACTATTTATATTAATGTTGAAAATGCTGATTAATTGGTACAATATTAAAGTCAATTAAAAGGCAGTGCATATGAGTCTTTTGTTTTGCCACGGGGAGCTCTAGCAAAGATCTTAAAAGGTTTGCACCTAGCCATTTCCCTGAATGAGCGTTGCCAATATCCCTCACAGCAGAGACCCATTCATCCATGTGAGTCTGGCTCCTCAGGCCTCCAACAGTTTGGGCTAGGGCTGTGATTAGCCTTTGTTCTGCACTGGGAGCTGTGGCTTCATGTGCCAAAACCAACATTACCACCTGAATTGTCTAGCCAGGCTTCCTACTGTTTGCCACCCCTGCTTGCTCTTCACAGGGAAAATTTGTGCCACAAATACCACCGTGCCTTCCTGCTCATGAATATGGGTATGAAAAGAAATAACACATCAGGCTATCAACATGATTGGTATTTTTTTTAAAAAAAAAATGTGGACTCCTAAAACACCTTAGTTGTGAGGAATTAGATGTTAGTAATCATGAGAGCAATTCTGTCTTTATTATATCATAACTGGCTAATATGAAGCGGGGGAAGTATTAGCACATTGTTGCATCACACGGAGAATTTCTTGTGGGCAGTTAAGAGATTTCTACATTTGCCTGCTGAAATGAAGATAAATTCCTAGACAGTCTTGTAAGGCAAAGGAATTGCTTTTGTCTACTTTCACTTTTAATTCCTGTTGGCAGTTTATCCAGACTTGGAAATAATCCTGACCTACAGAATTATTTCCAGATATCCGCTAAACTAATAAATTCAGCCCAGCTGTTTTTCATTTTAGAGTCAAGGAGAGGTTGCCCACCCCAAAAGTCATGAAAAATCAGCTGTATTTAATAGCTATATAACCTGATTTGCACTTCACATCAAACCATAGTTAAAACAGACTATTGTTTAATGTGATCGAGCAATGTGCTTGTTGTACAGTGCTGAAATTGCAAGCACTTCCTTCTTCTCTCACACTTGCCACACTGCCAGGAAGCAAGTTGTAGTATGGTCCTGTATGTTTCTGAAACAAACCACATGATTCTGTTTCCTCCCAACAAACCACAAGTGGTAAGCCAAGCTGGTTTCTGATCATGGTTTGTTCACAGAGAAATAAACCACGAGGCCAGATTCAGACAATACAAGCTACATGCCTTATTTCCAGGCAAGACAGCAGCAACAAGAGCAGAAAAGATGCAATTTCAGCAGCATGCACCAGGACCATGCTTGTTCACATTAAACCATAGTTTATTTTAACTAGGGAGGTTTTCCTAGGTTACAAGAGGCTGAATATCCTCTATGGGACAGTGGATTTTTTCTCTCATAGGCCTAGTTCACACACCACATTAAACCATAGTTTATTTTAACTATGGTTTAATGTGGTGTGTGAACTAGGCCTATGAGAGAAAAAATCCACTGTCCCATAGAGGATATTCAGCCTCTTGTAACCTAGGAAAACCTCCCTATTAGACAGAAGGTAGGCCACTAGAAATGTATGTTGCACTCCATTGACCTTTCAGGGGTTGGTTAAAGAAAGAACAAGATTCTAAAGATACACTGAAATCACAGTGGTAGGCAAAGAAAAAGCAACATTAAGCCAGCATGTTTGCAAAACAACTTATACAAGCCTGTACATTCACATATAACTTAGAATAGAATACTTACTTTGATGCCCGTATAAACTTGCCCCAAACTGAGACAGCTGACCTGATGTTGAAGGTGATGCCAGCATCTAAAACGGTAAATAGTCGGTCAAGGATAGGATAGGATAATAAAGTATTTCTACAATATTAAACTCTTTAAGAAAATTAATGAAGGCAGTTGTGAAATCATCTACTGCAGGCAAGTTTTAACTGCAATTCATGTGTTTGGGGCAAGCATGTGCAGGTTTAAAGTAGGGAGCTAAAGGCGGTGTGGGACGCAGGTGGCACTGTGGGTTAAACCACAGAGCCTAGGGCTTGCTGATCAGAAGGTTGGTGGTTTGAATCCTTGCAATGGGGTGAGCTCCCATTGCTCGGTCACTGCTCCTGCCAACCTAGCAGTTTGAAAGCACGTCAAAGTGCAAGTAGATAAATAGGTACCGCTCCGGCGGGAAGGTAAACAGCGTTTCCATGCGCTGCTCTGGTTCTCCAGAAGCGGCTTAGTCATGCTGGCCACATGACCCGGGAGCTGTACGCTGGCTCCCTCGGCCAATAAAGCGAGATGAGCGCCGCAACCCCAGAGTCGGCCACGACTGGACCTAATGGTCAGGGGTCCCTTTACCTTTACTGAAGGCAGTGTGCAGAGAAGGCCCTGCTACCAACCTCCCAGTGAACTCTGGCACCCTTCGAACTTTCTTTGTGTGTTGGGTGCATAGGTCTGAAGTGGAGTTCTAAGCGTGCTCATATGAAGATGTATAAAAGTAATAACACAGGGTTCTTGGCTAAGAAGAGGCTTCTAAGCATGTTCAGCTTAGAATCGCCCTTCTTTGGATCTTGCATTTAATACCAGAAGTTCGGAAGCAGAACCAGCAGTCACTGGGAGTGGAGCCCTGTGTGCAGGTGCCCTCCCCACTTTATACCCACAAGCTTTTGCCTGAATAGGACTATTGTTAGTTACATTTTGCTATACAGAGCTGTGTACAAGGACTCAGTTTCAGTAAACTGAGGTTAGGAAGGTTCTCTAAGTTAGTGACCACCACTAACAGAACAGATAATGGAACATACAGGAAGTATCTGAAGTTACAAAGCCAGCACTTGTGCTTCTGCACAGAAGCTCCCAAGTGCCCCTCTCCTACGAAATATGCTCTAAAAGATTGAGGTTGAGAAAGACTGAGAAGCTCCCAAGGCACCACGGGGAGTTGCAGGAGGAAGGGGGAGGTTGGAAAGCTCCAAAAACACAGATGCAAATAGGAATGCACATGGGGAAAATTCTGGAAATAGTTAGATGAGCAATAGTACCCAAAGAAAAAAAATACTAATAAACTATTCAGGCTCTAATTCAAAATAATCACATTTAATAAAACAATTTGACATGAAAGGGAGGAAATTTCTCAATGTGACACTCAGAATGCAAGGCTATCCATGATTTATTAATACTCTCAATTCACCATAAATTTCTAACATCCAAAATTATTATTCAAAACTCACAGAAAAAAATGGTTCTATGACATATGTGCAGTAATGTGCACATTTTCTGCATTCTGACTTGTTATCAGCACAATAAACCTAACAGAGATTATCTGACTCACTAAGTATCATTGACCTAGTTCTCAGTCTGAGCTGTTTCGCGCAGACTGCAGGTGGAAGTTTACAGCATCAATTGCTCCTGTACATAAAGCATCTCTCTACATAGATAACTGTATGACAGGGTGTTGTAGTTTAGCTTTCCAGATTTATTTATTTTTTCAAAACAGAGGGGTATTCAGTCATATGAACTTTCTTCCACTTGTAGTCTGAAGTGGTACTGCCCAACAATAGGCTTGCCACCTCACTGAAAACTAGCCCACTGCGAAGTTTGTCACCAGTTGGCAGGTCACCACAAAGTAACTAAGCAGAAAAGCTTTTTGGAAATTGGAAAAGTGTTTTTATTTTTCCTTTCTTAGGCCACTGATGTATAAATATTTGTGGCATGGGGACTAGGACAAAGAACCGGGGCGGGGGGGGATTGGATGGACTTATTATCAAGGATGATCAACCACAAAGTCATATGCCAATGAAAAGCTCCATGAGCATAAATAGCATTTCTATCTCTGTGAAAAACTGAATACTGGAATGTTTGGAGTGATCCCTAGTTTGCATTTAGTGCAAAAGAGCCACTGGACTATGAATAGGTGCATTATAAAAGCTTTCAGGAATGACTGGAGGCAAAATGGGGCCTCCATATTTACAGGCAGCAGAGCAATAAACTTCATATTCTGAATAACTGGAGATGATTATTTCCTTCATGTCCTGTGTGATAGCTTCACAAGGCACTCAGGCACAAGAACAAGCTACCCATTTTATAGTTCCTAGTTAGTTGAAGGGCATGCATTGCCACAGATCTGTGTGGCACAAACGTGGAGCTTGCAAACACTCAAGTACCATGTGTGCACCTAAATATGATATCAAATATTTTCCAGTTGTTTATTCAAGAGATTTTGCCTACTGTGCCTGCTTTTGTTGTGTTTTCTTTCATATTACTATTTTATTGTGAATTTTAATCTGCAAAAGCTCCCTTGAGTAAATACATACATATTGGAAAGTTAGAGCAAAAATGCTTACATAAATAAATAAGGTGGTGCCTGGAAATCTGATTATAGCACTAAATATGTTAAATGCTAGCCACGAATGCCAATTTTTCCAGTTAATGGTTAGATCTACACTTGAGGACTTGAGTTTTCCAATCTATCGCAAGTGTGAACACTTATGCACATTTTGTGCAGCATGTATGGTAATTCAAGCTAATTAACTCTGGTATCCCTGATTACAAAATCATGTATTTTTAACCAGTTTTAAAAATGGAAAAAATAAGTTAGTGTTAATAAAAACTTACATCTTTTTCTGATCGATGTGGGAACATCGAAGGCTGGCCGTAGTACATGTTTTCATCGTGGTAGTCACTGTCGACTCCCTCTACAAACTTCTTTCTTGAAGCACCAAACATGCTGTTTGTCACCTACATTATAAGAATATGGCATTAATCTCTGGAACAAAAGTAAAGCAATTCCTGAATTTAACGATGCTTAAAAACACACATACATACTCCAGTTCTAACAGTTTGCTAAACTATGGTTTACTGTAATACTCCTCTACCACAGGCAAGAGGAAGCATTTGCTTCTATTTGTTTGTTGAAAACCAAAGTTACTCATTATATTTGAATCTCTCATTTGGGGAATGAACCAAACTTAAACCAGGATATGTTTCCCTAAACCACAGTTAAAGTTAACCACAGTTCTGGTTTTGGCTAAAATGATCACCAGTTAGCTGAAAACAGAAACGAAAGTTTCCAATCTTCTTGTGGCTGTGACAAAGAAGGAAGCAGGAAACACAGAAGCCATAGTTTAGTGTTACATCTGAACCAAATCATGCTCATTTTTATGTAGCACCTCCAGCTCCACAAAACAAAATGTGCTAAACCCAGCACTATGTATAGCTTCTCTCAAACCAAAATTCTACAGTCCAGTTCCCTAGCTATTGATGGTTAACAGTTTGATCTATACATGCCTACTCAGAAGTTGAATGGGAGTTACTCCCAAGTGGATACAGGACTACAATCTACACCACTCATTTGTATACACTACTATTAAATAAACAATTGCCTTGTGTTCCTAAAAATGCACAAATTACTTTACTACTTGTATGCCCTCACAATAATACCATGAAGTAGGCAACTATTATACCTACTTTGTTAATGGGCAGTGGAAGCTGAGAAATGCGTACAGTACAAATCTCTGCTTAGTCGTAACATTCTTAATTTTTTACCAACAAGGCTGTGTGTTTGGAGTACTGTAGCAATGAAGGGCTCAGACAACAATAAAACAAAGTCATATATGATGATGTCCTCCTTATGCCAGCTTCTTTTATATCCAGCCACTAATGTTCAGTGAAAGTTATTGCGCGCACGCGCTCTCTCTCTCGCTCTCTCTCGCACCCTTTACAGATTGAAAGCAATTTTCGTACTTTAGGAACACAGACTGTATTATTTATATTTTGGTATATATGTTTGGTATATTAAAAGAGCAGTTTAGTCAGACAATAATTCGAAATTGAAGTTACTTTATATTTTTTTGTTACAAATTGAGCTACAAACTGCTGAACTGTAAGGAACCTGAGCTATAAGGAATCTCTGGTTTCGCTAGTTTATGAGGAGCAGGCAAAAACCGATAAAAACAGAAGAAACAAAACAACATTAGTAAAACAAAGAAAATTATTATGTATCCTACAGTACTTCACAGTGTCAAGCAGACATAAAACACTTATTTCCATAAAAACAGTTGAGAAAAAGGGGGGACTAGGCAAGAAGGATTCAATAAATATACCATACAGGTAATTTAAGCACACTTTCAGCTCTTTTTTGTTGCCCTGTACTATGCTCCAGTCCTTTGAGGCCTAGTCAAGGACAGAAACAGATGCACCAACTATGCCAACAAAAGGAAGCCCACAAGCAAAGAAGGCACTGAAACCTTCCTCCTCCTGTGACAATGGCAGTGCCCATAGAGGCACAAATGCATCTTGCTCTTAAGGTTGATAGTAGTAGTCTCTGTTTACAACTCAGGGCTTGTTTGTCCTCAGTGCACAGGAGCTGCAATGATCTGACACTGTACATAGTCTTACAGAAAGCCTTTGTGTTACATAGTTTTTAGAAATCATTTCAGGGGAGTAAATATATGAACACCTTGGCTTAAACATTTTTTCCCCATCATTCTAAAAGAAAATATTCCATAATCCATTTTTTTCCTGAAAACTAACAAGAAAGCCTTTTTTGGGGTGAGTAGGATGGAATCCACAGCTCCCCCTTCACTCCTCTAATTTTTATTTCACACAAAAGTAAATTCCAGGTTTTCCCAATACACTTAGGTAGCGCTCTCACTTCACAATTGGCTCACAAATCACCTACAAAATGGAATGCAGTATTTAACAGGCTAAGGGGATTATCTCCTCTTTTACTCTAGCTGAGCAAAGTGATGATGAGCTGAGAAATTGTTGGTGGCAGCTGCTGCTCCTAGCAAGGGTGAAGAAGAGTAGAGTCAACCAAGGTAATCTTGCATGCAGTGAAGCCAGAAAGACTGTTCTTTGCCAACTTACTCCCTTCTCATTATAACACTACCCTACCCTACTATTACTACCATTGCATTGCCCTCACTAAAAAAAGAAGGCAGAATTGCTTTGTAGTTATCAATACTTGCACTTAAAGTTACAAACTGCCAGCAGAAAGACATCAATCAGTAACCATAGCAGATTTAAGTTTGATCCTGTTCCTCAGAAGTTTGTGCTGTACCTTTGATGCAGGAAGGAAGGAGGCCCAAGCAAGCCTCACCTGCAATATACTGCCAGGTGGAGGCACCATCTTGCTCTGGCCCTCAAACCGGTTCTGGGCAACGTATCGATACATCACCCAGGCCTGGATAGCTCAGTTGGTTAGAGTGTGGTGCTAATAATGCCAAGACTGCAGGTTTGATTCCCATATGGGGCAGCTGCATAGTCCCGCATTGCAAGGGGTTGGACTAAGATGATCCTCAGGGTCCCTTCCAACTCTATGATCCGATCATGCCAAGGTTGCCTAGTAAACATAAGGAACTTTCATGGAATGTTTCCCCATTTGCACATCAACTATAGAGACAATGATAATCCACCCATCTCCTGAGCGGAGTTGCCATATTTAGCCAAAGGAAAATATATCGTGTTTTTCGCTCTATAAGACGCACCAGACCATAAGACGCACCTAGTTTTTGGAGGAGGAAATCAAGAAAAATAATATTCTGAATCCCAGAAGCCAGAACAGCAAGAGGGGTCTCTGCTTTTGCTGCGCAGCGATCCCTCTTGCTGTTCTGGCTTCTGGGACAGCTGCGCAGCTTGCATTTGCTCCATAAGACGCACACACATTTCCCCTTACTTTTTAGAAGGGAAAAAGTGCGTCTTATAGAGCAAAAAGTATGGTAATTTCCTCCTTTTTGGAGCAGGGAGTGGAGCAATAATAGCATTGTCATTTCACACATATTACGCTAATGCTTGCTCTCTTTGAAGAATCTTCCATTAGGCACGATTTTTACCTTCCTAGCCTCAGTCTCAAAGATCAAAGTACTTTCTTCCTCCAGTGATAATTAGTTCTAGCCTCCCAGTTTTCCCATACTGTATTCCTCTATGGCTGTTTTTAAAGGATTTAAATTGTAATATTTTCTTAAATTCAAACTATAAATCTTTACTCATTCCACCAAAACTAAGAAACTGTAGTAATTCCTCACCCATACTCCATCTACTGATGGCTACTTCTTAGAAAGCACAGCTTTTGAAATAGGTATTATTAGCAATAACTTATACTGGAGTCTACTCACAAGTATAAACGAGATATATGAACCTACTTCTGGAATTCTTGGAAAAACTAGGTCTGTCCCACAAGCCAGTGTGGTTTAGGCACTCTCATCATTTTTATTTTCATCAGGAGAATTGCCTCCATGTGCACTCCCACAAGGGAAGAAAGAGTGAAACCTGAAGCATCTCTAAGTGGCAAGGGAAAACATTAACTTGAGTACCCTTCCCCAGCCAAGACAAGGGATTTGCATTGCCAAGTATAGGCATACTTATAGCCACATGGCTGTGGTAACAGCAGCTAAGAGAAAGATGTTGTCATAATGGGGTAGTTAGTATATGATCTGTTCAACAGTAGTTTACATCTTGTCTGAGAAGTAATAAAAGGGCAGAACAGATTTTGTAAGAATAACAAGCTCTTTAAGGGAAGGCAAAAATCATATTCAGATTTTAGATATCTAGTGTTTAAGGTTACAAACTGTAAGACTCCTCTTTGAAGATATTTAATTCAAATCATGTCTGATTAATTATAGATTGGAGCTGGGAGGGAATTCTGTACATTTCCTCCAAACATCTTAACATTTGCTTCTGACACCAAACAATTTGGCATTCTTGCTCTCCCTCAAGTTTGCTCAGGGTACTGTCCTTAGTACATGATGCAGACTCTTAGGAATTTGAAATATTTTTCCTCCGAGGGAGAGTCTTCTCATCAAACTTTGCTCTCTTATACTTATAAAAGGGAGGTCTACCACCTACAACTCTCTGAAGACATTTCCCTGAATAACTCTTTAATCAAAGATATTAGGACATAGCTTTAAAATATTCCAATAGTGGTGGCATACGGTGCACCACTTCCAAAAGAGATCAAAGGAGACATGCAGGTACATATGGAAGCGATTTCCCTCAAGTATGCAGAACTCATGAGGTTTTGAACTTGCTGGGATTCAATGCAGCTCTGTGGCAATCATTCCAGGACAACAAGCTTTTCAACTTGCCAGATGGAACATCTCTCCCCCCCCCCCCCCATATTCTCCTTCTGGTTCTCCCAGCCCCACCAGAGCCCAATTTGGGTGATACACAGGGGACAGGGAAGGGAGAAATCCCTGCTTCACTAGCAAATGTCTTCAATGAATCCTGCTCTAAGTCTTCAATCCTATGCATGCTTATCAGGAAGTAAGCAAGCACAGTGGGATTTACTCCTGTGTAAACAATACATAGGACTGTTAAGGTCAAGAGGGTTCTTAAGGCTGAACAGGTTTTCCATCACAATATGTTAGCACAAATACCAGACAGTTATCCTAATCTCAAAAAAAGGAACACATGTGCATCAATCAGGGCTTCGTGTGGAAAGCCCCTTCCAAAAATCTTAAAATCCAGCTGTTCAACTGCTTGGCTGGAACAGGATGGAAAAGCAAGGAACTGAAACAAATTGCCTATTCCTACTTCCAAACAGCTGAGCAGTGCTTTTCCCTGAAGAGTTATGTGCATGCAGTCTCAAATGTTGGATCAGTGAGAGGAACTGAATAAACACTTTAATATTAAGGTTCAAATAAATACATTGAATAAACATACCTTTTAACAAATGGCCCAATGGGCACTCAAGGTGGCTTCAAAAATGCCAATCGCAAAACCACTAAAATAATGTACAAAAATGTACACAGGGTACACTTCACTTATGACTAACTAAAATGGTAATGCAACCACAACAAAGTGTTACCAACTCAGTTTAAAAGCAGCAATTTGACTTATTAGAACTATAACATTGGAAGCAAACTTCCCATTTGGGCATTTCCCCCGTCCCAAGTATTCCAAAATATTTTCACAAGAAAAACACTCATCTTACAAACCCTCCACAATACTGAACTGCCATTATATGCAAAGTTCAACAAAAAATAAATTAAAATAAAAGATTGCAAAATTGCCTACAAACATTCAGGTTACTTTTCCATCCTGGACTGGATCAAATATTTATCAGTGAAAAACTTTATTTATTATCTGTTTACAAACATTACTAGAAAATCTTTCCTAGAAAACCTAACACACACTAAGAAAATATCTACCTACCTAAAAACTGTACTTTTGCCCATTAACTTTTTTGTGTCTGTTGAAGCAAGCAAGCTTTGATGGACACTTCCTGTAAATGAAGTAGATTAAGTTATTAGTAAAGTTGAGGAAATCAACAACTTTAGCAAACACAATAGATTTTATTTCACTATAAAATGAAAAATTATATTATAAAGTTAAAGGCTAATTTATATGTTACTTACAGAACTGAAAGGATCTTCAAAAGCATTGACCTTGCCATTATGAAATGTGGTACAACATAAACAATATATAAATTCTTTAACGGCAAGGTATTATTGCCAATGTAAATTAATGTTTTACAGGATTAAAAAAGGGCTATCAAAAATTAGCTACAAGTCTTCTACTTATATGCTCCTTATTTACTTACTGGGAACATACCAAATACATTGACCAGGTCAAGGGTCCACCGAGTCCAGAACACTGTCTCCAACAGTATCCAACCAAGTGCCAATACAAATCTCAAGCATGGACATGGATGGAGGTGGTATTCTGGGTTTGTTTTTGTTTTTTAGTGTGCCAGATGGTAACCAAAACAACAACCACCCAGCCACTGAAATATTGCCAGTTAATATGGGCATCAGTGTTAGCAACTGAGATATGAAAGCTAGGAACTAAATGGCACCTTAAACCTAGGTTATAGGTGCCACAAAGGATTGTCTAGGCGCACTTTTTTATAACAAGAATACCAAGTCGAAAATGAATAAACTGCAGCCTGCTCCTCATAAACTGGTAAAATCACATAGTCTAGTCCTCATCTGAAGGCTGCCCCCCCCCAAAAAAAGCCATACTTCCCCTGCCCGTCCCCCTAATATTCTTATGAGGGTCCCTTCTCCAGTCTTCAGGATGGCTGGCAGTGGGGAGGCAGAAAAAGGTTCCTTCCAGCAGCGGCAGTTTTAATCTGAAATCTTAGGTGCAGTACTGCGTCCAGAGCTCAGAAGCTGCTCGCATTAATGAAATTCCCTGTTGCAAAATGCGCCTAGGACAATGAATTTGTCTCATCTTAGTATGTTCAGCAGTGTAAGTTAGAACTAGAATTAATGGGAGGAGTAGAGAAAGACTGGGGAAACAAAGAAAACGTGAGACGAAGTGGAATATACAAGAAACCAAGAAAGGAGAGGAAGGGAAGTCCATCAATGATTGTATTTTTTAATGTAACATATTGTGTAATATGTAATTCTTTTTTCCTTTTTTTATTACTTTTGGGGGGGGGGGGTTTCTTCTGCTGAAATGAATCAGAAACGCAGTAATAATAATAAATGTCTAATCTCCTTTTAAAGCCATCCAAGTGGTCACCATCACTACCTCCCATAGAAGCAAATTCCATGGCATAGTTTAACTATGCACTGTGTGGAGTAGTACTTTCTTTTGTCTCCTTCACACAGCACATAAATAAACAGTGGAACTCATTCCCACAGTTGTCACTTCTGTTTATAAATCAACTAAAAGGCACACAGATACTGTCAAATTGCTTTTTGTCAACTGGAAAGTATTACGTTGATATAGATGTAAATGTTACTGAAACACATTAAAATGTTATGCAGTATAAGTTTCCCACTGGTTGTTTTTTCCTTTGCCTCCCTAAATTTTGAAGACTGTGGATGCAGAAGAGTGTTCCATGACCGCTTGTTTGCCTTACGAGCTTCTCCTCGATAGGGCCAGTCCATAAGAATAAAATATTAAGGTGAAATGTACTCTTAATGCAACAATTCAAGGGAATTACTACTTTCTCTAGCACATGAAAAGAACTCTGACTCAGTACAGTTGCTAAAGGGCTGAGCCTTCCTTTATGATAAGCAAGTGACCCAGATTCACTTCCTTTAATCTGTCCTTCTCTAACAGCATACAGAGGGCAAAACACATCATAGTCAGCCCAGGAATATGGATCTTAACAGCATACAGAGAGAAGCCACAAACAATGTGTAAAATCTAACTGAAAAAAGGGCATGCTTTGATGCTATGCATGCATCTTCACTTAGACGTATGCCCCCTTAAATTCAAAAGGCCTTATTCTCTGTTAAGTGCTCATAGGGATTGAGGCCTCAATAGCAGTTACTTTATACACTAAAGTGTATGAGCTTTAAACTAAAAAAGTTGTTAAACTGCAGTCTTTCATTTCAAGCCGCTTGTGCAGAACTGGTCAAGGGTGCTAAAGGAGTTTCATCAATGTAGCTATCCTTAAAGGCCAAGAGCAGCTCCATCCTCAATCCCCTTCTTCTTGCAATACAGTCATACCTCGGGTTGAAGTAGCTTCAGGATAAGTATTTTCGGGTTGCGTGCTGCGGCGACCTGGAAGTAACGGAGCGCGTTACTTCTGGGTTTCGCTGCTCACGCATGTGCAGATGGTCAAAATGAAGCATGCGTAGAAGCGGTGAATTGCGACCTGGGCACGCGCAGACGCAGGTTGCGTTCGCTTCTGGATGCTTCTGGAACAGCTCCCGTTCGCATCCAGAGGTACCACTGTATACATACATATGATGCATGGTGGGGCTCCCTCAGCTGCAACAGCAGGAGTTTGCTTAAAGCAGCAGCTCCATATATAGCCCCAGTCCAATACTACAAAAATAAGAAATACAAAAGGGGGCGGGGGGAGAATTCAAACCATCTCTTACATTTAAGAATTATTTGTTCTTTCTGTGGCTACTGCAGAGACAAAAACTGCCATTCATTATATGGCTTCCTTAACCCCACTGTTTAAGGACAGGAAACGAGAAGTGGGACTGTTCACTAATTTAGCAGCACCTGCATGTCCAAGGGGAAGGAGAAAGAGTGAGACATTGGCACCGCATGGATTTGCCCCCACATCGATTTTTTCCCACCATACCCATGCGGGAGGTAACTGCTGGGAATGATGGGCTATGAAAGTCAGAGCAGCCAGCTACAGAAAGAATGACAAGCAAAACATGGATTGCAAACTACAGATTGTGCCCAAGCCAGATAAAAACTAATGAAATAAGGAAACAAAAGACTTGACTCCATTACAGTTTAATGACTGCATTTTCAATTAATTAGAAACTTTTATTATTGAAGACTGTTTTTATGTTGTAAATGGCCTTTTAAGACCGTATACTGAGATAAAGAATAAATTATAGAGAAATATTACAGTAACTCAAGTTTATTTTAAAAACCTCTCCTTAGCTTGATAGTACATCTCTCAAAAAAGTCAAAAGGTACACAAACCACAGTACAAAATACAGCAAAGCTATAACGTTACGTAAGTTCTGTTCTATCATTGCTTATTTTCTCTAATGAGTTCTGGTAACTATTAAAACTGAGCCACCTACACAACAGACACAGCGGTTCCATCACTTATTTCTGATCATTTTCCCACACCCAGGAATTATAGATGGTGTATATTTGCATTTATAAACACAGAATATGCAAAAATGGGGATATTAAAATATAGCAAAACAAGTATTAGAAACTGAGATATGAAAACTAGGAGCTAAATCGCACCTTAAACAGAGGTTATGGGCCAACAATGGAATGTCTAGTCTCACCTTTTCATAACAAGAATACACAGCTGAAAATGAATGAACTGCAGCTAGAATATTATGTTCATTTTCCACATAGTCTAGTCCTGCCCCTGCCCACTCCCCTAATATTCCTAACAGGATCTCTTCTCCAGTCTTCAAAGAGTAGCAGCTGGAAATGGGAAGGCAGAAAAAGGTCCTCCTTTCCTTCCACTCTGCAGTTTTAATCTGAAATCTTAGGTGCAGTACTGTACCCAGAGCTCAGAAGCTGCTCACACTAATGAAATTCCCTATCACAAAGTGCGCCTAGAACAATGGGAGTTTCGAACACTGAGCAAAACACTGCCGAGCATGGCTACCTAGGAAATTTTTATTCTGAAACCCAGGAATTTGAAAGATTTTAATCTCAGTGCAGGGCTCAAATAAGAAAGTGAAATATTTTCCCAACCCTGAAAATACAAAACTGAGCAATATGAAGATACAATTCAGAGTTCAATGACAACATCTTTTCCTATCTCTCTGGATAGGATAACTCTAGATATCTCGTGTCCCCCATCCATCAGGAACTAAAGAATCTCTATTCAAGACCATAGCCTTCTCTCAGCAAAATTACCTATGTGATCTAACATTAGCATTTGTTTTTGTGAACCAACTGTCTTTTAAATTGCTCCCTACTGGATCCAGCATCCTGCATCCCATTTCCCACAGTTGCCAAGCAGATGCTTTTGGCAAACTTCCAAGCAGGACATAAAGACCACAGTCCTCTCAATTAACACAGAAGAATGCACTAATGGATGGGGTTAGGATGATAAGGCACCATTTTTAGCCAGCTAGGAAAAGCCTTGCCCATGAGCTTACATAGCTCCAACTCTCGTCTCTCTCTACTTCCATGCAGGCAGGGGTGAAAGAGTTAAAACTAGTATGGACATGCCACATACAGAAATGAAGCACTGCTTAACACAAGAAGATGCCTGAAGTCTCTCACATATAACTAAACACATACAATTTTTGTACACAACATCGGACTTTGTTTAGAAAAGTTGCTGAGCTTTGTTGAGGCCCCACTCAAAGAGGCTTTTAAGCTGCTTCTTTTTTTTGAATGAAAATCACCAAAAAAAATCAACACTTCCAATATAGACTGCCATACACCAGGGTTTTTAATCGGCCATAGGAAATTCTGCCTGGACGAATTTCAATGGACTGGCTGTTTTCGACAGACGGATCCCAGATATGTCCAGGAAATTCCGGACGTATGGCAGCCTATGTGGCTTATACTGCACAAAGGAAAGCAGGGGCACACTGCCACGCTCCACCCCCTCCAGCGGATCACTTTCCCCCTTCCAAGAGTAGAGGACACTCCTTGTTTCAGAACGTGACCACCCAACTCATGGAGGGCTGAAAACAATAAAAAAGTGATGCACTGGAGTGGGATGGAGTTTGGCAGCATGCCCCTCCTCTTCGTTGCACAATGACAAAAGCCTGAAATACACGGTGTTTGCAGAAATCTATGCAACTTGTTCACGTACAAACCCCTTAAAAAAAAAAAGTATTTAGACCCAGAATGCAATATGGCAAAATATTCTATGCTAGAGATGGTATTTGAATGTGTTATTTTGCAAACTTTTTATTATGTTAGGCTGCATCAAGTGGAAGTGGAAGGATCAGACAATTATTTCATTTATTTGAAAATGAACTTTTCACACCCAGGTAACTTTTCTGAACTGGCTTTTCACATCCAAGATGGCAACAAGAGGAAATCAATTACATTCCAGAGGAAGGCATTTACTCCTACCTGGGCAGGTTAGAATATGCGAACCAAATCAAGTAAATGAAATAAAGAAAGGAGTAATATTTACTCAACTCACATGCAGCACATATGAAAAACAATATTCAATATTTTTATTTTTTAATTTTCCACCCTGAGATGACCCAAGGTGGTTTAAGTATGTTGCAAAGTCATTGGTTACAATAGGTGATCCGTGAGAAAGAATTTTAACACGGATTTCTGAACAGCTTTTGGAATAGCTAAACTCATTTGAAAAGCTGCCTATGTGGCTAGAATCAGCAAGCAAGCTTAAAATAATCAGCCTAGAAGGAGTATTTGTGGCTTGCCATTGCCTTTGCTGTCAGCTTGCCACTTGGGGGCCAATGGGAAGACAAACTAGAGAAAATTGTATTGTTATTCTAACACAATTAATAATGTAATGTAATATAGCAATCCCAATAGAACATTAGGACATCAAAAGGTGTTAAATTATAAAAAGGGGTGGATGGGAAACTGCTTTCCGGACTTCTCTCCCATTACTACAAAATCTGGATGAATCAATTTGTGCTGATACAAAATTAAATACAAATAATATAGCAGATTTCAGAATAAACATTTTAACTGATGCTGCAGCAAAGTTATGAAACAATTTCTACCATGGCTCCCTACACCAATAAAAGAAATGAAGTGAAGTGCAACTAACATTCAATTCAAATTCTGATGAAAACAGAATTTTAGGACTGCCACTTAATAGAACAGTCTGCATCAACAACAATTTTGTCTGGTTCATTAACAAGAGATATTCTTTCCTTGTTAAACATGCCAAAGATTCATCCTAACACTGCTTTTTAAATTCATTTTTTGCATGAATGTCTTATCGTATGTACATTCCCCAAAGAGAGAAACCTACAGAAGACTCTTAAGGTGGAAGCCTCCTACACTTTAAACAAGCCTCTCACTGCCTTTGATGGTCTTCAAAACACAGCACAAAGTGAGTTCTTCACTTACCGTACCTTTGCAGGCAGAAACACCTGCAAATCCCAGTGCAAGTTCAGAAGTGGACCTGAGATCTCCTCAAAGTCATCTGTGAATGCCAGAGGATGTGGGCTGGGGCTGGGGCAACACAACGTTACTTATGGCCCCCTTCACTTTTTTTCCTAAACTAAAAAAACCCAAATGCTGTAGCTCTTTCCTTAGAGGCTAGTTGTTCCACACACACACCCTAATAATTCTGGTGGCCCTTTTCTGCACCTTTTCTAGCTCTATAATATTCTTTTCAAGATGCAGCAACTAGACCTGTTTACAGTATTCCAACTGTGGTTGCACGATATATTTTTATAAAGGAATTGCAATATTGCCAGTTTTATTTTCCACCCCTTTCCTAATGATCCTCAGCCACAGACTTTGTCTTTTCACAAATGCTGAAAAAGAGGGCCAACTGTTTCCTTGAGCTATCTATGACAACACCAGGATCCCTTTCCTTGTAAGTGAAGGCCCCATCACTTACACTTTACACTTATTTGACTGAACCACAATTACCATTTAAATACCAATTCATCCAGTTTGGAGTGAACCTTTTGGAATGCCTTGAAATCCCTTTTATTTTATCACCCCAAATGACTTGGTGTCACCAGCAAACTTGTCTACCTCCCTGCTCACCTCCAGGTAATTTATGAACAAGTTAAAGAACAGGGATCCTAATACAAATCCTTGAGGACATCACTTTTTACATCTCTCCATTGTGAGAAATGTCCATTTCTCCTTCCTCTCTGCTTGCTGTTCTTTAGCCATTTGTCAATTCATAAAGAGGCCTGTTAAAATAATTTTCACCCCACTTTATATATTGTATTAATCTCACGTAGATCATTTATATATAAGATCAAACCAAGGATGCATATACAGAAAGGATCCAGGCATTTCCACGAAAAGGCACATTCACTATAGAGTACCAATATTCAAAAGAAATACTGTTAACTCAGTAATGTGTTCACTGAACACCTGGCGTTTCTACCAGTGGCTTCTCAAATTACAATTAAACAAGCTATATTGTGTCAGTTCTTTTTGACTACAACATAATGGGTCACAGAAGGTACAGTAGACATCTGAGGAAATAGATGTGGCAATAGATTCAATGAAACAGTGTCACCTTTCCTTCCACCTCTCTCTCCACTGAGATATATTAATAAAAGTATGAGTTTTCTATTAATAAGGCCACAAAAGTTGCTGGCCTTCAAAAAAGGTCTGCCAGCTCTCAGCAGGCTGAGAACTCTGTCCTGCAGCCTAATCCATTTTAATGCCGGGCACAGAGGAGGGGACTTCTCTCCTCCAACTCACTACTTTCTGAGCTGAGCATGATGGAGGGACCAGGCACTTCTTCCCTCCTCCACCAATCTGCTCACTCAGCTGAATGGATTCCTGGTTACCTATGGCTTCCAAGTTAGTGATTAAAGACAAGTCTGAGCTAGTGGACTGTAAAGATATAAAGCAAAACAAGCTCTAGGAGGGATTCTCTCTAAAATAAATGAAAAGGGAGCATTGAATGCTAGCAAGCAATGCATTCTGAGCTACGATGGAACCCTATGTTATGGGGGACAGAAATCACATTACAGTGGTACCTCGGGTTACATATGCTTCAGGTTACATACGCTTCAGGTTACAGACTCCACTAACCCAGAAATAGTGCTTCAGGTTAAGAACTTTGCTTCAGGATGAGAACAGAAAACGTGCTCCGGCGGTGCAGTAGCAGCAGGAGGCCCCATTATTAGCTAAAGTGGTGCTTCAGGTTAAGAACAGTTTCAGGTTAAGTACGGACCTCCGGAACGAATTAAGTACTTAACCTGAGATACCACTGTATTAACCAGTCAGGAAAATAGTTCATCTGGTTAGTACAGATGTTGGTTGATGACAGACACCTCCATCTTCAGCTTTCTTAAGGTCAGCAGAAAAGCTTATTTATTGCATTTATCTCCTACCTATTGCTCTAAGGACATTGTTCACACACACCCTCATCAGTTAATGCCTACGACGACCCTGCAAGGCAGGTGAAGAGGTTGCGATCAACTCCAAGGTCACCTTTTGAGCTTCATGACTGAGTGGGGATTTGAACTCTGATCTCCCAGGTCCTAGTCCAACACTCTAACCACTAAACCACCCTGGCTTCCTACTGTCCTTCTGCTATGGGGCAGTTCTATAAATTGAATCGGTAAATCAATATGGGGAAAGCAAAATGTACCTTAGAGAAGGATCTGAAATCTTTTCCTTGAAGCTTGGATATATTTTATTCTGGAAGTTGTCAACTGCTGTGAGATTTAAAATATGAAGCAGCATAGAAATAAAAATGAAAATAAATTCTATTGGGGGGGAATGGTGCCTAGACATTCCATGATGGCGACAGTAACTGAGGTTTAAGCTGGCATTTGGCAATTAGCTTACACATCTGAGTTTCTAAGACTGATAGAAACATGAGATGGCTGCCCATCCAGCCCAGTATTGTCTATGCCTGGTTTTAGGCAGGAGTCTTTAGTAGCCCTACTTGGAGAAGCTGGGGATTGAATCTGTGTCATTCTGCATGCAAACCTGTTGCTCTACCATTGAACCCTGCCCAAAGTTCAAAGAAATCAGCATCTGAAGACACACTTAAATCCTGGTTTCCCTGAACAAACCAGTTAGAATTAATTGTCGCTTGCAAAGTTCAGACATAATGGGAAGCTGCAGGTTATTTGAAACAGAAAGTGGAAGCTCTTTATCTCTACGCTCACATGCAAAGGAAGGGAGATGGGAAGGAAGAGAACCTGAGGCTTACCATAGTTTATTCTCATAATCCAAAATCATTGCTTACTATTGTATGAACTATTTGGTAAACCTCACTGATAAGCAATTGCCCTCCACATGTTTGCTTTTCCAAAGATACTCAATAAAGCTACTTACTTGGCATAGTTTTTATATCTCTTAAGATACTTTTTTCTTGCTTTAAAGCATGTTTACCTTACTCTTCTGCTGAAAAGGCTCCTTGAGGGGCCCACATAAGATCAAACCAAAAAGCAAGGTGGCCCCTGCCTGCAGACTCACAATAATTCTAAAATATGTGACACAAAAGGAAAAAGTGATGAGGAGGAAAGAAGAAAAACAAGCTAACTCAGGTACAAATAGTTTTTCATAGTTCTTCTAATGACCAGCTGAAATCGGAGTTCAGGGAGAGAAGTTAATGGAGTGCCTCTCCTTTCCATCACTTCCTCTAATGCAAGCAGATTTGTCCTCATCAATGATAACACTGTCTATGTTCATGTAAACAGTTACTTCAGCCTAAAGAATGAACTGTAGAGTTTAATATTAACTTCAATATTGTTCACTTAGAAAAGATGGGCAATAATAAGTCCTTAACTTTTGTCCCAAGGATGAGTGATTACTCAATAGTAAGCCTAGCTGTGTTAAGTGGGGCGTGCTTCCAGATAGTGGGACCAGATTCCAGCATCAGTTATGCTACTGTGAACAATATCTCAGATTTTAGCAGGATAGTTGATCCAGTAGAAGTTTTCATTGATGGAAAGGAGGTGATTTCACTTCCCTATGCAGCACCCTTTGTTCTCTAAATCAGCTCCAGAGGCTTGGATGACTTTTTCAAACAGTGTGATAGGTAACAGCTTTCAGAAAATGGACTTATAGACCCTCAGCTATACACAGAACCACAGAATAGAATTATAAATTGTAGAGTTGGAAGGGCCATAAGGGTCATGTACACCCACACCCACCCTGCAATGCAGGAATCATGAAATACGGTACTTTCTTGGAAGTTTTTTTGTTCTTTAATGTCAATATAACTCTTGCAATTCTATTTCGGAAGTTAAGCTATGGTTAAATTATCACCTATATGTACTTTTTACAGAAATGCAGTGAGTTACTTGGAAGTACTTCTTATCTGTGTTAACTGCAACCAAAAAACAAGCAAGTGTCACTTCAAGCTGCGTAATGCTGCCATGCAATTTTAACCCTTCAACACTTTTATTTTTTAATGGTAACAATCTGATATTGGGGTCCAAAGATCCCATTAAAGTTCTAGCTACAAATAAAGGTTATAACTGATTTCATTATGAGAGTGTTAATGCTTACGTCCAGAAAAGGCCAACTAGGAGTAGGATTAGTCCCAAAGGGCAGAAGAGGGGAAACTTTTTCGGCCCAAGTGCCTTCACAGCAACCTTCTGAGAGTCACATGCAAGTGGCAGGCGGAGCCAGGGGCAAAAGTGGACAGAGCAATAAAAGTAAAAATTACCTCCGTACAGTAAGTTAGTTTCTATATACGCTCACATACACTTCTCTATCCTCCATCCAGGCAAACAACAGGCAGTAACAAGAGTTCAAGGAAGAATTCCAACTAGGCAAAAACATTCAAGGGGTGTGTGAAGCATGGCTGTTGAGAGATGTGCATGGGAAGTGAGGGTCTGTTTCCTAGGGAAGAGTTCCAAGCACAGGGAGGCCTGAGATTCAACATCACTGCCCTAGGCAAAATTTACTCCTGGAGTTCAACAGACTCCTGCAATGCTTTGTATTGGGGTTTCTTTGTTTTCTGATACAGGACTGTACAGATCTAATTCCTTCCACCACCACCCTCCAGTACCCGTTAAGTGGTATTACAAAAAAGAAGAAGAAGAAGAAGAAGAATTTATTATACAGATGGAATGCTGTTGTTTTCTCTATCCTATTTTGAGAAGTTGATGGGAATAGAACAGACCCCAGTTACTTCTGGCATTTAAGAGCTTCCCTTTCCCATTCGTTTCAAAAGCAGTAAAGCAACTTAGTAAGTTAAATGTAAATTATAAGAAATTATAAATGGCGGTGGGAGGTGAAACACCACAGGACAATTGGTCCCACAATTGTGAAGAGAACGTGGAATATATGATGCTTCATGTTTGCTCAAAAGTATTTCCAAAAGCCACTGGAGTGCACAACAACACCAGTAAAGTAGCAAGCGTTCATAACAACCCTCACTAAGGTAAGAGGTTTAGGAGTTATTTATCATTGTAATTAACAATAATTTTGTTCTTTGCTTTTCTTACTGTTAAAATTTAATTAAAAATTGTTAATAAAAAGTAGAACTTATTTGTCATAATCTGGCACACACTTAACTCAAACTTGTCTTATCAGTGGAACTTAATGAGTGTAGCAGTGCTATTTGAAAGCCATTTTAAAATACGTATTTTTGAAAGATTAATTATAATTAAATTATTTTGTAGTTTTCAAGTTTAAGTCACTGCCTACAATTATAACACTAGTTTACCTTCAGATATTTCAAAGTGTTTTCAAGAGTTTTGGGTATTTTCCTTAGAAATCTTAACAATCATGAAACATTGCAGCTAAACAATATGTGCACTTATGACAATTAAAGTAAAATGGGGTTTCAAAAACATGCAACTGTTTTAAACTGATGGGGCTAACTGATTCCATTTTGAATAGATGTCTGGAACAAGACAATGGAAAAAATAGAAATGTCCCTACTGTCCACACAACAAAGAATTAAAATGTAATTTACTTTCCTAATAAAGTAAATAGAAGACAGCAATACAGAAAATTCAACCTAGGAGAAATTCTTCTCCAAGCCATCCTGTCAACAGGAGTTTTGCAGAAGCTAATTACCAGTAATTAATCTTTGTCTCTTAACATTTAGAAATAAGGGAAATCCTTGCCAATAGTAAACAGAAGACAACTTTTTAAAAACAACATTTTATTTGATGTCTATCTCAAGTTATGGACTCTTTTACAAATTTGTGTGTATTTTTAATAAACAAAACTATAAGCATACATTTTAGAAAGATAACTTTCCAATAAAGCTAGACCTTTCAAAAAGGAAGGCAACTTCAATATACGTACCTAAATTTATCAGCACTTCCAGTACAAAATCTACTTCTGTGTTTTTAAGTGGTTACCTCCCAGTTTCATTTTCTATAATCTCATGGACATTCGAGTGCCGCCTCATTCTCATCCAAACCAATTTTCTGGAGAGCCAACTTTTAACCTCCAAACTAACCAAACTTTTTTTAAAAAAACAAAAACATTAGTGCTGATACCCAAGTGCAGCAGGATTAATATCTTATGAATTTCTCTTGCTGTCAGAAGGTGTTAGATATATTCTGTTAGTATCTAAGCTCCTTACTTCCTCCTAGATGAATGAGAACAGAACAGTATCACTATAATGGGGAAAAGTATGAAGGACTTCAGAAAGCAAGATAGAATACATGCAGACATTATCTTAGATTCCAAAGAATATATAGAAACTATATTTGTGATATTCCATGAAGCAGTTCTACATTTTTCTATTCTATTCTATACAGTTCTATTTTTTATATATATATTTAAAAGTTTGTGTCATTTCAGCGATCTACACAATAGCCCGGTACTCACTGTTGTACTTCTAGCTAGCTTTTGAGACAATTGCAATATAGAGAGAATACCTGAAGAGCCAAAGGTTTCTTAAAATTTTGTTCTGAAGATGGAACCTCCTTATCTATTTCAACTTTTAAAATTTAACCTTAAAGCAGTTTGCCTCTTTTTAGCAGTGCAAGCAGCTGAAATAGAAATGTCAAAGAGTGGAAAGATGTTGAACAGAAGCACGGGAAGAAAATCAGCTTCCATGCTGAAAAGCAATGATCTGGCACAAAAGACCAGGAAGTCGGTTGCATGAACTCTGTAAGACCATCCTCTCTCTTCCTGCAGTGTGGTTGGGAGCAGACTTCTTACAATATTGTTTTGAAAAACAATAACAACAGGAGTGGTTTTAACATACAGTTGTGACACAAGACCATCTATTCCACTCCACCCTAGGCATCCTCAACTTTGGAGACTAGAATGTGGCTCAGGAATAAATTTTTAATGGATGAAGAAAGGGCAAGCAGGAAAATTAAATTTACTTTATTGACACATTCTAAAAAGAAGCAGCATTCTCATTAGTTTTGCATTGTCTGCTTTGATGGTAGCTTTGGTGCTCTACTATTGCTAAACTATAAAATAAAAATGCATTACAAGGGTTCAACAACCGGGTGAGAGCTCCTACATTAGAATAATTACAAACCTGAGTAAGTTTCATGTTGGTACTCTCTAAGTTTAGAGGGTCTCAGCCTGGTGTTGGACAGACTGGGGGTCCTGTGGTCTATCAAGCCTCCCGTTGCCCAAATGCACCCGACAAAGCTGGCCAAAACTGTATCTCGCATGGTGTTGGAGGACTTCGCGTATCCATGCAGAAACTGATGTTAGGCCTGCTCAGCACTTTATAGTCTTCATGACAACTATGGGGCTGTCTCAGTCATTAGTCCAACAAAATGAGCAGTGCACACCCTCAATGTAGTCTTTACTCCAAGTGATGAGCAGTGAAACAAAGTTGTGACAGGGTGCAATGCAGTTCCTTGTCCTGGTTGGATGATTACCTGGTGAAGATTAGACTAATTACTGCTATTCCCTCACAAGGCCATGGGCCTTTTTGAATGGTCTATCCTCAGGAATTGATGGAATATGAGGAGTTCCTGAATCTGAAATAGGGATCTTTCAGAAGAGAAAGCTGATAATCTTGTCAATGCCCCAGTTTCACTATGAAATAGTGAGCTGAAATGAGTGATTGACATGATCACTACTAAGTGTCCTTACTGCCGTTGTGGAGCCCCAGTGGTTCTTTTGTATTCTGAAGAGCTTCGTACCATGAAGCAAACTAGATGAAGACTAAAGCGCAAATGCTGCAAGTCTGACTCTGAAGCAGACTGAATGCTTGTCAGTGGGCATAATCTTGTCTACCATGGTGCAGTACAGGCTGCAAAGAAGGCTCATATCACAGCTAGGATTGCTTCTTCTAATAGCAAGCTGGCAAAATTATTTCAGTCTGGAGGTTACTGACTCCCACTCTAGGGATGGAACTTTGGTGCATTCAAGGACCTGCTGTGACCAACTGGCTACACAATTTGAGGATAGGGTTGCTTGACTTCTGAGTGACCTTGACTCTTCAATTATTGTAGTTCCAGATGAAGTATCCAAAACCAGAGTTGATGCTGTGCTGTGGATCGGTTTCAGCCTGTACAGGCAACTGATGTGGACAAAGTGGGGGCAGTAATACATCCAACCATATGCCCTCCTAACCCTGTCCCCAACTGGCTTATTAAAGCTAAGGCTTGACTGCTTAGCTCCAAAGCACAGTTAACACTTCCCATGGTGCAGCCTCTCCTTTAAAGACCCCAGCTCTGGACCCCTTGGACTGGAATAATTACAGTGGCACCTCGAGTTACAAACGCCTCAGGTTACAAACGCTTCAGGTTACAAACTCCACTAACCTGGAAGAGTTACCTTGAGTTGAGAACTTTGCCCCAGGATGAGAACAGAAATCATGTGCCGGCGGTGCAGCAGCAGCAAGAGGCTCCATTAGCGAAAGCATGCCTCTAGTTAAGAACAGTTTCAGGTTAAGAACGGACCTCCAGAATGAATTAAGTTTGTAACTAGAGGTACCACTGTACTAAATATCTCTTCTTGGGGGACGTGGCAGACAGGATTGTAGTGGGACAGCTGCAGGCATTGTTGGATGACACAGATTCTTTAGATCAGTTCCAATCTGGGTTCAGGCCAAGCCTGAACTGAGTCTGTCTTGGTCGCCCTGATAGATTACCTTTCCAGAGAGTGGAACAAGGGGAATGTGACCTTACTCCTGCTTCTTGAGCTCTCTGAGGATTTTGGTACCATAGACCATAGTATCTTCCCAGACTGGTTCTATGGAATGGGAACTGGAAGAACTGAATTGTCATTGTTCCTGTCCAACCTTCAGGACAGAGTCCAAAGAACAGAGCTAAAAGAGTACTTTTGGGGCCTCAAGCAGTTACACTATGACACTACTCTAATCCCAGTGCTACTTAATATTTACCTGATGCCACTGGGAGCAGTCTTTAAAAGAATTTTGAGGCAGGGTGACATCATACACTGATGACACTCAGCTCCATTTCTCCATAACACCTGAATCAACAAAGCTAGGCAGGCCCTGGACCAATACCTGGTGAAGTGGTGGGATGGATAAAGTAAGCTGAAATTGAATCTTGGCAAGACTGAGGCACTGTGGGTGAGTGGCTCCTATGTCCAGAAAATTAGTCCTAGATGGGTTTACTCTTCCCCTGCAGGAGAAAGAACATAGCTTGAGTGTTCTTTGGATCCAGCTTTGTCACAAGAAATCCAGCTAGCCTCGATGGCTGTAAGCACCTTTTACCAGCTGCAAATGGTGCAACAGCTACAGCAATTCCTGGAATGGGAGACCTTGACTACAATAGTTCAGGCATTGGTACTTCATCATTAGATTACTGCAATGTACTATATGTAGGGCTTCCCTGTGGCAACACTCACAGTTTGGAACCAGTGTTAGAAAGTGAGATATAAAAGCTAGGAGCCAAACTGCTAGAAAAATAAGCCATATTCAAGTTACTGATGTGGGTGATTTCCACATTATGATGATGTGGTTAAATGCTTCTTCGTGAGCAATGTGGACTCATGGAACTAGAATGGTGTGTTCAACCTGGAGTAGAATCAGAAGGTTTAGCAAACCTTGCAGCAGAAGGCTGACACTATGACTGTTCTATGCAACTCCATAAGCTGTCCCTTAAAGGCACTGGACTTAAAAGGAAGCAGCTGTAAATGTTATCAAGACTAGGAATAGAAGAGGAATGGATTCCAAGGCAGACTCACTTGATCAATCTGGGCTGATCATAACAGTACATGTAGTTCAGCCTCATTTATCTTATATACAATCAACTACCAAACGCTTTCAATGTAACTGTAGGGGAAGACATAAAAGTGATCTTGAGCTGTAAACATGAGAGGGGAGATGCTCAGGTGGTGTTGCATACATTTCTTGCTGGTGGTGCAGTCAATATCAAATCAAATGATACAAACACACTCATAATGATGGTCTATGCTCTCACTTAAACCGTCAAAAGGCAGATTGGTTCAAGCAGATATTCAACAGGTTCATCGGCATAAGGAAGATCATGCACAAAATTTGAATTCCAGCCTCTCTCAAACATGTTCTAACAAGTACTGCAAACACACGCTACCTTACAGAGCCTCAAAACAAGTTCTCTTCAGGAAAGTTCTTAGGATTGATATGCTCGACCTATTTTCAACTCTTGGAAATAACAAAACCTTGAATTCTGATACAGAAAGGGATGCTACAACTTTCATCCAACCCATGGTCCACTCTGGAAAGAAGATAACTGTAGACAGTCAAGTTAGGCTCTGCAATCAGCTTGCCACCAAAACAACTCAGATCATCTGAATCCTTATGGCCGAAGTCTTCAACTTTTTTCAAACCCAGGCTCCGCCTTTACCCTGACATCCATCTGAGGATCCATTTCTTAATTTCTTTATCATTTGTAGTAGTGCTGCTGTTGTAAAAGGTAAAAGTAGTGCTGCTGTTGTAACCTACCTTTGATCAGACTATGTCCAGCAATGAGTCCCAACCCACCAGCTGAATACTACATGTCTAAACTGTCTGATCAAAGGAGTAATTTTTGCTGCATATGATTTGTGCCGTCTGAAACAAAACAAAAAGAAAATGTGTACAGTCCACCATTTGTACAGTCCACTGGCCCACTGATAAACTCTTCCAGACTAGTTTTCATGGTAAAAAAAACCCTGTAAGCTACTATTTTATACAGGCAGAACAAATAACCTAGCAGTACAGCCCTTAGGTAAAGGTAAAGGTACCCCTGCCCGTACGGGCCAGTCGTGTCCGACTCTAGGGTTGTGCGCCCATCTCACTTAAGAGGCCGGGGGCCAGCGCTGTCCAGAGACACTTCCAGGTCATGTGGCCAGCGTGACGAAGCTGCTCTGGTGAGCCAGCACCAGCGCAGCACAAGGAAACGCTATAACGCGGTACCTATTTATCTACTTGCACTTAGGGGTGCTTTCGAACTGATAGGTGGGCAGGAGCTGGGACCGAAAGATGGGAGCTCACCCCGCCGCAGGGATTCGAACCGCCGACCATGCGATCGGCAAGTCCTAGGCACTGAGGTTTTACCCACAGCGCCACCCGCGTCCCTAGTCCATTGTAAAGCCCTTAGCCCATTGTAAAGATTAGGTACACAAAGAATGAAATAACCCAGTATATCTATACACTACTTCTCAATGCTTGTTTCCTTTCCTCTTTATTCTGCATATGTATTTTCTTGGCTGAAAAATGGTACAATTGTACAAAAGCAGGTAAATTTTAGTTTTAATTCTATAAAAGCACCCTCTCACACCACATGGGAAGAGAAGCTAAGGAATGTGGTAGATTGCAAAGACCAAACCACTTTAAGTTATTGGGGTAAGGAGTAATGAGTAAAACAGTGGTTCTTATATTTTGCACTATTTTCAATACAGCGTACGAACAACTGTTGTACAAACTGCTCCAATAACTTATTTCCAGGTAAACACTTTGCTCATAAAATTTAAACTAAAAAATTTAGCATCTCCCAAAGGTATATGTACTAGATGGTATTTTCTTCTTTGAAACAATCCGCCCAAAAAATTCAGTGGGAATGTGGCCAGCTTCACCGTTAAAGTGTGCCTGTTCCAAGTAGAGTTGTAGCTCAGTTTCTTCTGGTACTTCAAGAACATGAAATATATTGGGTGATATCCACTGCTAGTCATACTCAGAACTGACTCACCAAAAATCAATCCTACTGATTTCAGTGGAACTCCTGAGCATTCTAGTTTGGTATCACCTATTACGTATAACAGCTGATAAAAGTGGTTAAGTATGGTAAATTTGTGAAAATATAACTTGCCTTTGTTTTATTGAAACAACAACTACCCAAAGATGAAGATGTAAGTTGTTACAACCCGGTACATATATATATTTGACAATTAGGAAACTAAAAAAGAAAAGATAATAGAAAAGATCAACATTGTAACAAACAAAAAGTATGTTATGTTATCTGAGCTTAGAAGCATTTTCACACATAAACATAAAAAAATAATTTCTGGAGAAAAGGCTCAAAGATATAAACACCACCACAATGTAATTAAGAAGTTGCAATAAATTTGAATATCAAATACACTTTATAATTCTATCCACTGTTACTTCACATAGCAAGCATCAACGTAACTGAGTAAATGATGATTAATTCTATTCCAATCCCAGTAAATATATTTTTTCTTAAAACAACAGTATAACTTCTTCTATTTCTCTAAACAGTATTTGTGTATGAAAGACCAATTGCTTCCTATTCTGAATTTTTACGGCAAGCCTCAAGGTCTTCAGAAAATGGAAGGTTTGAATGAAATGAAAGCGGCTTCTCAACTCTTTTCACTATTTATGAATCTAGTCTAGTCCAACGCTCTGCAATGCAGGAATCTCATCTAAAGCATCCATCACAGATGGCCATCCAAACTCTGCTTTAAAACCTCCACCTTCCAAGGGGCTCCCAATCCACTGTCAAGCAGCTCTTACTGTCTGAAGGTTTTTTTTGATGCTTAGTCTGAATCTCCTCTCTTGTAACTTCTTGTCAACATCCTTCTTAAATTCTGGTGGCCAAAACTGGACACAGCACTACAGGTGTGGGCTGGCCAAGGCAGAATACAGCGAGACCATTACTTCTCTTGAACAGGCAGGACACTAGACTTCTGTTGGTACAGCCTAGATTAGCATTAGCTTTTTTTGCTGCTGCATCACACTCACGTTTAGCTCTTGGCCTAACTAAAATTCCTCAATCCTTTTCACATGTACTACTGGCAAGCCAAGTTTCCCCCATCTTATATTTGTACAGCTGGTTCTTCCTGCCTAAGTGTAGAACCATGCATTTATCCCTACTGAAATTCATTTTGTTAGTTTTGGTCCAGTTCTCCAATCTATTAAGATCATCTTGAATCCTTGATTATGTATTCTACACCCTCCCAGAATGATGTCTTCTGCAAATTTGCTGAGCATCCCCTCAATTCCTTCATCCAAGTAATTTATAAAGATGTTGAACAATGGGCCCAGGACAGAACCCTGAAGTACCCCACTTTTCACTTTTATCCAGGATGACACGAAACCATTAGTGAGCACTCTTTGGGTATGGTCAGTCAACCAGCTATCAATCCATCTAACAGTAACTTTGTCCAGCCCCCATTTTACCAGCTTCTCTGCAAGAATATCATGGAGGACTCTGTCAAAAGTCTTACTGAAAGAAAGATACACTACATCTACAACATTACCCTGGTCCTTCAAGCTTGTAACTCTTTCCAAAAAGAGAATTGAGATTTGCCTGTCATGACTTGTTTCTGAGAAACCCATCCTTGCGTCTTAGTAATCACAACTTTTCTAAGTGCTCATAGACCATTTAATTATCTGTTCTAGGACCTTGCCTAGTGCAGATGTCAAACTGACCAGTCAGTAGTTACATAGGTCTACTTTTCCCCCCTTTATGGAGATGCAGACAACATTTGCCTGCCTCCAATCTGCAGGGACCACACCTGTCTCCAAGAATTCTCAACGATTATAGACAGGCTCTGAGATTACATCCACAAGCTCCTTTAGTACCCTTGGATACAGCTCATCACGTCCTGGAGATTTGAATTCATTTAAAGTAGTTAGGTGTTCCCTTACCACCTCTTTTCCTATATTGGGTTGATGCTCTCTCCTTGCATCATTTATTATGTTTTCACCAGGTTGGGCACTACTTTCCTTTTAAGTGAAGACAAAGGTAAAGTACATGTTGAGTAGTTCCACCTTCTCTCTGCCACCAAAGAGCATTTCTCCATGCAGAAGACCTAATACATACATTCTTTCTTTCTTTCTTTTGCTTTTTCAAACATGGTTGAAGAAAGCTTAAAAAATTATTTTTAACCTCTCTTGAAGGCCTGAGCTAATTTCTGAGCTTTGGTCTGCTTGACCTTCTCCCGGCATTTGTTGGCTGCTCATGTATATTCTTACTTTGTGATTTCCCCTTTCTGCCATTTCTTATACATGCCGTTGTTACATCTCAGCTCATCTGTAGCCACACTAGTTTCTTTAGATGCCTCCCACTTTCCTTTCTTGTTGGAACTGTCTGCATTTGGGCCTTCAATATATCTCCTTTAAGTAACTCCCATTCCTCTTGGACTCCCTTCTCTTCGAATATTTCTGACCATGGGATCTCACCCAGAAGTTACTTAAGCATTTTGAAATCTGCCTTCTTAAAGTCCAGGGTGCATGTCCAACTACACTCAGCTTTCCCTTGCCTCTATCATGAAACCCAAGAGGACATGATCACTTCCTCTCAAGGTTCCCAGTACTTCCACTTTGTCAACCAGTTCCTCCATTAGGTTCAAGACACATGATCCCCTTGTTGCTTCTTCAAGCTTCTGGGAAATGAAATTGTCAGCGAAGAAAGTGAGGAATTTGTTGGACTTTACATTCTTGGCTGAGATTGAGTTCCAACAGATTTCAGGGTAGCTGAAGTATCCCATGATTACTTTATCTCTCCTTTTTGAATGTTCGGTAATGTGCTCTAGGAAGGCAATGTTCATATTTTAAGTTCCAATATCATCTTTATACTATTATTCTAGGAAGATGAAAGTGTTTTCATATCAGATTGATTTCATTAATGAAATCCAAATACACATTCCTAATTAATTTATTTCAAATAAGAACAAATATATTTCAAATCCTAATGGGCTTGAACAGTGTTAGAAAGTGGGATAGAAAAGCTAGGAGGCAAATGGCTTTTGGGACCTAGGTTGTGGGAGTCAAAACAGAATGTCTAGTCACCATGGGGGGGTGTCGGCAACCTTATTTATTTTGATAAGCATGAACTAATACGCAATTCACGTAAGTGACACATTGTTAATATCAGTTTTTAGCAGAAATTGTTAATACATGTTTAATTTGGTGTTTACAATAAAAATATTGATACCATACTTCATTTTTTCCAAACACTCTACTCTTTATTGTTAAACTCTTTGACATATTGTCTAACCTTAACATATACTTTGAGGTTTAAAGCACATGCATTTCAGTAATCCTTGAATGTCAGCCAGGTGCAAAAAATAGCACCCAGACTTTTTTTAGGTTCTCGCAAATGGAGAATCTTTAGATGCAAAATTCACCTGGCGCCCTGCTAATTTTGAACCCTGGACTTAAAGCTTTCCAAGATACTAAAAACTAATGTCTCTTGTTAAATTTTACTATACACACTCTGCACTACTCTCTCCCTGGTACCTAGAGAGTCCATTCCTTTTATTCTTGTGCAACTTAACAATGCCAACCAATTTCAAGGTCACATGAAATACAAAAACCTGCCATCTTCAAAATTACCTTTTAATGTACAGTGATAACACAGGGCTGTCCATTTTCTGTACCTCTAACAGAAACTGGATGTGCAGGCATGAGCAGGTGACAACATCTACCTCTATACTATGAAAAGGTGTATCTGCATATTGCATACCAGAAGCACACTAGTAGGCCAGGCAGAGGTTCATTTGGCTACCTGGCAGCATTATAAACAGATTCTGTTTTTACATACTTTAGTTCAAAAGAGCCTCCTAGCATTTGTATACTTCATAACCCAAATAACTGTTTTAAAAATCATCAATTATAGTCCCTCTGCCAAGACAAGGAAATTGTATGAGCTATGGACAGAGGCTCTCCAACTCAGTTGCATTCAAGGCCTACAGATTTATTTAGTTTGAGGATGAATATTTTTTAAAATGAAAACAGAATTCTAATATACAATTTTATCCAGAGAAGAGGTCCAACCCTTAAATCAACTCCTCACAACCCAGAACTGTTTGAAGGAAGCATGTAGCTTATAATCACCTGGCAGAACACAGTCAGATATTTTCTGATCAGAAAGTCTGTCCTGTTATTTGTAACAACCAAACGGCACACAATTTCCATAGAAAGATGGGATATAAATTATTGTAATAAATAAAATCACAGGAAGCCCCAAAGTTGATTTTAGAACCAAGGGTGGTATCCAAACAAGTGTGGCTTAACCACACCCATTCAAAACTATGGCTACCTTAAGCTCATTTATTTCAGTGGATCTAGTCAGAGTATGGCTTAGTTAGATACAACCCTGAATACATAAAGTTAAACTGGATGTTCTGTAATGTTTTTAAATCTAAATGAATAAATTTACTAGTTTAGCTTTTCAATAACCTAATTTGAGAGTACTTAATATACAAAAGTATTACCAGTCAAATGTAAACAATTTTTTAACGGTGTGTGTATGCTAAAAAGGCAAGTTTAAATGGCAGACATATATGAGTCCCAACACACAAGACTACTATTTGTGGATGTCAGAGCTTTGCATTGTCCACTACTCGGAAATAAATAGGAGAAGCTTTTTATCACAAGCAACCTGCAGGGAGGCCAAATCCTATGCAAAATTTTGAATTAGGTTGCAAATCTTTCTATTACCTGTAAAAGTACAATTTTGGCTTTTAAAGCTAGTTCAAATGTGCCAAGAAGTTTAATGATGTCACAGGCTACTTGTTAAGCATTTCAATTTCATCACTAAAACACTTCAATAACAGTATCAACTATGATCAATACCCGCGGCTGCAAGTCTATATCCACTCACCTGGGAGTAACACCACTGAACTCAATGGGGCTCATTTCTGAGCAGGCATATATAGTGTATTTCACACATAATTGCTAAAAACAGAAGCAAGCAACAAGCTAAAGTGATAAATTAAAGATGCTCAGGTGAACATACATATAGAAACGGGTAGAATCTCCATAATATATTGACTTGACTATTCACTACCCTCTTTGACGTTCTAATACTATTTCTTCATTCTATGAAGACATTTCATTATATAAACAACTGTTATTGCCTTCACCCTCATGAAATTTCATTTCTAGTGTGTCACAACGTGTGCTGAGATACCTTAACAAACCAGGAAGTGCAGGAGAGTTTCAGAGGACAAAGACTGCCTCAAGTATTATATACTGTCTACACAGAAAGCAACTCCATGTGAAAGTAACATGTAAACAACACGTTACTTAAGTAGTACATAAAATTTGATTATTGTGCAAGCATCTACTGTATATACATGTTCTGGGAAACTGCAGTCAATCAGTACATGGAATTTTATTGCCTGTAAATATTACATAATTAGACCAAAATTATCTAATATATTAATTTCATCATAAATATACATTGCATGTTCATCTTAAGTTGCCTTAAACAGCCTTTTAAAAAAGAGAAAGAAACTCACACTTGCATTACTATTGCAAACAATTTTATGAAGGACTTAAAAAATAAAGAAAGAGTGATGGTCACAGAGTGGTAACTTTGTGACTATCTATTTTGAATCCTTGAAAGAAACTTGATTTTATATCATTAATTTTTGTGTTTCAGATACTCTAGTGAACATGGAATGCACTTCTCTGCATGTTTACTCAGAAATAAGTGTAACTGAATTAAAGTGGGTTTACTTCCAGGTACATGTACATAGAATTGCAGTTTTAATAAGCTAAGAGGAAAGTATCTCCATGGCAAATTGTAGAACATAGTAATGCGCCACTTTAAGTGGCACACTTACATGGAAGTAAGCACCACTGAAACAGTGGAACTAGTTTTGAGTAAACATGCACAGGACTGCTCTGCAAATGAAGTAACTGCCACAACTTATGATTTCCAAGTAATGTATAATTGGATCCAGAGTTCCCTTGAGTGGAACAGAGCTCACAGGATGCCCTCTTGCTTTCTGTGAATTCTATCCTTCTCATGTAAAGTCTGTTCCAGAGAGACCCTTCAGAACAGTGGGTGAAGTGTTCAGCCTCCTCCTACCTGCCTGCTCCCCAGTTCCATCAGCAGGAGCCTCCAATGGACTGCAGTCCCTTCCATTTATAGAAAGGCCAGCTCTGAATCCATAACAATGGACAATATCAATCATTATGTTATATATTAGTAATTCCAGAAAATGTCACCTACTCCATGCAACTTTTAATTACTCAAGTTTAACAGGTAAGTTGTTTGTACTCAAGGTTACAGTCTTTAAACAGTTCAAAATTTTGTGCAGCGAATCCATACACAAGTCTCACCATGGAAAACCTAACTTTACGGTATAAAAATATCCACCAGAGACATCAGAAGACCTCTGCTTCAGTTACATGTGTATCTGACAACTTTTCAGGGAGCATCATTGAAGTACAACTTTTTGAGCTTAAGGACTACTCCTGATAATTACTAACCATTTTCTGCAGTTACTTTAGTACATAAATCTAGACGTCTTGTCTTGCTTAAAATGAGAAGAAACCTCGAAGGCAGTGGCTTTCAACCAGTGTGCCATGGCTCCCTGAGGTGCCTTAAATGATAGTCAGGGGTGCTGTAGGCAACACTGGCCTCTGTCCCTTTTTCCTTTCTTCCCTCCTCTGATGCCGTCTTGCGCCTCTGCCGCCAAAAGACTTACACAACTGTTTGTTACAGCACCCCTGGTTGCAAGCTCCTCAGGTGAATGGTGCCTCTGGGGCTGGCCAGGGGGTGCTTCCCAAGTCCTGTAGGGCAGTGTGAGAAGGCACCTCTCTTTGGGGCAGGGGGCAGCTCAGAGAACAGGGGCGGCAGCTGCAGCTGCCCAGGACTCCCAAGGAGAGGGGATAGGAGGCTGAGGGAACACTCCACAAGGGAGCATGTTTGAAAAGAGGTGAGGGGCTGCTGACTCTGCAGGCAAAGGGTGACATAACTGGGCTCCTAAGACCCACAGAAAGAATGTAGCTGGGTCAAAGGAGCTGTGGACTCAAAAAGGTTGAAAACCTTTACTCTAAGGCATAACTAATGGTGATGGTTGGAAAATTTTCCAGTGCTTTGTTTTTCTGTGGAAAATTTCCCATTTAAGAAGTCCATCAGCAAAAATGTATGGATCCCAGTTGCAAAAAAAATATTAGGCAAGTTTTTAGTTTTGCTCACTAAATACAAGTAAAATAAACAGTCTGTAATTAGATCAAACTTTATGACATCAGAAAAATTACTGATGAAATTATCCTCACTTGCACACATAAAAATTCCAGAAAAATATTCTATTCAATTTCTTTCTGAGAAAGCCACATCACTAATATTTTATCAACAGGAAGAAGAAAGTCATGATCTGTAACAATTTTCTGAAGTCACTGAAGTAGAAGTTCACCCTCACAAACAACTATCAGAGTAGCTTTTAGAACTTACACTACATGGACTTTGGTAGAATCTATGCATATCTCATTAAGAGCTGAATACCCATTTCTGATTATTATTTTGAAAAAGGTATTACCTGCTTGACATTTTACATCATACTGTATTAGAAATCTATTGGTGGTCATAAGTTATACAATTTTCATTATCCAGCCTTATCAGTAACATTTGCTCTTTAACTTTCCCTTAAAAATGATTTTTCTTAAAACAATGGTATTTAAAATATTTCCCTGCACACATTCATGACATCTTTAAGATCAAAGCTGAAAATTTCTATTTCAGGAACACCAATGTTTGTTGTTGTCTTTCACCAAATAGTAAATGAAGTGAACAGTGTTTTTAGAAATGATTTGTGCTTTATGATCAGATGTATTATTTTGTGTATCATATCGAAACAGCTTCTATGTAGTCTTTTAATGTTGATTACTCTGTGTGTGTGTGTGTGTGTGTATACAGATTAAATTAATTACCAGCAGCAAAAGAAGACTGACTTTCCACTCCCCTCCCCAAATATTTCACAAGTAATTAATGCTCAGTATTACTCCCACCATAAGTTTTTTTGAAAAACAAACTGTAAATTAGGGATTGAAACAATACACAAATTCCAAGTAGAAAGCTCAGCAGACTCATAAAACTGTTTCTGAATCTTACAGCCTATACCTAAAATCTAGATGCCAGCAGGCCACACAGGACCAAAACAACCAGCTGCCTGGGATGCTTACAACTCCCCTATAAACTTTACAAGAGCATGTTAAGGAATGCCACATCACATATATTAATTCAAGAACCACAATGCAATTGTAAGAATCACCATGATATTTGCTTAAAAAGCAGGGGCTAGGCAGGGGAAGCTTCAATGCACCCACTGTGTTCTAACATGATCAGTTTTGCAAGTTGCAGTTTGCCAGGGCTGAAAGATGTGCTACATGCAAGGCCTCAACTTCGAACTTTTTTTTTAAAAAAAAAAAGGCAGCCAGGTATCAAAACTCCTTAATGGCCCAAACCATCTCAGTCTCATCAAAAACCTCACTCCTGCTCACTAAACGTTGACAGGATCGGCCACATTATTACACACAGCTTCAACGCGAACAAAGGGCAGCCTTGCCACTTCCTCCAGGGAGCTGCATTTCCACCCCACCCCACCCCCCAAATGCAATGTTACTATTTACACACACACAAACAAACAAACAAACACGTTATCAGTTTACCGCGGGGGAACTGCAGTGCACGCTCCCGAGCGAGCAAAACAAAAACAAGCCCATCCACGCAAGAAAGACCTCGTCCTGGAAGAGAGAGCGCAACCGCTCTCTCGCAAGTTTGTTCTGCAAACCTCGTCGGGGGCCGGAAGGAGGCTGTTCGCAACCGCTGGGTCGTACGGCTGCGGCGAAACACCCCCATACCCCCCCAGGCAAATGCTAAGGGAACCCCCCCTTCTCCATCCCGGGCCTTCCATCCTAATAAACAGGCCGCCGAGGCCGCTTGGGAGGCGAGAAAGACGCGAGGCGGCGGGAAGGGGCAGAGAGCTCTGCTTTGTCGCTTCCTTACCCGGAGCCTCAGGCATCGGGGGGGACGCGGCGCTCGCACTCGGGTGGCCTAAAGGGCAGCAGCAGCGCGGGAAAGAGGGAGAAGAGCGGAGGCGGCCGCGACTAGGCCGAGCGGCGGCTGGGAGGGAGGCGCAGGCAGGACCCGAGTCGGCCGGCGGCGGGAACGGAAGCAGCGGGCCCAGGGGAGGAGCGGCCGGGCAGAAGCAGGACGCGGCCCTGACGGGCCTCCGCGGTGCCGCCTCCCGCGGCGGGGCTTCCCACCCACCCCCTCCTTGCTCCGGGCCGGGCCTCGGGGCTGCCTGCTCAGAGCCTGCGCGTCGCCTCGCTCGCCCTCCTCCTCCTCTTCCCCTCACGCATCTCTTCTCACCCCCCTCCCTGCTCCTCTCCCTCAGAGAGAGAGAGAGAGAGAGAGAGAGACAAAAGCAAACGGAAACCGAGCGGGATGAAGCGGGCCTCGGCCAGCCCGAAGAGGGCCGGAGCCGTCGGAAAGGCCTCCCCCGGCGCCCGCCAGCTCCCCCGGGAGCTGCCGAGCTGGGCCGCGGCGGGGGGGAGAGGCGGCGGGGGGAAGGAGAATCGGGCCGAACTCACCGCATGAATTTTCTTGTCCCGAGGATCCAAGATGGCTGAGCACCCTGCACGGAGGATGCTGGGGGAGCGACCTTTACCCTCTGACCCCGCCGCTGCCGTCGTGACCTCGCCGTCGCCGCCGCCCGGCAGCAACCGCGGGACCAGCGCTCGGTGCCGGCCTGCAGGCGCCTGCCGTCCGCCAGAGCCTCTGAGGGGGGCGAAACGCGGCCTGGCTTCTTCGGGCGGGCGCGGAGGAGTCTCGCGGCGCGGAGCCCGGTCGGCGGGAGGCGCTTGCGGGCCTGAGGAGGAGGAGGAGGATGGCGGCGACGCCAGGCCCCGCTGTGGAGAGAGCGGCCTTGTGGGAGAAGAAGAGCTCCCGAGACATCCGGGGGAAGCGGGGCGGGCGGGCGGGGGAGCCGTTATTTACACGCTGGGAGGGAGGGAACCTTTTACACACGTCCTTGGGAGAGCGAGTTGTGGCGCGGGGGGTCGCAAGAGACCCTTCATCTGAGCCTGGAGGGGAGGAAGAGGCTCCTTTCTCCTCCCCACCACTGAGGCCAGGATAGTCCCCGGTTTATTCCTACTACAAAAGCTACGCTCTCCGCCCCCCCCCACCCGAGGTGATGAAATTCCTATACGAAACTAGGGATTTGAATGCACCTTGTCACGTGGGATGGCCTTCCACGCGTGTTCTGTGTGGCACGTAGACAGGACTTCCCCGTGTGTGGTGTCTTTTGGGTAAGGATTTGGCCACTTGGGAAGCAGGCCTAAGAGTAGTACCCGTTTCTTCATTGAGGAACGCCTCAGAAGTTTCCAGGAAAGGGATAAGACACTTATCTTAATGAAGGGGGAATGGTTTAAAGACAGGGTTTCTCAAACTAGCGTCTCCAGCTGTTTTTGGACTACAACTCCCGTTGTTATTATTATTATTAAAATTTGTAGACTGCCCTTCATCCATAGATCTCAGAGCAGTTCACAATTTAAAGTATTAGCACAAACATTGTGCAAAAGCAGAACCAGTGGTCAGGGATGATGGGAATTGCGGTCCGAAAACAGCTGAAGACCCAAGTTTGGGAAACCCTGGTCTAAGAGATAAGTCCATAGGATAACTTGCGACACAGTAAAAGCTAGTGGTGAGCAGCGGCTACATGGGAGAAGCGGTAAGGACAAAGGGGGGGGTAGAATCAACATTTTTAAACTACCATAGCCGCCCCACCCCCCAAATAGTTTGTGGCCCGTTTCCACATGATACTAGAAAAACCAAAAGCAGTGTGCCTATGAGGCATTGTACTCCCCTGCCATTGTTATGTCCTTTGCCCCTGTGCGTAAAGTGATAGCATTTGAGTGCAGCACTGCCTGGTCTGTGGAACTGGTGTGCTAGCACCTGGTGCCCCAGGTTATATGAGGCACCAGTTATGTGTAACGCCGGATGGGTAAGTTCTTGGTCATCTACCAACATGTTTAAATTGGCATACACACGCCCTTGTTCCCCCTTACAGAGAAAAGGTGGAGCAAAGAATGGTAGCCAGTAACAGACCATGACACCTCTTAGAAGATAAAGTTCTCTCATTTTCCCATGTGGGAAAATATATAGGAAAGCTCCAATAACATAATTTTGAAGTGGAGACATTTACAAATCATCTTTTCCCACAAACCTGGCTGAAAGTTCATGTGTGCAGCACTTTGGTGCCAGTATGAAGGTACCGGTAAATCTTATCCATTGAAAAAGATTGGGGCAGGGGTAATCTTTTGTAATCCCTATACCCCCCACAGCATATGCTTAGTTTGTTGCCCTGAACTACCATTTATAGTATTTTCCATCTCTTGTTCTGTATAAAGTTTTAAAGAGTAATATATCAAAAATGGTCTCAAGGGTTTTTTTTTAAAAAAACAAAACAATGATGTGAAATCCATATTTATAAAGAAAGAGCAGGAGCATATTTAATTTTCACATTTCAGGTCATAAATTAACTACAGAAGGATCTAATACAGGTGACAAGGTGCAAAATACAAAACTTAAATCTGTTCATGCAGAAGATCTAAACATACTTTGAAAGAAGTCCTATTGAGTTCAGTGAGATCATGTACCCTCTAAAAAGTGTGTTTAGGTTTGTGTCTAGATTTGTGATTTATTTGAGTTTGAGTGGTATAATTATGTTTAGATCAGAACCTTTGTATCTGATTAAAAGCCATGTCATACATTATTATACAGATAGCACCTGCATGTAGGAAATTCCCTGCAGGCCTCAGCCAGGTGCTGAATTGCAGTTTCATCTTCTCTTGCTGTGGAACACATGATCTGCCAATAAATGCTATCAACGTAGGAAATATGTGATTTTTGAAGTAGCTCTGGTGCAGTGATACAGAGAAACTCCACTACAGCCCTAAACATTTGGGGAAGTTCTCCAACTGTTGCCTTCCCATCCAGAAATGAGAATGATATTCATTTCTTACAATGACAATTGTGAAACAAATCTAACATGACTTTTGTAGAATATTATTGCACTAAAGGCGTGTGATTTAGGTAGAATTTTGCAGGCCATCTGGATTGTCCATCCATCCAAAACTGTTTAACCATGTATGTGTATGTGGTGTCCCTACTTCAGCATCATATAACTTTTGTAAAACTTCTCGTGACAATAGCAGTGTGTGGTTATTCCAGCTAATGACTTGCTAGAGTTCCTAGGTCCATAGGCAGAGTTAATTTTATAATACAGCAAAGCCACATTTTATTCTGATCTAGACATTTATCAAGCAGGTAGACTGAATGTAGGCACTACCAACCATACCCACAATTGCTGTCATTAAAGATTAACTTTCTCTCTGTTCATGACTTAACACCTTGGTATATGGTATTTAATATTTCCACTATGCATATACGGTAATTCGTAGTAGCCCAGTATGAGCTGTCAGGTTGAAGGATGCCATGGCAACACTTACGGTAATTGATTTTATTTTTCAGTAGGGTGTAATGGGATGGTTTGTGTAGGATTTGGAAATTTGGCAATAACAGTTTCATTATTTAAAGAACCCAGAAATAGCAGAGTGTCTTAATGTAACTAGCTCAGCACATTTTCTGCATTTAAGTAGGATTTACCTACGCCATTGGAAATATTTTTGTGTTCACTTCCTTCCAAACATGTAGAATTAAGAGGTTGTAGTTCAGTGGTATGTTTTTCATGGAGAAGGTCCTAGGTTCAATCTCTGACATCTCCAACTTTTGTAGAATAGGTAATGTGATTTATTAATGTTTTAAAATATTGGTTTATTCCCATTGAGTAGAGCAGGATTTATTTAAAGCGTTTTTCATTGCTCTTCAGCTGAATGGGCTCCCAAAAGAGACAGAGGATAACAAAATGGTGGCAGTGATTACCACAAACCTGGATGCCTTTAAAAGAGGGATAGACAAATTTATGAAGGATATTCATATTGATGACTACTAGACATGGTGGTCATGTTCTACCACCACTGTTGGAGGCAGCTTACTTCTGAACATCAGGTGCTAGAAACCACAACAGAGGAGAAGGCTGTTGCACTAAGATCCTGCTTGCATGGGCATCTGGTTGGCTGCTGTAAGAACAGGATGCTGGACTAGGTGAACTACTGGCCAGATGCAGTAGTGCTATTCTTACAATCTTACTAATAACAAAGAAGACAGTTGGTAGGCTTGCACTCTGTTGTTGTCGTTTAGTCGTGTCCGACTCTTCGTGACCCCATGGACCAGAGCACGCCAGGCACTCCTGTCTTCCACTGCCTCCTGCAGTTTGGTCAAACTCATGCTGGTAGCTTCGAGAACACTGTCCAACCATCTCGTCCTCTGTCGTCCCCTTCTCCTTGTGCTTCTTTCCCAACATCAGGGTCTTTTCCAGGGAGTCTTCTCTTCTCATGAGGTGGCCAAAGTATTGGAGCCTCAGCTTCATGATCTGTCCTTCCATCGAGCACTCAGGGCTGATTTCCTTCAGAATGGATAGGTTTGAACTTCTTGCAATCCATGGGACTCTCAAGAGTCTCCTCCAGCACCATAATTCAAAAGCATCAATTCTTCGGCGATCAGCCTTCTTTATGGTCCAGCTCTCACTTCCATACATCACTACTAGGAAAACCATCGCTTTGACTATACGGACCTTTGTTGGCAAGGTGATGTCTCTGCTCTATAAGACACAATACAAAAGAGGGAAAGAGGGATGGGGAGAGAAGAGGGTAAAAGCAAACTGAGACATCCAGTCTTAGAGTCTTACAGTGACTTGCTTGAATAGAAGCTGGTCAGAGATGTGAAGACTAGCTGAACCTTGTGCAAGGATTTGACCTGAATTATACAACTTTTGTCCTCTTTTGTGGGCAGGTCCGTACAGTAGAACCTGGGGAGAATCTCCTTTCTTTTCCCAAGGACTGAGGCCTTAATAGTTCCCAGTAGGTTCCTGCCCCAGAAGTCGGGGCTCCTCAGATGTGATGAAATTCCTACATGAATTTCTACCATCCCTGCAGGAATTTGAATGCACAGCGTCACGTTTGACGCCCTTTCACACTTGTCATATGGCACACAGACCTGGCTTCTCAATGTGTGGCACACGTGCCTTTTGTGTACGAATTTGGCTACTTGTGAAGCAGACCTAAGAGGAGTACCTCTGTGCTTTGCGGAGCAAATGTTTGCGGCTCAAAAGTTTCCAGGAAAGGGGCATCAACAGGTCTGTTCCACACTGTCTTGGAATTGGAACTCCCTCTTGTTACATATCAGACTGTATTATCTTTTCAGTGCCTGATGAAGGCCTTCCCACAAGCCTTTTAATAAGTACAGGTTTTTATCCCAGTTTTTAACTGCAATGGACTAGAGATTGAATTTATATATGTTTTTTATTGTTAATCACTTCAGGATATTTCATAGGAAGCAATTCATAAGTGAAATCAGTAATACTGTAATCGGGATTGTGAAACCTACTGCATTTATTTATTTATTTATTTATTTATTTATTTAGGAGTAATCAAGACTAGTCTTTTAAGGTGCCACAAGAGTCTCTGATTGTTGTTGGTGCAAGAAACTTACACAGCTAGCCCTCTGGAAATAGCTATTAGAGTTTTCCAGTTGTTTTTAAACCATCTATGCACTTGTAGAAAGCATCTGGAACTCTGCTTATTTTATATCACCTTATTATTAAATTAAATAATCATAGTAATATTTATTATTGTTATATACTTATCTGTACCCCACCTTTTCCCCTGTTGGGACTCAAGGCATCTTACGGATAAAACCTAGAATTCCTAAAAACACAGGGGAAAAAATCATTAAAAACAATTAAATATTGATGAAATTAAAACTATATACATATATAAAAGCAGTTTAAAATATACACATAAATACAATAAAAATAGCATGGCACCAGCCATCAAAATAAGTAATTTGACCAGAATATAATGTGAGAT